TATATGTTAAAACAATTTTGTTGGAATAACAAAATATTTAAAATGATTTTTTGAACTCCCTTTTGAAATCCTGTCATCAACTTCAGTGTCATAGCGACTACTAGTCTAAGAGATGGTGCCAATAAAGGGGGGGGGGGTCATGGGTGGATCCAGGATTTTGTGTTGGGGGGGAGGGGGGCGTGTGATAATAAATGTGAGCGAAAAAGTCAAATTTTGTAAAAAGCGATGAGGCAAAACGCGAATTTTCTGACTTTTTAAGGGGGGCATGCGCCTATCACGCCCCCGTCTAGATCCTCTGGTGGGGGTGGGGTTGGCTGATGGGTCTGTTAAAAGAGCACCATATTATCTAGTCATACTACCCTTTGGTTACTACATACTGTTTATATTGTTTATGCTGAAAATATCTCAATAATCTCAAACGCAGCTTCCATAAACTTTTATTAATGTTACCATGGTTGTGAAATTAATGTCAGTCTCTGATTAAAGGCCTTATTAAATAGATTGCATATTTATTGGATGTTGAAAATATAATCACATTTTCAATTAAACATCTCATCACCTATTTCACAATATGCCCCAAAGCACATTTTTTATTTCATCTATCTAACTAAATTGAGTCATTTAACATTTATTTATGATGAAAACACAAAAAACATGAGACTGCATCTACTTGTGCCATTTCTCAGTGATGGTATATGTACAATAATAAATTCAAAACAATAAGTTTTGTTCCTTCGGTCATATTTCAAGCGATTCCCCTGATTTCCTGAGGGATGTTTATTTAGGTACGGGAGAGGGTAAGGCATGATTGGTAATATTTCGTATTCTCTATTTTGCATCATATTCCTAATTTCTGAACACAAAAATATGTTAACTTCATCAAATAGAGGTCACTTTTGACCAACCCAAATTACACCCAAATCATTTCTATTCTCTCAAGTTCAAGTGATTGAGTATACATAAATAAAAATTAGATCAATACTCTTTGCCTTCAATTAGATATCTCATGATTCTCATCTAGAGTATGTTTAGAGGGTCCAGAGGGGGTACGGGGTATGGATGGTTATATTTCAAATTCTTTATTTTTAGCAGACTGCTTCTCAAAGTTTCAAATTGCTCCAACTTCTATACAACCTTGGCATTCAAAGATGCATATTTATATCATATTTATTATTTTTAGACCATCATCATCCAGACATATATTTTTAGGATGGCACCTTACACATTCCTTTTTACATAATCCAAATATTCTATACTATTTCATGCCCCCATTTCACACTATTCTGCATACTTTATGCTTGAGTCTATATGATACACTCCATCTTATCTGGAAGATATACATTTTCAAAAATAAATTGTTTTTTAAGTGTACAGATTCTTAATACACAAATATCTAAACACAGTATTTTAAAGTATTTTAAAGTAGGTCTTGAAAGATGCCTTGAGATCTGAGGGTAAAGTTTAGTTCTTAACCTTCTGGTAGTATTTTGATGAGAGATCCAAAAAAAACTTTGAGTAGTAATTTATGGCATTCTACACTCATTGGTTTAAAATAGATGTATATAATCTGTGGTTTCATTATTTCCTGTGATAGAGATAATTTTGATATTGAAATCAAATATTTGATGATGTATTTTAAGATCAACTGTAATAACTATAGATATATATAACTATATATTAAACTAAAAGTTTGGAGTCTTTTACTGTATGTCACTATCTAAATGATGCCAAGCATTGATTGCTTCATATCCTTTTTGAAAACATTTTATTTTTGAGACCAAACAACCCTTTTATGCCTGGGTCACATTTGCTCTGATTCATCGGCCCGCGCCCACTCATTTCACTTATTTCAAATTCCATTTATTTTCCTCTCATTGTAAAATTTCCATTTTGGTTTCTCTGACTTTTCCCTGTTTGTGGCAGCCCTGTAAAATCAGTCATAATCAAATCAGACATAATCTATTCAATAAAGCAAAACATCCCCTTGATAAAACCCATTGTATATTAATTATACATAAATAATTTCAAGTAACCCCTTCTTGTTAATTTAAACAACTGCAAATTCAATGATTTGCAGAAAGATTATTTCATGATGTATTGTCTCTGAGTGGGGAATGAACAACTAAATTGATTCTAAAAGCATATTGTCAGAAACGACTGTGAATATTGCGATACATATTATCTTGCAACCATGCTACTCCTAATAAAAAATTCTAAATTAAGAAAAACGTAGAGTTGAATATATGAAAAATAAGCACTATTGTCTATCATCTATGGAATTCAAGAATTACGACCCTTTGAAGTTCACAATTTGTAAGAAAAATATTGAGAGATAATTAGACATCATGCTGTATAGGAGTAACATTTTGCACAGGTTTGGACAATGTGTTACCTCATGGGAACTTCGTTTTAGCTCGATCAATAAAAACAGAACATTGAAAAGTAATATCCCACACTATATTTATGTTTATAGATAAAGCAGGCAAATATGTAGTCCAGTATAGATTTCTAGAATCACTGTCCCATGGAAGAATCAAGCGTGGCTTAATCAAATATAAAAGAGCTCTCTGATAGCCTAATGTCAAGTATCTAAAATGTCTCCCCCCCCCCCCTCTGCACACCCTCCATGTAGAGTAAGATTTGAGCATGGAGTTTCTTTAAGAACCCTATGGTTAGGGACTTGATGATTCTTGATTGAGAGAGATTAACATTTGAGAAACATTTGGTAACATTTTCAAGGTTGTTGCTGGTTAGACTAACACTGTTGGGGTCTAAAGTAATACAGTAAAACCTGAATAGTAAACAAATTTTCCCAAGAAAAATTGTTTGGTGTTGGACTTTGTAGGTGTTCACTATAGCCTCGGTAATGTATAGAGTAAGTGGAGTATGTGTGGAGGAAGGGTGTCTACTAGAGGTGTCACGGGTCAGATATTCTTCGGGTCGGGGCTAGTATCTACTAGAGACGGGTATTCACCAGAGAGAGGTGTTCACTAAGACAGATTCTACTGTGTATATGTACATTTATATAAGTTATCCCAGGACGCTGTACCCTCTAAGGTTGGTAAGTGGTTGAAGAGAATCTACCTAGATGAGAAGCTTTCATCATTTTAATGATTTTTAGGGGTTTGATATTAACTTGTAATAACTACAACATGTCACTTCAAAAAGATGCTTTAACTACAAAATGTACCCGACATGAAGTTGTAATTCCTATTCTTAATACCTTGGTGATTACAGTTATTTGTACAATGATTAAACAATTTCGAATTTTTTGCAGATATGGAAAATTTTTGCAGATCATCATTATTTTAGGATTTTTTCTTAGTTTACTGAGTAGCTTCTATCATTATCCTGGTGCATAATACATGCACTAAATATGTCGATGAAGTTCTCTTTTAGAAGAAGTGAGATGAAACTATTTTAAAGTATACTATAATGTGATTTGTATTTTGGCGAAATGAATTATTCACTTTATATGAGATTTTGCTGCGTTCAGGCATTTATTTAATCATGGATTCCCATGAGGCAATGTTTGCTGCCTGTGTTGTGGTCTATGATAGAATTGAATTAATTCCTCACATAGTGTTCAATCCTATGAATTACCTTACCAGAATATTGATGCTTCCTTGGTTCTCTTGCCCTTTCTTTTCACAAAGGGCAACATGTTCATATTGGGGTCTTACAGTATAGCAAAGTAATATGGAAAAGTCAAAAGACAGATGTTTTTGTTATTCAAGCTGGTTTTTCGTATTATCTCAGAGGTACTTTGATATTCTCATACTATGATTGATATCCCTAGTAATATTTATGCTTTCCAATAGTTTGACATTGCTTGTTTAAGGAGAGTTTCTTTTTGTTACTACCAGACTCTGAGTCTCAGAGTAAGTAATATTATGGCTAGTGTTACTCAAAATTTTATCATCCTTTAAAATGTCCAACTTTGGTTCTGAGATATCCTATTAGTATACTTTTCAAAATACAACTTAAGATTATCTTCCTATTTTAATCACAATACAGTATACATGTACATGTACATTGCTAAAAGGTTTCTGACTTCCTATTCCTTGTTTGTATCCAGTTTTATGTATTTTCTCGAGTGTTTTACCACATATAATGTGACAAAAAATGTAAAATCAGACTCCGGAAAAAACACTTTAGACTCCGGAAAACCTATTAGACTCTGGAGCAAGAAGGTCTAAAGACATCAGACCCCGTAGAATCTCCGGAGTCTAAAGCCCTAGTGAAAATCAGAAGAAGCTTTAAGATGGAGAATCTTTTTGTGGGGATTTATCATGAAATGGTCCCTCCTCCTTGGCCTTGATGATATCTGTCAGTTGAATACCTAACAGGTGAAAACCTTTCTACTGAATACCTTTCTACTGAATACCTGACATTTGAATAACTGTCAATTTGGACCTGTCACTTCAGAACTAGTCTTACATGAAGAGATTAGCGAGCTTATGGTATGGGTCTGTATTTCACAGAGTGCCATTTATTATGTTGAAGATATGATTGCACTGAAGTTCTCATACTAGTTTTGTTTTTATGGTTGCTTTATTGAAACTACATGTTTATTGACAGTACTTGAGCCTTAGGCATTAAAGTTGGCCCAGTAGTAGGCCCAAATCCCCTTAACCCCCCCCCCACCCTCTCTGAGCAAAATTCAAACTTTGGGCCAAAATTGTCAATTGTGAATCCCCCCTGGCAAAAGGTGGCTTCGGGCCTCTGTAGTAGGTAGGTTCTATGGATTGGTTCAGCTTTTAAGTATAGTGTATTATACTATTAAACCTGAGTCTCTGATGGAGATAGCTTTATGAGCTTTCTGATTCAGAGAATGCTCTGTATCTGTTAACTTCTATGACTCACCAGTGTTGAACGAGTATAATCAAGCAACTGAAAAAATCTTAATCAATCTAGGCCTACAGGTACAGTAGAAAACAACCCCATGCTACACACAAATAGACATTTATATGTATAACAATTATTTTGTCTTGTCTTACCGGTGTTGTGTTGATCATATTCATAGTATATCCTGGTCCAGAGTTACAGTGCTATATCCACAATAAATTCACACAGGTATACCTGCCAACTGGTAATCCTTCTGCACTAGATACCACAAAAACTTAGGATCTGAATGACCCCTTGAGTATAAAAAATACAGATAGGTTTATGTCAGAATGCCTGTTTAGTTTCCATGTATATGCACCATAAGAAAAAGAAACACATTTTGGGAGCTTGTAAATCACCTCTCATTTGTAATTCTACTGTATTACTTATGCAGATTTGTAAAGGGATTATCAGGGGATTAGCTTATTGGAGGTTAGTGCACCGCTTAGCAAGTGCTGGTGTTGTTGTATATATTGAAGTACTGGCAATTAGGAAGGAGGGGTATATATAGAGACAAGATACTAATTAACACTTACCGTTTCATAAGGAAGGTTACTCTCATATAATGGTTCATCATGGTTTAAAATAAAATCATGAAAAAATAAAATATATAGGCTCATTGATGCTTACAAGCATGGCTTTTATAGTGATGTTTCGACCAAAAAGGTGTTTTGGTTACTTAAAAAATATTTCCAAAATTACCATTGCAATAATATTCCTGTAATATTATGATTATCCAATGACATTTTTGAATCATGACCTTTGATGACCTTGACCTGTATAAATGCACTGAGCCTGTGCTATAGTTGACCAATTAAGATCATCTGTTTGACCTTGTTGTATGGTGCTGAACTTGAAACATGACACCAGCCTAGTAATGCTGAATATTATCTTGTACATGCAGACTAAACGCCCAGTATATTAGTTTCACCTACATAAGTTGTTAAGGTTATTGAAAATTACAAATAAGGAAAAAGTGTTGTTGGCTATTTATATATGTATTATTTTCTTCTATCTTGACGATCACTTAAAAATAAAATCTTGATTTACTTCAGAATATCTTATAGTTTCCCAAACCTAAAAATAACCTCATATACACCTAGTTCATACAAGTTGGGGGTGGGCTCTGCATGTAAACAATCAGGTATCTTATTGAAGTTTATCAGTTGACTCGGGAAAATTAGAAAATAACAGAATTGTTTTAGATTAGAAATGTTGTTGAATAAGAAATGCATCAATAGCCATGGATCAGCCCAGAGTAGATTGTGAAAACTGATATTTGAACTGGTATTAAGCTTCTCCTCAAGGAGACTTTGGGATATACAAGAGGCTGCAAAGTCCTGACCTTGAAATGATATTAAACAAAATTTTAGAAAATTAGTTTTTGAATGAAACCCATTGTCTAGTTTTGGTATAATGTATATGTATATGGGAGTGATGCAAGAGTACTATTTTTTAAAGCTAGAACAAGTTATTAGCATTATATCATTAAATTATTTGAATATACATCACCAGATCTTCCTTGATAGTGATGACAGAAACGGGAAATGAATACCAACATATGGTAACAACATGTGTTTGAAACAATTTTATTACTTTTATTTATCATTTTTAGCTCACATGGGGGAGCTATTGTTATTGCCCATTTGTCTTGTTTATTACTTGTACTTAGTATATATTGATTGGTCACTGAAATTATTCATTTATCTCTTTTATTTAGACATCACATTCTGGCTCATAAATATTACAAAGTTTAAACATTGCAACATAAAACATGAAAAATATTATTACCTGGCTATTATTGTAATTGACTCAATGTAGAAATAATTTTGATTTATGTCATTAAATATTCAAAATTCAGTGAAAGAGATATCATATTTGAAATCTACATATAAAAGTTCATCTCAAAATATGGTTTCGAAAATAATTGATCAACTTTGAAAAGGACGATTCTCGGTTTGGAGAACGAAGTTCATCAATCTAAATGAGCATTATCCCTGCTTCGGACAAATTTGATTTTTTTTACATAATATAGATTTGAATGTCTTCTTTTGAATAGTCATAATTTAATTTGGGTAATATTTATAGATTTTTCGCAAAAAAATATTAGCGCAGTACACTATTGAACTTCTTTCCCCAAATCGAGACTTGTGTTTTATTGAATCGGTCTAATTGAGCATTATCCCTGCTTCAGACCAATTTGTTATTTTTACATCTTGTAGATTTAAATGTTCTCTTTTGAATATTCAAAGTTTAATTTGGGTAATATTTCTATATTTTTCATGAAAAAAAATTTTAGCCCAGGAGACTATTCTCCAAACCGAGAATCGTCCTTTAATTTTTTTTGAAAATGTGACTTCTATATCAGAGAGATCATAGACCCCATGTTATAAAATCACAAAATGGGAAATATCTTTTCTTGTATTGGACAGATAACATTTTATTTTACTGGGCATTTTTAATTTGCATAACTATTACATACACTAAACCACTAAAACAGATGCATGTTTAAGTTAAAGGGAACTTTCTACTATACCCACCATGCTATCTGACCTGAACGAGCCACCTGGTGGTGAAACTGGTTATTGAACACATTAATATTACATATTGAAAAATTCAATGAATTTGCATATGACACCCAATAAGTAAGTAGGGGTACCACTTGATTGTGTCAGTTGTATAAATTGATACTAAAGTACACTGGCATGTAGCGGCCCTGATATCGATAAATTCTACACGCAATATAACCCGATTTTAGATGCTTGGTTAAAACTTTACACGAAAAAGCCTCGATATCCGGGCATTTACTCTTACACTGAACTGAAAATAGCATCGTCTAAACGTGTATGTCTTGGCTTCCGGGTAAGTTTATCAACATTTATACTCAATTGAAAGAGCAGTCGTGCTTATATCGTGTACCAGTTTGATTGTTTTATATGTGTGTGTATTTATAATATGATAGTCTAGTAATACCGTGTCGTTAGAACAAGTGCTAGATATCGAACTGATGACCTGAAATTAGATTATTGGACTGATCGCGCATCTGATATTAGATGATTAATTTGCATTGAATCTGATATTAACTTGCAACCCAATACTACAGTAAATACCATGACTTTACATTAGAATGATAACACGGCCTCATATTCTAATTCATTATACGTCCATTGCAGGCCAAAAATGTTTCAATGGGGATATTGTAATGCACACGAGAATACATTCGATTCGTATATATTGACACCCCAGTTGTCCGAAACCCAGTTGTCCGAAACCCAATTCCCCGAAACCCAGTTGTCCGAAACCCATTACTCCGAAAAATAAAGTCATAATTTACCAGAGAAAGGGGGGGGGCGTAGCTTACTTAAGCTTACGTCAGTTTCATGCCATGTATTTGGCCAAATTAATGGCATGGACGCATTCTGATATTCATAGATCTCTCTCTCTCACTTTGAATTGCATCCATTGCATGGCGTTACCAGAATGGCAGGAACGGGAGATTTATTTTACATTGTGATTCTAAAAAAGGTTATTAAAACACAATATATATTACGGAACAGTTTATCTTATCTTCTTCAATCTCTTTTATATAGGCAAAATAAAATGAAACATTTTGAAACAGATAAAATAAGGTATCGCATAGAACTTTAAGAATAAAACAGTATACAAATTACGTTGTCAAAATATTTCGTCGCATTTAATTTCTTAGTCTCAGTCTCTTATCAAATCGTAAAAGAATAAAACATTCTAAACTTAATCACTTGGGATTTATGTTTCGGCATTCGTTTCAGGCATTTGTTTTTTATGTTCTTCTCCTGAAATGTATTTGTTTGACAATAATCAGAGAAAGTGCGTATACGTATAAATATGCCACGCAAACAAACGGGTGTGACTTCAATTTCTTGTCTGTCTGAGGACGTATTGGGAACGAGGTAGAATTAAAGAATTCTCATGAACAAATGTATTGGCTAAGTTAATTTCTGATGGATCTGGATAAAATATATTTCAAAACTTTGTCAACACTAGATAACTTCATTTAGGCAGATATAGTATCTTGATATATTTGGCTATCATGCGTTTAAAATACGTTCCTAAAACTATGAAGACGTTGGGTGAGAAATATTGCTATTGTACGTTCGAAAAGTATTTGGTTGTATTTTGTAGTTCTCAAGTTACCCATGAACTTTCGTGGGCTAATTAACGTCTTGACTTAGCATATTTAGCCTAATTTTGCAATGATGTCAACGTGATTCAAATGTTATGCTGTCGTGATTCGCAGAGGTTGCGACAAGATTCGTTTTAAGAAATTGTATTTTTTGATAAGATCCCCTAATTTTTGGAGAACTTGGTTTCAGACAACTGGGTTTCGGAGATTTGAGTTTCGGACAACTGGGTTTCGGACAACTGGATTGACCCCTATGAGGGTTGATCATACATCAATTGAACATGGAGATTTTCCTGTACACTTTCCCCAAACATGTGGAATAGACTAGATGCGAGTAGAAATTATCTTGATTTATCCTATGCCAAGTAGGGTTTTAGGGAGATAAGTTGGTAAGATATATCCCGTATCCTGATTTTGAGGTTTCCATATCAAGACCTCCACATCTCCCGTCATATCTCCCGCTTCGGTGCATATCTTCCCGCTTCGGGGCGTATCTTCCCGCTTCCAAAAAGTGGAAATGCAATAAAATGACTTTGCATATGAATGATTTGTTTATTTTTTACACCTTGTACTACTGAAAACTCTACTTGGTATAGGATAAAGCAGTTATGTACGGTCGGTTTGGATATTGGGTTCATCCCTCGTGAGATATGCACATCTACTTTCTGTCCCTACGGTCCCTCAGGTAGATATGCATATCTCCCTCTGGAAAAACCCCGTATCCCAAACCTCCCAGTACATAACCCTTATTTATCCCATGGTTACAAGGATATAGATCGAATATCACGTGAAGATATAATTGATACGTGGATGAAGATATCATATTTTAGCAAACAATTCCCAAATCATCGAATATCACTTTTGAAACCATCGAATATCACTTTTTGAAAGGTGATATTCGATGGTTTCAAATTGATATTCGATGGTTTCAAAAGTGATATTCGATGGTTTTGATTTTTTCAATTTTTTTTATTAATTCAGCAAAACGATTGTTTGTGAATACCTAGCAAGAGCTCAAAAAGTTCAATCATCTATTTATCTCAAAAAGACCTCAAAAATTGAGCTTGAATTAGAAATATGTCTTCTAAAATCTTCCTCACCTGGACCTGATGGGATTCTACCATCACTTATTAAGTCTGTAAGACAGTTTTTAATTGATCCGCTCTTGTATATATTTAACTTATCTTTTAAATCTGGTATTTTCCCAGACGCCCTCAAATTGGCCAAAGTAACACCTGTATTTAAAAAAGGAGTCACTACAAATCCTTCGAACTATAGACCAATTTCAGTTTTATCGGTATTTTCTAAATTGTTAGAAAAGCTCATGCACGCCAAACTCACTGGTTTTTTAGAACGTTTTGAAATTATTTTTACTTATCAATTTGGATTTCAGAAATTCAACTCTACCTACATGGCCATTTTATATTTCATTGAACAAATTCGAAAATCAACTGATTTGGGGAAAACGAGCATTGGCATAACATTAGATTTTTCCAAGGCCTTTGACACTATTAATCATGACATTTTGATACAAAAACTTGAATATTATGGCATCAGAGGAATAGCTAAGTCCTGGTTTGAAAGTTATTTAAAAGACCGCAAACAATATGTCACCATTAACAATTATGAATCTAAACAATCATCTCTAAATTGTGGTGTTCCGCAGGGCTCGGTGCTTGGACCACTATTATTTATTCTTTACATAAATGATCTGCCTTTTGTTGACCCTAATCTAAAATTGATTATGTTTGCTGATGACACCAATCTTCTTGATAGTGATTATGATTTAAATGAACTAATGCAAACTTGAATTCAATAGATGACTGGATAAAAGCAAACAAACTTTCACTTAATATTGGCAAAACCAATGCTATTCTATTTGGACCCCAAAAAATCAAACAAATCTGAATCTCAAAATACGCAATGAGAACATAAATTTCCGGGATAAAATTGACTTTCTTGGAATTATTATTGATAAAAACTTGACATTTAAAGAGCACATAAAATCTATTGAAACAAAGATTTCTCGCGTCATTGGTTCTCTTTATCACATTAAACATCTACTTCAAATAGACAGTTTGAAAACAATTTACTACTCATTGATACACTCTCAATTAAATTATTGCAACATAATCTGGGGTAACACATTTAAATCATTTTATGATCGTCTACATAAACTGCAGAAACAATTCTTAAGGCTAGCTTTAAATAAGGATAGACTTTCTCACTCCGCTCCCTTATTTGAAGATCTTAACATATTAAATATTTTTGATGTCAACAGATATTGTACTGGTCAGTTCATGTACAAAATCTTTAATAAGCACCTCAGTCTTCCAAAAAATCTATTTCAAGACTTGTTTGATATCAACATTAATATTCATCATCATTACACAAGACAATTGCATTTTTTTCATATCCCTAAATGCTCTAAACTTTCCCTTCGCTATCTAGGTCCTAATCTTTGGAATGCTCTACCACATGATATTAAAAAATGCTCCACTCTAAATATTTTCAAATCTTCATATAAAAAACTACTCATCTATCGATAATGTATAATACCAATATCATACTATACTGTTGATTTTATACTGATACCTGATTTTTGTAACATTTTTACATTGTACATCCTTAGATTAATTGTTAATACCATTTTTATATACCTACATGTAACATAATATAAGTGTTTTCTTTTATATGTAGTCTAGATGTCATTTTAATGATTTCTGTTAGACCGCAACATATACCCACTGGGGAGTCTAGCGGCTTGTTTTTATAGTGTATATTATATAAGAAATATGAAATAAATTGAATTTAATTGAATTGAATTATATATTTATTATATATTTTTATTTTTTGGGATCCTGTTTTTACGGCGTTCGCATTAAATACAAACCACTCTGTTACGTCACGTTGAATTATCGCAATCAAAATGTCAGACGAAATGGAATTTCCATTGCAATTTATCTGACTATTCAATGTTCGCTGGATAATAATTCCCAATGGGATGAAACGGACAATCCTATAGTTTTTCAAAAATATCACTTATATCCACTCATGGATATCAGTATATTCACTCATTCGCTGCGCTCACTCGCGAAGATATCAATATCCACTCATGGATATAAGTGATATTTTTTCAGAGCCATAGGATATTCCTATATTATTCCATAGTTAGCATGATATCCATAGGATAACATGTCAAAATAAAAACGGTATTTTTGAAATCAGTGGTAAAATATGATATTTTTGGCAAATTTTCACTTAACCATAGCATACGGTGTTTTAGCCATGACATGCGGCGCCGTATGCCATGGTTTATGGATTTTTGCTACTTCAGACTCAAAACGAGGCTAAGTGTCAATATCGCCGTATCGTTTGGAAAATTCGTTTTAGATCACTTAATTCCCGAAGATTCTGATGATGACTTTAACTATGGAATATAAAGAACATCCTATGATTTACTCGTGATATGATTTTAATCTCTCGCTACGCTCACTCGTGCAGATATCATATCCATTCGTGGATAAAAATCATATCACTCATAAATCATAGGATATCCTCTATTTAAGATGTGATATTCGATAGTTTAAAAGTGATATTCGATGGTTTGTAAATTGTTTGCTAAAATATGATATCTTGATCCACATATCAAATATATCATCATGTGATATTCGATCTATATCCTCCTTGCAACCATGGGATAAAGCTTTACGTCCCGCTCCAAGCGGGCAGATGTAGTATATCTGCCCGCTACGTCATAATCGCCGCTTGCATATTTGTTCATAATTTGTAACGTTCGCGGAATGACTGTAAACGGCAATGGAGAAAACACAGACAATCAGGGTCTGTTTGATAGTTAAAAAAGGGAAAGAGCATCCACTTTATCAATAAAAAATTCGAGAAAATAAATATGGGATTATTTGAGAGAACATGAAAATCCGCCAACGGCCAAGAAAACAAAACTGGACATGAATATTCTAAAATATTTCCACGATTTAACAATGTGAACCAGATGACCAAGATTGGTATGGGATAAACATATTATCCTATAGTCAGGATATTGGGATTATCCCTTGGCCAATATATAGGGGTTATGCAATTGGAGGTTTTGGATACAGGGAATATCCCGAGAGATATACAATATTTCTTCCCGAGGGACTAAGGGAAGACATATTATGTATCCCTCGGGATATTCCCTGTATCCAAAACCTCCAAGTGCATAACTGTTGTATATAGTTTAGCATGATATGTACTTCTTTCTGTAACTGGAATACGATTCTAATATACAAGCAGCACATACGTATTCCCGGGGAACCATAAATATTTTGTGTAGTGTGTGGACATTTTTCTTTTCATTTCTCTAAAATCAGATTATTCTCATAAAATTCATACAAAGTTGGGCCTAAGCCTCTATTTTCGTATTCTGCATGTTAAGATATTTATAATGTAAAACCTAAGAGATAAATTCAATGTCTTCAGTTGAGAATAAGTATAAGGTAAATGTGTGAATTCTGCTTGTTGTTGCACTATTTTTATAATAAACAAGGTTCGATACACAACACTGAATAGACTGCAGTCATAGCTTAGTTGTAAAGAAAACAAAAGAAGTTGGGACGTGGTCATGCTTGAATACGATTTTAAATATATCGCCGTTTACATTTGTTGAAATCGGCCTGTATTAATTTCAACAGGTGATCGGTGTACAAGAGCATATATTTGAGTTATTGGTTTAACGATAAGTATGACCTATGAGTGGGTAACGTTTTACAAATGCATGAAACAAATACTCCAATGGCCTAATTTCAATTTTCCTGCATAAACTATTACATTGAAATGATGGTCATTTGCTCTCTAACTTCCGCACCGCATACGTAACTTCGTAACAATTCAATAAGCCAAGACAGGACCGCTATAATCGCTACATGCCAGTGAAAGTAGACTATAAGAAATGTATGAAGATGTCAAGTACATGAAGATTCATTAGTTTTGAATGGATGATCTGTTCTTCACTAGATGATTATGATTATTATATTAAGCGATAGTATAGATGTTCTATAGAATCGAAATAATCTATTAATTCTTCTATTCATTTATCAATCATGTCAAATGTGTCAGTCGATAAAATACTAGTAGACTTTAAAAAAGTTAGATGGTGTATAGAATCAGTAAAATTGTTTGAATGACCTGGTACAATTGACTCTATGGAAGGAAGATTAGTATTAGTAATAAAATTAGTAGAATAGAATGAATGATCTAATCTTTCCTTGACTGCATCAATTACTATAATAGACTTTGAAAAATAGATGTTATATGAACCTGTAGAATGTTCTTAGATTAAATGGAATAGAAAGATTCATTAATTTAATGATTGCGTCAATCCCTACCATTGCTAGCAAATGAGCAATACAAAGAATAGACCAATAAAACTGAATAGATGTCACCACATGTATTTGTTTTGGTTGGACAAGACTGTCATACACCTCAATCGTAAAAACTCTGTCACTTAATTTCATGATTTATTCAAAAGTGTTGCTTGGAGTCATAAAAACTAAAACTTAAATGGCATACTATGGGATCCGGACCCTGTTATTAATGTAAATATTGTGATTAATCATGAAATTTCGGGTTGTTGAACTTATAAACCAATATTTTTAACATTGCATCGATTAACGAGATTTCAAAGCTTTATAGGCTTTAAAGTCTTCTTTAATTTATCGATTGTACAATCCAGGTAATGTTACACCTTTCTCGCTGAAGGTTGACAAAGCCTCATTCTAGTGTCTTATTTATCTGCTTTTATCAATGGTAATCCTGTAAGACTTATCTAACTAGAGTTGTAATCCCTAAAGCTTATGTATCACATAGTAAACTATTTAAACTCATCCCATTATTATCTCGAAGCCAGTTAATGTAAATCCCTTTAAATATATTAAAACACTATTAATCCCTTTTAAACGAGCCTATGGATCTTTGAACATAAATAATATTAATATGAATGTTTTTTTGGTCTTATTATCACCAGAATTTCTGTCATGTTTCAAAGAGCAGGTATTATATTGATGAATAAATACCGCAGGGTTAGGCACAAACATTTTCTGAAAGCTTTTGTGCCTAGCCCTAAGGTATTTATTACTCAATATAATACCTGATCTGGGGTCTTTATTATGATTCAAACAAGACAACTCAACAAAATTTTCCAAAATCGTCACTTCATTTCCTACTTCTGGTGCACTCAACAGAACACAGTACAGACCAGGTATTGCATCGACAAATAAAAACTGGGTGAAATATTGACTTTGTTCACAGTTTAAAGAAGGGGTGAATACAGTCATGTTCGAATGTTATCTATATGTTCTTTACATATAATTTCAGCTGCTGCATCGCGGCTTAAGCTGCTGTTGAGTTTTGCTGTTGGTGGTCTCCTTGGTGATGTCTTCCTTCATCTTTTACCCGAGGCATGGGAGCACATAGACAGAGGTAAGAATGATTTAAGAATGATTCCTAAGATATGGGAACATATAGATAGATGTGATAATGGTTTACCCAAGATATGGGAGCGCATAGATAGAGATGAGAAATGTTAACAAAGAAATGGGAGCACATAGATAGAGGTATTGTTTACTCAAGCCATGATATGGGAACATACAGATGGAGGTGAAAATGGTTTACCCAAGATATGGGAGCGCATAGACAGAAGTGAGAATTGTTTACTCAAGAAAAAGGCAAGGAGCATATAGATACAGATGAAAATGATTTACTCAAGATATGGGAGCATCAATGTGAGAATTGTTTACTCAAGATGTAAAGCATATAGAATTGAGAATGATTTACCCAAGATAATGAAGATAGTAGAAGATAAATATTTTAAAATGCATCTACCCATTGATCAAATTGATGACAAAAATGCCAATTTCACGCTCCTATTGATATGAGATTTGTCAAAGAATCTAGAAACTGCTTTTAAAGACATGAAATTCAGTATTCAAATTCATGAAATATACAGACATTTTGGGCTGTAAAACTGGGTTTTGAAATATTCCGATTTTAAGGTTATATTGGTGCCAACATGCTCTGAAAAGTTATTTACAACAATTTTAATCTTCATAGCTCTATACTGTTCCAGAATTCTTGGATAAAGCCCTTTATTGTTAGCTACTGAATATAAGGAAATGATCAGGTCTAATAAAAAACACATCAAAGCTGTCATTTTGTTTTCACATAGTGAAGTAGATAATTCGACCTGAAAGCTTTCGATATGTTTCATCAACTACTAGAGATGCAGTAAAACTGGCTTTGGATTGCTCTTTTGATGGTATTACAAGTGGGATATCATAATTGATATTTCTCTTCTGGTAGGATTAGTATAAGTATCTTTGCTAATCTTATGCTTAGACTTCCATGGTACCATTTTTGGATATGCGAAGTCAATATGAAAGGATCATGGTCTGCTTTAGATATCAGAGTACCAGCTGTCAGGAAAGGTTCATCATTCACCGAGTATCGTTTTGTGTTTGGTGTCTGTAACAAATGGCAGGTGGTGACATTTTGCATGTTATTCCTTTGTTATTTCTTCATTTCTATGAACAGCTGTTTCATTGATTTTGCACATACATGTATTCAATATATATCAAATGAGGAGTTTAGTACATTAATAAGGGGATTTAGGAAATGCAATTCATTTATCATATGAAATGTAGATAGAGGAAGGGGGAGAACTCTAAAAATATCAGTGTGATACTCGACCATTTCCCAACATGTACAATGTACTTAGGAATCATGTGAAATTTAGTGAAAGAATAAAGTTAAGGGATTTAGTAAATTTTCTTGCAAAGATCATACAGTCCCCATCCCCACATTTGTCAGTTTTATGGGGATGATATAATATTGTGTTCACATAGATTTCACATTTGTCATCTTCTTTTACCAGTTCTGTTCTGATAAATTAAAATCAGACCTACTGAGATTAAAAATGTCTTTAGAACCTTCACGACAAAGATATTCTTTAGGTTGTGAACGGAACGAGATGCACTAACATGCGGTGGCTATTATAATGTAGTGAGTGGGCAGATATAGTATACAGTATCTGCTCGCTAGTCAGGATGTAAAACCTTATCCTACCTGTTGAAAATACAACTATTTACAAACCTGCTGTGTGTACCTCAAACACATCCAAGTATGGAATAAATATAGATTATTCTATTGGAGGTTCAGGATATCAAGATTATCCTGAGGCTAATTTGATATATCTGCCTGATGATGAAAATACAACTCTGCATACCTGTTTTGTGTACCTCAAACACATCCAAGTATGGAATAAATATAGATTATTCTATTGGAGGTGCAGGATATCAAGATTATCCTGAGGCTAATCTGCCCGATGATGAAAATAGAACTCTGCATACCTGTTTTATGTACTTCAAACACATCCAAGTATGTGATAAAAGCATATAGAAGGTTAAGTTTACATAGCTATTTTTGATCATTTTTGTATATAAATGTTAACTGCATCTGTACATTACCTGATATCTTTGCATATGGGGATTATGTTCTTCAAAAAAGTCTTCCATATTGTTGTGGTTTCTATGGTAACAATATCCTTATCAACAATCAGTTTTACTCTGTATCATTTAATTGAGCTTAGCTGCACAGATATGGAAAGAACAAATCCTGGATTCAGTAAAGTTTTTGATATGAGCTTGATATCCCTCCTACTTCCAGCTTGGTGTCTATGGAAACAATGCTGTTGTTATGGCAACCAAAAATTAAGCAGCAAAATTTGACATTACACAGGTTATAGATACCTAATGATGAATTATTATATTCCTGTGTATGATTTACCATCTCAGTCTATGTAGGTCCTAATTCTTGGATTTGTTAGTTGCTGGTTATGTTGATTTTGCACTCAGAAAACCTACTTGAGCTCTGTTATGTAGCTTATACTGAATGTTGTAGTGTTTATACTTCATAGCTTATGAGTTTCTGAAATATTCCTGTAAATATAGTCTTAATTTAGTTACCTGTGAGTCAAACATCTTGTCAGATATTGGTTTACAGAGAATGATACAAAACTAGAGGAATTTGAGAAATTTGAGGAAAAACATAAAAAATGAAAATATTAAGAAGCCTGCATATGGAAGAAAGATAAGAAGAAGAATTGAGATTGAGTAAGATGTGAGTGACAATATATAGGGTGTCTCAAAAAAATGTACCCAAAAGTATATCAGCACCATAGACAAACCAATCAATATTTTCAGACATTTTTTGCATGGTCTTGCAGATAAAAGATGAAAGTTTTTTCCCCTATACACAATTTTTAATTCAGTTTTGCCTTTTTGATACTTTAACCCATTAACTTTTACACCACGTATTCAATGTAACCTCATATTTCGATGACAGTCTGCATCCTTACTCCTACATTGTTCACCACATTTGATATATCTGGTGGAATGTTTTGATTTCTGTTTGGATGCTGGTCTTAAGTTGTTCTTGGTCTCTTAGCTTGGGTTTAGCATAAAAATGGTCCTTCAAATAGCCTCTGAGATAAAGGTATGGGCCGTCAAATATGGTGAATAGGGAGACCCTCACAATGTCTTATAGCCCCCTTATACAGAGAGGTCAGAGGTTCAAGAAACTGCATTGGTTGGGATTCTAGTATAGCTTTTGTTTGATGTATCAATTCGAGACCACTGTGTTTTCATTTGGATATCATTTGGTCTCCAGGCTAGCCTGCCTTACTCTGGAAGGTAACTCCTGAATCATTTGCCGATAATTGACCTGATTATCTGTTTTTGTTCTGCCATCGTCATCCTCAAACATCTTTCTCTGTGGCTATTTGAAGGAGTGTTTTAATGCTCATTCCAAGCAAAAAGCTCTAAAACAACTTAAGGGCAACATCCAAAGAGAAATCCAAAACATTCCACTGGAATTATTATCAAATGTGATGAACAATCTAACAGTAAGGATACAGCCTGTCGTCCAAATATGAGGTTACATCGATTATGTGGTGTAAAAGGTAAAGGGTTAAAGCATCAAAAAGACAAGACTGAAATAAAAATGGTGTATTGGGGAGGAAACTTTCATGTTTCGGCTACATGACCATGCAAAAAATGTCTGAAAATATTGATTGGTTTATCTGTGCTCTTCGTATACTTTTGGGTACATTTTTTTGAGACACCCTGTATGTAGTGAAAGTGCATTCCTTCCTAGCCATGTATAAGTGCATTGGCATTTAACCTGGCAAGGGCTTAGAAATATAACTTACCAAAGTATTAACACAAAATACCAGTCAAGATCCAACAGATTTTGTCAGGCTACCTGTGGATGAGGCTTATTCCTGTTTATAGACAATATCTACCATTTTATAGCCATCAACCCTGGCAAGAGATAATATGACTTCATTTTCTGTATTTTGGATGGTGCTGGTTAAACATTATACTGTGACAAATGAAAATATGTACTGTTCTGTTACATAAGTAATTATTTTGGCACGTGATGAATGGATTGATACTAATCAACATTTGAAGTTTTACTGAAACTGTTTTCAAATAAGGGTGAATAGGTTATGTTTGTTCAGTATATGATAGTCTATCTGGTTCCGTAACATTAATCAAACTAAGATAACTGTAGAGTTAGAAGAAAAGGAAAGTCTGTTTTTTTACTTATGTGGAAGATTCTCTTGAAAATATACATGAAGAATGAGTTCCTAAATATAACATAACATCTAATGGTAAGTGGGTGGGGGACTATATTTAATTAAAGGGGCAATAAGGCTTGTAGAGAGAAAATAGGAAAATTTAAACTTTTTCTAAGCTATCAAGGCAACAGTTGGCTTAACATCTTCTTCGACATACCTATTTTCTTAAAATGTATGGATAAACTATCAATTTCGGCATTAAAAAGTGTAAATTCAGTTCAAAGCTTCAAAAAGGGCACGTCCACTTTTATATTTTTAAGATCCACCATGTTTCAAGAGGAATATAATCTGAAATAATGATTATCTTGGGGGTTTCTTTGTAGAAAATAAAGATAGATGTTAGTCTTGATGAAATATCCAATATTTTGACACTGGTCCATGATCGTTGAATGGCCCCTCTGCACTACTTGTTGCACCTTTAAGTATACTCTTAAATGTTCCTTTTCTAACTTTATTTTGTTAATCAAAATATTACATTATGTAAACAGGTATTTCATCCAGGTATTATATTTCCATATCTGTTGCCTGCTTTTGATTATTTTATCACTTTTCATCCTAGATTATGTCCATATATAATCTTAGCATTGATATTATATATTAAGTGCATGTGTTATGAATGGTTCACTTTTTGATATTTCATATTCTGCATTGATATTTGAATTTCTAATATCACTTAGCAATTTATTTACTGGGGCCAAATAAGAATATGTATTCTCCCTCTATAATGTTCTGATTTTATGTCACTTCCAAAAAATGATAAAATATTGTTATAGCTCCATTTTTTCGGTGACTGGCATCAATGTTTGGTGTCAGCATCTGTGACAAATTGTTACATTTTTGATAATGCAACCAGGTGATAACACTTTGTCGTATTAATGTTATTTATGTTACATTCCCAGTTTTAATGTTGTCAAAACAAGCTCGCATTTTAAACCACATCCTTCATGTATTTTTTCTTCATTTCAGATCGTGATGGCATGCACTGGGGCCAAATGAAAATAGGACTTTGGGTTTTAACAGGAATCCTCAGCTTTTTAATCATTGAAAAAATATTTGCCAAAGAAGGAGAATTTGATGCAGTAAGAATTTTCAGTTTGTTCTTTATTTGTTAAATAAGAAAATATTGAAAAAGTAAAAGGTAGTTTTTTACTCCAAATTAATATTTGTATGTTTACTTGTTTATGTAAAGTTTAACATAATTTTATGTTTTTGCAATCAAATTTTTTGAAGGATTTATGAGATACTAACTTCTTAATGTCAGCCTGACATCAGTCTGACATCAAGTAAAATAAATAAAGTGGCAGTTTATCCTAAAATATTTATTTTTCAGTTGGAGGATGAATGTGATGAAGAAGAAGACACCGAAATAATAAACAATGAAAAAACAAACAATAACAAAAATCTAAAGTCAAATAATAGTCAAATTAAATCCTCATATAACCTTAGACAGCGTCCACCTATACATAATGGCACCGACAGTACCAGTAATCGCACAAAAAGTACCAGTAATAGCACCAATAGTACCAGTAATGGCACCAATAGTACCAGTAATGGAACCATAGAAGGCATAAAAACTCAAAAAACAAAAGATGGACAAAATACTCAAAATCCAGACTCTCAAATAAAGGTAAGGAATTTTTTAAAACATCAAAATATTCAAACTTCTCATCGTATTTGAAATTCTCAAGACGATGTCATTTGATTTACAATTTACAGTTGGGAGCAACATAAATTGATTTTCAGTAAATTACAGTGTTTGCAATAGACATTATTGTTTGTGACCAACATTTGGCACAACATTCGACGGTTGACTGTCGACATCTGTAACAAAGTTAGTTAGTAATACTAGAATAATAGAAAATAATGGTGACTTCAAGTAGAATATAGAATATACTAATGGACTATATTAATGAAGTCAGTAGGTAATATAAGATCTTCATCCACGATCCACTCTAAATGACAAAATTAGATAACCTGGTTACTACTTATAATTGCAGAATTCTCGATTTTCGTCACATCTTAAAAAACCATTTCACACAAATATGAAGACAAAATTATTCATACAGAAGCTTTCACGGTGATATGGTTTCTTTATTTCCATTTTTCCTCCTGAATAATTTTTTCATTAACTGTTTTACGTTTGGCATATTTTGAATTGGAAGACCACGTCATATTTGTAAGTAATTTTATTAGATTGATTCTTCTTTAAATGAAAGAAGATAAGGAGATGTAGTTGATCGATGTTCAACTGTTCAATTATTAGCCATGCTTGAATGAACAGAACCAAAAACTGACACTTTAAATATTTGTTCTGTCGCAATTTCCTGTTCCTTTAACATCTGTTATAGAAATATTCAATATACATTTTGATTAATTTTTATTTAATTAATTTTTATTAGTTATTTTTAATAATATAGATTAAACATTAAATATTAAAAAAGTTATGAGTTTACTATGTATTGTCTGTTTGACGTGACACAAAATTAATATTTCACGATAAAGTCTCAGAATACACACAGGTTGAGGAAATGAAATATGTTCTGTTTGTATCAAACTTATTAATCCAGTCTTATTGTTGCATATTTATACTACCAATCATTTCATTTTTCATTTTTCTCATAGTTCAAGTGTGCTTCTCAGGGTCGTTCTTGAATTATTCTTGGAGATGATGTACATGAATCCAAAAATTATGTCACCACCAGAAGTGATGACATATTGTTATAGTCTCCAACATTTTTTGTGGCTGGTATTTTGTGGTTGGTGTCTGACATCTGTAACAGCTTTCAGCAGTATGTGTAACAAATGGCAGGTAGTGACATTTTGCATGTTAATGCCTTGTTAGCAATCACTCACTTGTCCGTCTGTCTGTCTGTGCGTCCTTCCGTCAACAATAGTGGCATGTTTTAAAACCTCTGTCGATAGGATTTCCGTTTCAAGTTATTTCTGTTCAACATCAATACAGAAATCTCCCCTATGACTACTGGTTCAAAAGCTCGCCTATTTTCAAAATGGTCGCCATTTTTGTCTCGTGGAATTCACTTTTGGCCCATTTCCTAGCTTTACAAATAATTCCACGTGTCCTGCATTGTAAAAAGCCTTGTCTTTATAAAGAGTAGCTGTATAAAATAATTTTGTTACAAAAAGCCGGCAAAAAATTATATCCGTTTTTTTTTATTTGTTGTCATTTTAGACATCATTCACTTTTGAGCAACATCATGTGAGCCCAGTACCCACAGTACTAATTTTTTTTTAATAGTCAGCATCACAAGAAATTTTGAAATTCAATATTACAGAATCGAATTGAAATCATGTTTTCTGTATTCAAACAATAGAACTTGTTCCCATATTCTCAAGAGGAATATAAAGTGTCAACCCTAATCACTTTTTTATGTATTGTTCAACATTCTGGACAATATTGGGAAACAATGCCTCAAATAAGGCTATTGATTTGATGTCTAATATATTTCTCCCTTCCACAATGAAAACAATTCAAGTAAGATGTGATAATATTTCTATATACAAGGGGCGATCAACAAATAACGCAAATAGAGCCCTATCTCAGAAACTAATTGAACACCAAAGGATGATTCTCGGTTTGGAGAACGAAGTTCATCAATCTAAATGAGCATTATCCCTGCTTCGAACAAATTTGATTTTTTTACATAATATAGATTTGAATGTCTTCTTTCGAATGGTCATAATTTAATTTGGGTAATATTTCTAGATTTTTGGCAAAAAAATATTAGCGCAGTACACTGATGAACTTTTTTCCCCAAATCGAGACTTGTATTTTATTGAATCGGTCTAATTGAGCGTTATCCCTGCTTCAGACCAATTTGTTATTTTTACATCTTGTAGATTTAAATGTCCTCTTTTGAATATTCATGATTTTATTTGGGTAATATTTCTATATTTTTCATGAAAAAAATTATTAGCCCAGGAGACTGTTCTCCAAACCGAGAATCGTCCTTTGATACATCATATCACCAAACATTCATTATTATTTCCGCAAAATCCAAGTCACAAATATTACTTTATGTCGGAGTCACGGTTGCCATAGTAACCCGTGGTATGGGCACCTGAAGCAGGTCGTGAATCATAACAATAAGGTCTTCGACGTCTGTCCAAAATTTTTGAAAGACACCCTTAAGTCATACAGATCTTGTAAGATGTATTTTGTGGCATCAATGCACCTTTTAAACCATCTCCTATTCATCACTATCTTCCACTTGTTCAGAAAACATTGGACTTGGGTGGGAGAGGAAGTTGCGGGGGAGGAAGGAATGTGCCTCTATTCCTTATCGTTGGTTAAATTCCTTATAATTATTACCACATTCAATCGGGCTGTGTGATAGACATAGTCTTATTGAAATGGGGATAGTATAAACCAGAAATTCTGCTTCAAAGTATAATGCATTTCACCAGATCAGAAGACATGACACAAAGCATACAGTATGATATCTATATCTATACTACTCCAAATTCATCATACCTTAAGAGCACATGTTTACCTGTCCAAAATGTTCACGTTATCCAATACCATGATTCTTATTTCTCCCTTAAAAACAATACATCGATTTGATATTTTTATCACTGAATCTTTACTAATTTCATGTGTTCATTTTCTAAACATTAATAGACATTCAGTTTTTCGGGATCTTCCAATTTATGAGGGTTGTCACTGAAGTTTTTTCATTGGGAATTCTTTTTTCAGGTTAGCGGTTGGTTAAATTTAGCAGCCAATGTAATTGATAACTTTACTCATGGTCTGGCAGTTGCTGGCAGCTTCAGCATTAGCACTAAGGTAAAGTAATATAGTGACATCTATTTTCTGAATATTGAGCTAAAAGCATGTTGGGGAATATAAATGTTACTACATTGTATAATTGTATTGTATATTTATTTACCTCTAATCACTAGAGAGTTACAATAATAACGTTACACATTGAAATTATGAATAAAAATACACATATTTAATATACATGTATAATGTTTTCAGTAGAGTATACCACAGTATAGTATCATACTTAGTTTGTTGTGAATATATTTAATGAAAATCTAGTTCATTCATCAGTATTTTATGATCATTAATGAAAATGGTTTTGTGGTTACATTCACTGAATAGCCTGCAACATGTACTTTTATTTCTTGCATTAATGTTTAATACCATTATTTCTTTTAGGTTGGCATGACAACTACTTTTGCAATACTCATTCACGAGGTACCTCATGAAGTTGGCGACTTTGCCATTCTGTTGCGATCTGGATTTGATAGGTGGAAAGCAGCTAAGGCTCAAGTAAGTTCCTTCTACATGTACTTGCATATATCTACATTGTACATGTACAGTAAAACCTGCCTAAGTAGAAGGCCTTTGACCACAATTAAGTTCTCCATATGAGTGTTCCTTCCACTTGCTGAAGTTCCACAATATGAACTCAACAGGTTCAGGGACTGTTCTATTTCAGCTTTTATACTACTTGTCATATTTTTCAAGAAGGTCATGAAGAAGTTGTAATAACAAAAACTGTAAAACACATTAAATTTGCGGATATCTTGAATTCGTGTTTATTGGCATGAGCGTAAGATCACTTATTCAGGAGGCCGCAAATTTAGAATTGTTCACACAATTTTTTCCTGTAGTTTTAATACAGTTACCCCAGGGGAATTTGCAATTTGTTGTGTGTTGCGAAAACATGAATACTGTATAGGAAAAGAAACAAATGTACAAATTTGTGAAAATATCTCCCGCAAATTCGGTGTGTTTTACAGTACTTTACAGAAGATTCTTATACTTGAGTCAAACTTCTCTTGTATTTATTCACTTTATTCTTATCTATAAAACTTCCAGAATCCATTATTGTAGTTAGATGTGGAAACATGACTTTTTGTAAAGTAACTATGACCCAATGGAAAAAAAGTATGTTTTGAACTTAAAATACAGGCTCAATGATTTCTGAAAAACATCATAACTTTTAAAATCACATTTCAAGATGAAAAATATATATTAAAATGCATGATATAATAGTAATTTCACCCAAAGAAGAATGATTATTACTTAATCCTCAGATGCATTTTTAATGCATTTCTTGGTGTGTTGTACATTGAAGCTTTTTGAAGAGTGCATTATATGAGATAAAAAACATTATTGAACTATCAAATGAACTATTAAACTTTTTGGCTTCATCATAGAATAAATGTAGAAAAGCACCAAGGAGAATTAGAAATGATCTGCTATGTATAAAGGAATATTAATAATGGAAAGATATATAAGCATAATTGACCTACAAGTAATGAAACTATCGTATTTTCATTTGTCAGTTAAATTAATACCAGATATCTATCATTCTGATACTCATAACATCTTTCTGTTTCACCTGAAACATCTCAGGGCTGAGAAGAAATTAGATGTCATGGTTTATCATGGTGGATATCTATTATTACATTTCAGTTGCTGACAGCATCTGGTGGAGTTTTAGGTGCAATCACTGCTCTGGCAGCTGATTCTGTGCAAAGTGCGGGTATGTACTTTATACGTAGATGCAAAAACTGCTCTTGATAACCCTGAAAAGTTTTAAGATATTTGTATGATTATATATGATTTTATTCACTTTATCTACTTCAAATGGATAAGTATGAGTTTTAAAAATGATGTTTAAGAAATGTCCTAAAATCCTTGAATTTGAATTTAAGTTCATAAACAACTGCAAACCTTGTCATTTTCATGTGCTAGCTCTGTCCATAAGTCATTCGTCAATCTGTTTATGTGTCCAGGAGATACCAATACCAGTTGTCAGATTTGGTTCACATTTTATAGCTAGCTACTTTGTAGGCCTAGGACCTTTCTCAAGGTTTGACAATGTGACACTGTGTTTATTCAAAATTGCTACTCAAACCAAAATACCAGAAATTCTTTGTCATCACTTGAATATACGATACCCAATTAAAACTATATGTCACACATGCATTTTTGGCAAAAGGATGAAGTTTTTCAGCCTGATCTATCATGCAAAGTTTCAAATGACGAATCATTTGGTAGATAATTTTTGTTCAGTTGGATTTGCTACTCCAGGGAGTTGCTGTGTTCTTTATACATTTCACATTTTGAGGGATTTCACTTCTCTGAAACCCTACTAAAGCACTGATTTCTGAAATATAATAGAGAAACAATGTTTAAATGTGAATAATTAAAAACATCAAAAATCACCAGGTTTCCAGTATATGATACAAACCAATTTTCATTTTAATTTCATATGTTCAATACAAGATGGACGAAGTAGAATTATTTCTATATGGGGATCCAAACTTAACAAAATCTACCAATGTGAAAATCCTCAAGTTCACTGCATTATTCCTTGAAAAATTTGCAAATGTGTAGGTCTCTGCCAACATCTCACTTCGCTCTGGAGTTCTATTTTACATTTTCTTCATCCTGCAAATATTATTCTCATTCTAGTGGTTGATAATGCTATAAGAAAGTCGCTACACTATGTTTTTAGATGTAGTGTGAAATAAATTCTATGAATAAAGAAAAAAATCTATGATTTCCATTTATGGATATAAGATATTCAAATTGAATCATGTTTGTTTCCAGGAGATAATACAGCCTGGATTCTTCCATTTACATCGGGTGGTTTCATGTATATTGCCTTGGTTACAGTGGTACCAGATCTGCTCCAAGAGAAACATAGGGGGTAAATACATCTTAATTATAATTGTACAAATTACTGGTGTTCCCAAGATTCTCTAGTATTTTTTATAGCATTTAGTATTGAACTTTTTTTCCAATACCCTGACTTAAGCATCAGAGTAAAACTAGCATCAGGTAAGTCAAAATGGCGTTGAACCAATTCTGTGTGTTGTTGAACGTAAATGTAGCCACATAAGTTTCATCATTGAGGTTGCAATGTACAGTCACAAATAGTTTGTAGATGCTGAGTATCAACTTAGTATATATAAAGGATAATGACCCATTTCAAAACTGTCGAAAAGTATGTGGCCACCAGCTTTGTCAGGAAATTTACTTCCATTAATATAAGTACCTGCATATGATAGATATGTATATGTGAACAGTTTGTCCAGGGGTTTCATTAGCAGCAGGCAATTTTCACCTGTTGCTCTCAAAAAATCGCCTGTTGTTTTTGGGGACTTTTCATGTTAAATTTATGATGTCCATTAATTATGCCTCTTATTTTCATTTATTTAGCCTGTTGTGAGAACTTCTAGTGAAACCCCTGTTGTCATACTCAAGGAGTGTCTTGTATATTGAGGCTTGCTGTTTGAAGTAATATTGTACATGAATACACATGGCAAAATAATATGCCAAAATAATTATTATGATGCAATGACAACACACCGATATACTCATATAACTATCTCTTCTTATTCAAAACTAAGTGCTATATATCACCAGAATTTGTGGACATTTGCTCATGTTTTTCTATATAGTTTGATATTAGGATAATTTTACACTGGTGATAATGGTCCAAATATGGCAAAATATGGATATTGCTGGGATTTTTCAACTCAAAAGAATGAATTATGTGTTCACATATTGTTAAATGACTGTTTTACTATTACTACCTACATATGATAGATCCCTGTTATCATATTCAAGGAGTGTCTTGTGTATTGAGGCTTGCTGTTTGAAGTAATATTGTACATGAATACACATGGCAAAATAATATGCCAAAATAATTATTATGATGCAATGACAACACACCGATATACCCATATAACTATCTCTTCTTATCCAAAACTCAGTGCTATATATATATTTGCTCATGTTTTTCTATATAGTTTGATATAAGGATGATTTTACATTGGTGATAATGGTCCAAATATGGCAAAACTAGCAACTCAAAAGAATGAATTACGTGTTCACATATTGTTATACGACTGTTTTAGTACTGTAGTAAAATGCTTGATTAGGAAATGCTTGATAAGAATTTATTAATGATTAAAAACGTCCATGTTTTTCTTTTTATTCAGTTGAGGAATACATCAATTGATGATTTTTTGTCTATTGTTTATGCTTTATTAATATAAATGTATGTTGCCCCATGTTTACAAATTGATTTTTTGCGATAAAGTTTATAAATTACATCTTTGTTTCATCCATAAGAGGTTCCTGTTTCTCAATAACAGCCTCAAGGGGCCTATGTGAATGTTTTTTTCTCAAGCGTAAATAAGGCACAACCATGCAAAGTGCGCTTGTAATAATTGCCCCACCACCCACAAAGAATGAGCCATTGTATGAATGAAGTGAATCATACATGAAACCTGCTACAGGTCCACCTAATAACATCCCAAATGCAGCACATGCCAATGTTGCACCATAACCATTTGGTAGTTCATTAGGCCCTAAGATCTGACAAATTATTGTTGGTGAAAGTACTTCAGCTGTTGCACTACAAAGTCCTATCAATCCAGAATAAGCAAGTAATTGTCCATATTGTGTAAGCAAAGGTAGTAACATCTTTGCTACACCACACACAATAGGACCACCAATGTAGAGCAGCATGGCATCTGCCTTTGGGTGATGTGCTATGACTCCAAACAAAAGTAGTCCAACAATATTAGTGATACCAAGTACAGAAAACAACATTGCACTTTCACTTCCTCCAATACCCATCAAAAGAGAATATTCTGATAAATGAGTAAAAATAATTGAAAAACCAAAATAAAACACTAGAAAATGGAAACATAATATTAAAAAGTTGAATGATTTCAATATTCCCAAATTGAATACTGCTTCATTTTTGTCAGTCTCCATCATTAGTTCTTTAGTTCTAAATGGGCGCATTAGCATACCACATACACAGATATTTAATCCGATCCCTGACAAAATAAGCATAGTTCCTCGCCATCTATATTCCTCATTTAGGGCTTCAATCAGTAGAGGATATAGGAATGAGCCTATGCCAAGTCCAGCTTTTGCTATTCCAAATGCAATTGTCTTCTTGGCTTCAAAATAGTCATTGATAATTGTATTGGCTGGAACATGAGCTATTCCTAAGCCTCCCCCTGCAAAAATGTAATAGAAAACATACATAGTAAAATCATTGACATTTGGATTGTGCATTAGCATTATTTCATATGTCCATTCAAACCTGTTACAAAAAGTATATGGCCCCTTGATACACCAGGGAATTTACCCCCATGATGACTACACACACACATAAATGTGGAACTCCCCATGGAGTATATGATAAGATGATATGGTCTCATATAGGATTTGACTTAATGCAACTATGGAGTATTTAAAAACTGAATATGACAAATGAGTGCTTGCAAGTGACAATTCTGAGTAGAAGATTCATCCCTTACATAAGTTTTTTGAAGTGACAAAAATATGCTCTCCATTCTGATAAAATGATATCAATAACAGATGATTAATTATACCAAATGTTGTGATTGTCTTAATACGAATGAAACCAGTAAAATATGACTAGGAAAATTTAAATGTGACACATAACAATTTTGAAATTTTAAATCAAAAAGTGACAAAGGCAACCTCCCTGTCCATTCATTCAGAGCCTTAACGGCATAGGCAGCCTTGTGTTTGTTTTGTCTAAGCCAATGCATTAAGAATGAGCATATTTGCTATCATTTGCAATAACATTTTTTATCTATTAAACAGCAATATTCTAATTAGAATTCTGGTTTTACTGTAGTTTAATCTGCAACAGCAGGGGCGAGATTTTTCAAAGTTCAGTGTTGGTATTGGGTCACATAGTTTCCATGTGAACGATCCATATAAAGCTTAAAGGACCATATAGGAATTCAACTTACTATTGTCTGCCATCTTGAATGTCATGTGATAGATCCATATAAGGCTTGTAGGATCATATAGGGAAAGTTAAGGGGAATCCCCTGATACCAATACCAAAGAATTGTGGGAGCTACTCGCTTCTTCTACGCTTGAATAAACTCTGTGTTATAAGTAACTAGAAAAGGTGCACACTGAGTGGAAGATTCATCCCTTACATAAGTTTTTTGAAGTGACAAAAATATGCTCTCCATTCTGATAAATTGATATCAATAACTATTTATACATGTCATGATATAGGGAGAAAATCAATAAACTCAAGGCCTGTGTTATACTTGCTAACTGTATATTGAATGCTCTTACTATGCTAGAATATTTTCTGTCCCTATATCTTGACACTGTTAGATTTTTACCAGGTATGTCTATTTGAATTAGGGATCCCACGATACATTTGTTTTCGATTCGATACGTATCTCGATATTATGAAAACGATTCGATACAAACGATTCGATACACATATTCATGTAAATGTCTGTGTATACATAGGGGGGAGGGGGGGGTTGGTCCCCACGCTAAAAAATATTTCAAAGTTACCCTTCTGAGCATAGAAAGTTGTGTTGTTATTGAATGTTGGGTTTTTAAAAGACCTCCACACCTCACTACTTTCCTTAGAGGTTGTGATTATTGCGATGGATGGTGTTCTCCACAGATGTTGCCAGATTGTTTTGTAGCAGGATCATAGGCTCAAAGAATAAATGATTCTACTACAAAAGAATCTGGCCGGGATCTATGGTGTTCTCCATATTACGAATATTTATTTCGTTCCAAGACTATCTCTACGTTCTGGCACGGGATAAATGAATATCAGCAAATTTATGGGATTTAAATCTCGCCGAGGTTTCGCTATTCATTAAATATTCGAACGTCATGTTTGATTGTCGTTCGCTAAATATATCGCAAATTCGAAAGATCTTAAAACATTAAAATAAAGATACGTCTAGGACCCTATCGCATTTATTACGTATTAAGATAATTAATGCTATAATTATTGGTGTGAAAATGCACATAGGACATCTACAATCACAATTGTTCGCAAAATTATTGAAAATCCGTTTATTGCTAAAAAGTTCACGTTCGGTTTGAATCACGAAAATATGTGGCGTGTCATGTTAGCTCTTCAAAATATGTTCAATTTTTAATTTTTCCCGGACTTTTGCTGTGTCAATTTTGGTTTAATAGAGGTCTTTTACTTACTTAACAGGTAAGTTGATTTGAAAAATGATTATCGATAATATCGAAAATAGAGGATCCATATCGATTAATCGAATCGGAGGTGATTTCTAGTGATTATATCGGTGCATCGAGCAATCGTGGGATCCCTAATTTGAATAGATCATGAGTATATCCTTATATGTGTGAAGTTTCGACGAAATTCATAAAATCTAAACTTCATTGCCTATAAGACATTTGCCTTACCGCTATCTAAATCATGTCAGTAAGATCTTAGACTTGGCATGTGGTTAGAATGAATGTTGATCTAGTCAAATATCATACTTTCGTGAAATATAGTACGAAATACAGAAGATTATCAAATCAAATCAAATCAAATAGCTACAGTAGTATGGCCTAATTGGTACGTCACTACGAGATAAAATCCATCACTCCATCCATCCGTATTGCACTTTGTTTCGCCAAAGCTCTTTAATTTTGAAAAAAGATGCTAAATATGTGATTTAAATTGACAGTATTATCCAAAAGCACCCAGTGAACTAATGGGTGTCACAAGAATTTTCAAAGGGAAGGGAGGGGTGAGACTACATCTAACAGAATCATATCTTGAATTTCAACCCTTGTTTTCCTTGCAACCAATCACAGTTCCTTACCTGTAATTATTCCAAATGTGATATACAGGTGGTATATATTAGTTGAAAACACACTTGTTCCAAGACCAATTGCAAATATAACACCACCCAAGATTACCACAGGCCTGCTGCCATATTTGTTAGTCAATATACTGCCTACTGGTGCTAAAAATAAAAATGGATGCATGCTAGTAAACTTGTTTCTGTACTCAAAAACATAGAAAATTTATTCTGTTCTCATATTGTGCGTTCTCCTGGAACTAATTCATTGATAGTATTTAGGCTGCGTTTTGATTTGCCCATGGCGCAAGTCAGTTGTGTAATATTTAATGAGATTTCTCCTTTGGGATCACGAAAAAGAACAAGTCCAATGGAGCAAATTACATTGTCACACCTTTTCAACAAATACAGCTCATCCAAGTGCACCTAAATTCACATACTTCTTTTGAAAGACGCCTTGGTTTATTGCAATAGAACTCCTGTGGTGCATCAGTGATAAGGCAACGAAAGTATGATTGACAAGATTGTCACAGGGGAATTAAGCGGTGTAAGTGTGCTTGGATGAACTGTTTTTGTTGAAAACGTGTGACTATGTTTTTCGCTGTGCAGGGCCTATTGAACTTTTTGTGATACCCAGGAGAAACTCATATAAATATTAGGTAATTGACTTGCACTGCGGGCATTCAAAAACCAGCCTTATGTCTCAGTGCTGTAATGAGAATGATTTACCTGTGATAGAATAACTGCTCCTGCTAATGGTTCCAACCCAAGCTGTCACTCCCTTAGAGGCTTTAAATGTATCTAGAAATATGACAAATGTCACTCCAATTGTGTAGGCAATTCCAGCTATGAAGACATGGATCATAAAGGAGCATAACACAATCAACCATGCATACCCTTCATCCTTCTCGTTTGCAGAAGAAACTGAAATGACTTTGTATTCACTGCTGCAAAGTTCATTTTTTTGCCCAGGGTTTCTTTTCCATGTTTCAGCGTTTTCACCTTTTTCATCCAATAATTTATTAGAAACTTGATCAGTTGAGCTATTCCACTCCAGTTTCATCTCTTTTTGACTAATTTTCCCTTTACAATTGGTAATTCTGGTTGATAATTATATTTTGAATTGTTACAGGGACCACTATACAATCTTAAATATTATACAGGTATACAGAAAAGGTACAGCTGCCAAAGTGTGACATCATAAAAACTGATATGACCTCCTGTAGTCATTGACCAAGACTCCTGTGCTATTATGTTTTTGTTTTGATGATTTGAATGAATTTGGTTTTTGTAAATTTCGGACTGTACATTTGAATCATATTTTGCGTTCCATTTTTTAACATAAAAGCAATCTTTGTATTTGTCATACATACAAATCATTCTTTAGAGTTTATTCACAGATATGTTGAATTCTGAAACATGCAATTCCCTTTTAGTTGATTTTTGAAAAGATTCAAAATCAAAAGAATTTTTATTTGCTATTATAATGAACTCGTGAACTTACAGTTACTTACTGAATACTTGCAAATAGTATTGTATTAATGAAATGAAACACAATGAAATGAAATTCCAAAAAGACCAAATTGAAATAACAATATATCCATTGTGCTGTAGGCTCTAACATAAAATTTTTTTTTAAATTTTAATACCTTGCAACAAAAAACAACCAACGCTGAAAAACCTATTTGTTCTTTCTTTGTATTGAAAATAAAAAATAAAACATTCTGTTCTCTATCACAGCATCCTCCTAAGCAGGTATCCAGAATCCGTACCTCCTTCTTCCACCTGCTATAACCAATTTGGAAGCGCCCAATTAAACTGAATCATGTGATCTAATTATGCGCAATCAGATTGCGAGTTCTTAATCGGGGAAATGCTACTGCTTATCGCAGGGGGAAAAGAAAGAATATATTCTGGATTTTGAAGCTCTGTGATCGGAGGATGCTATCACAGTTCCGCTGTTTTTTATCCCATCGAACAAAGTTCAGAGGGATAAAGGGGAACGCCTCCGTCCATCTGTCCGTATGTCTGTCCGTACATCTGTACGTACGTCCGTCCATCCGTCCAGGCAATAACTCAAATACCGTTGGCCTGATTTTGTTAATATTTTGTACACATATACCCTATGGAGGTAATTATATAATTATATATTTATAAAGCTAGAAATGTAGATATTTAAGAAGCACATGGCAGCCATCTTGAAAAATGGCGGCCTTTACTCATTATTTTACGATTTTTGCTGTAACTCGAAAAGTAGTGGTTTGATTTTGTTCATATTTGGTATGTGAATTCTATAAGCATGGCACACACTTTTGGTAGAAGGTGGCCATTTTGAAAAATGGCCACCATTTTACCATATTTTACTATAACTCGAAAAGTAGTGGAGTGATTTTGTTCATATTTGGTATGTGAATACTATTAAGCATGGCACACTGTCTTATGACACTTTTGGTAGAGGGTGGCCATTTCGAAAAATAGCTGCCATTTTTGCTGTATACTCGTTTGTAAAAATGCCAGCCATGGCTGTTCGATGGGTTTTGCTACGCTTTGGCGTTGCTGTTGTCTAGTTTTTATCTTAAATGACGAGAATCATGAACGTTTTGAGAAATGAAAACATTTTAGATGAACTTGTGAATCATTATGAAGTTTAATTTGTTTTTGTGAAATGAACATTTTATTATCTTGTTAAAGAATGCTGTCAAATCCATTTTGGTGGGCCTATGGGATCGACCAGGCATCCGTCTGTCTGTCCGTAAGTCCGTCCGTCCATCTGTTGGTCCATCCGTCCGTCCATCCGTCAACATTGGCCGCACAAATTAAAACTGCTATTCGGATTGAGTCATATCCACATTCATTTTATGCATATCCATAATGCCTATTTGACCTATCATGGCCATTTCCCAAGTTTGCCCGGTTTCCGAGAAATTGCGGATTTTGACGTCAAAAAGTCAAATTTTCTGTAAATACTAGACACTTTGTTGAAGTAGAACTTTTAAACAACTTTTAGTAGTTGCTGTATGTGCACCTTATGTCCTCTGAAGATTTCAAAGCTCTTGGAATTACAGTTTTTGGTGTTTACTCTATAAAATTTGACAAAAAGTAGGACTTAGTCATTTTCAGGAAACATTCTCATGTACTGAATTAGTAAAATTTTCAAGGTCAAAGGTCATCAAACTAGGTCACACAACTGTGCTATCTAGGTTTCTCAAAGTTCGAGACTACAAATCCAAATCAATATTTTTGTTTGAAAGTCAGGATATACATTCCTCTGAAGGTTCCAAACTGTGTGAGCACAGGACCGTGGGTCCTTCATTAAACATAAACACAAGATTTGAGCATCAGGTAAGTCAAAATGGTGTTGTGTTCTTGAATGCAGATGTAGCGTCATAAGTTTCATCATTGAGGTTGAAATTTACAGTCACCAATACTTTGTAGATGCTGAGTATCAACTTAGTATATATAAAAGATAATGACCCATTTCAAAAGTGTCGAAAAGTATGTGACCCTCAGCTTTGTCAGGAAATTAACTTCCGTTAATATTACTACCTACATATGATAGATCCCTGTTATCATATTCAAGGAGTGTCTTGTGTATTGAGGCTTGCTGTTTGTAGTAATATTGTACATGAATACACATGGCAAAATAATATGCCAAAATAATTATTATGTTTGTTTGTTTGTTTGTTTTTATTTTTTATTTATAGTGGTAAGTCTATACAACAAAGTCAAACAAAATAAGTTTATGTAAAACAACCCAGCCCACCTTGGGCTTATTAACCACTTCAAATAACATTTAATAACAAATTCAAAATATAAATATAAGTTACAGGTTCATGGATCCTTATAAATCAGCTGCTGTCTTCTTACATATGCCTCTCTAATATATTTAACAATTTTACAAGTCTCATTTTCAAAAAGATATTTAATTCTTAAGCCATCAGGCTGTACATGATGATTCAAATTACCAAAATATTTCTCTCGAAGGTCCTTATATACCTCACAATAAAATAGGAAATGGGCCTCTGATTCAACCTCATTATTGTTACATAAAGTACAAATTCTATTTTCAACTTTTTCTCCTCTAAATCGCCCTGTTTCTATGTGCAGGGGTAAAATTCCTAATCTTAACTGAGCCGAAAGGCTCCGCTCAAATTTTGTAAAATTAAGTGAAAGATATTTTTCTGCTTTAAAGTCTGTCTTGAATGTTGCATATGTTCTTAATTTAGGTTTTGCCTTTACATTATTTAACCATTCTAGAGTATAATTATTTAAGAGCCCCCTTTTTAAAAGGGTTAAATCAACAAAATCAGTATTTACATATTTTGCTTCCATTTCAACAGATTGTAATATATTTCTAACTGCCTTCATCCAGTTATTATTGCGGTCTTTACTCCATTTAAAAATTCTTTTAGTAAGGCGACCACTTTCAAGATTTACAAACCTGTTCCACAATCTTATAGTTTCTATCTTATGTACAATCTCTAATGGGAGATACCCCGTCTCTCCCTGAACACCTGCTAGAGGGGCAAAGCGATGAACCCCAAGTAAAAATCGTTGTGCCCTATTATGAACATTATTACATACTTTAAGCATGTGCTGGTCATATCCCCAGACTCCTACAGCATAATTTAAAACAGGGATAACACAAGAATTGTAAAGTTTTGTGAATGTCTTAAAACCTATATCACTGACACCCTTACAACGATTAATGATAGAACCAAGGGCTCTGCTTGCAGCATCAGACAATGTATTGGCAGTTTTAACAAAATTTCCAAACTCGCTGAAGAAAATCCCAAGGTATTTATAATCACTAACAATTTTAAGTCTTTTACCCTCAAGTGTAAATATGAAATCAGTTACTTTATTGCTTTTGGGTCTAAAGTGTAAAATATTTGATTTGTCAATATTTGTCCTCAATCTCCATTTGAAGCACCATTTACTTACAATATCTAGCATTTGCTGCAATTTTTCTGGAGAGTCTGACAGCAGTACAATATCATCAGCATATGCTAAAACTGATACATTAGTATCTTTATCTATATTTAAGCCAAGCTTTGACTGTTTTATCTCTTTTAGCAAATCATTAATATAAAGGGCAAAAAGACTCGGAGATAATGTATCTCCTTGCCGTACTCCTGACTTTGTAGGAAACCAGTTAGTCAGCATATCATTAATTTTTACAGCAGACAGAGTTCCAATATACATACTCTTTATAGCATTATACATTTTTCCATTAACACCATGTTTAAGAAGTGAGTAAAAAAGTAAATCCCTGTTAACTAAATCAAAAGCTTTCTGCAAATCTATAAAACCTGCATACACATTATTGTTATTCTTTATTGCATCTTGCACGATAGCATTTAATGTAAATATGTGATCAGAACATGATCTTTTTTTCCTAAAACCATTTTGTTCATCCACCAAAAGATCATGTTCTTCTGAAAAAGAGATGAGTCTATTATTAATGATACTGCTATATAATTTATACACACAGGATAAGATACTTATACCTCTGTAGTTTAAAGGGACACGCTTATCTTTATTACCAGATTTGGGGATTGGAAAAATAACTGCTCTCAGCCAAACACTAGGGATTTTTCCACTCTCAAAACATAAGTTAAAAAATGCATGCAAAATAAGTTTAACATTTTCAAATTTAAGGACCTCATTTGGTAAGCCATCATAACCTTTTGTCTTAAAATTTTTGGCTTTAATCAGAACCAATGAGATTTCTTCTAATGAGATACCAACATTGATATCAGCATTGGATAATCCATGTTGCTCTAAAATTCCAAACTCCGACATTACATTCTTATAAAATTCATTATCAAAACCATCATGTTTCGGATTATACAATGCTTTATATTCTGCTTCCCATTGCGAGATAACAGAGTCCCTATTAAAAACTGAGTTTCCATTTTCATCCAAAACTTCGATAGGTATATCAGATTTCATTTTTGGCCCAGTCGACTTCACAAAGTCCCAAAACTTTTTGATGCAATGACAACACACCGATATACTCATATAACTATCTCTTCTTATTCAAAACTAAGTGCTATATATCACCAGAATTTGTGGACATTTGCTCATGTTTTTCTATAGTTTGATATTAGGATAATTTTACACTGGTGATAATGGTCCAAATATGGCAAAATATGGATATTGCTGGGATTTTTCAACTCAAAAGAATGAATTATGTGTTCACATATTGTTAAATGACTGTTTTAGTACTGTAGTAAAATGCTTGATTAGGAAATTCTTGATTAGGATTTATCAATGATTAAAAACGTCCATGTTTTTCTTTTTATTCAGTTGAGGAATACATCAATTGATGATTTTTTTGTCTATTGTTTATGCTTTATTAATTAATATAAATGTATGTTGCTCCATGATTACAAATTGATTTATGCGATAAAGTTTATAAATTACATCTTTAGTGTGTCATCCATAAGAGGTTGCAGTTTCTCAATAACAGCCTCAAGGGGCCTATGTGAATGTTTTTTTCTCAAGCGTAAATAAGGCACAACCATGCAAAGTGCGCTTGTAATAATTGCCCCACCACCCACAAAGAATGAGCCATTGTATGAATGAAGTGAATCATACATGAAACCTGCTACAGGTCCACCTAATAACATCCCAAATGCAGCACATGCCAATGTTGCACCATAACCATTTGGTAGTTCATTAGGCCCTAAGATCTGACAAATTATTGTTGGTGAAAGTACTTCAGCTGTTGCACTACAAAGTCCTATCAATCCAGAATAAGCAAGTAATTGTCCATATTGTGTAAGCAAAGGTAGTAACACTGTTGCTACACCACACACAATAGGACCACCAATGTAGAGCAGCATGGCATCTGCCTTTGGGTGATGTGCTATGACTCCAAACAAAAGTAGTCCAACAATATTAGTGATACCAAGTACAGAAAACAACATTGCACTTTCACTTCCTCCAATACCCATCAAAAGAGAATATTCTGATAAATGAGTAAAAATAATTGAAAAACCAAAATAAAACACTAGAAAATGGAAACATAATATTAAAAAGTTGAATGATTTCAATATTCCCAAATTGAATACTGCTTCATTTTTGTCAGTCTCCATCATTAATTCTTTAGTTCTAAATGGGCGCATTAGCATACCACATACACAGATATTTAATCCGATCCCTGACAAAATAAGCATAGTTCCTCGCCATCTATATTCCTCATTTAGGGCTTCAATCAGTAGAGGATATAGGAATGAGCCTATGCCAAGTCCAGCTTTTGCTATTCCAAACGCAATTGTCTTCTTGGCTTCAAAATAGTCATTGATAATTGTATTGGCTGGAACATGAGCTATTCCTAAGCCTCCCCCTGCAAAAATGTAATAGAAAACATACATAGTAAAATCATTGACACTTGGATTGTGCATTAGCATTATTTCATATGTCCATTCAAACCTGTTACAAAAAGTATATGGCCCCTTGATACACCAGGGAATTTACCCCCATGATGACTACACACACACATAAATATGGAACTCCCCATGGAGTATATGATAAGATGATATGGTCTCATATAGGATTTGACTTAATGCAACTATGGAGTATTTAAAAACTGAATATGACAAATGAGTGCTTGCAAGTGACAATTCTGAGTAGAAGATTCATCCCTTACATAAGTTTTTTGAAGTGACAAAAATATGCTCTCCATTCTGATAAAATGATATCAATAACAGATGATTAATTATACCAAATGTTGTGATTGTCTTAATATGAATGAAACCAGCAAAATATGACTAGGAAAATTTAAATGTGACACATAACAATTTTGAAATTTTAAATCAAAAAGTGACAAAGGCAACCTCCCTGTCCATTCATTCAGAGCCTTAACGGCATAGGCAGCCTTGTGTTTGTTTTGTCTAAGCCAATGCATTAAGAATGAGCATATTTGCTATCATTTGCAATAACATTTTTTATCTATTAAACAGCAATATTCTAATTAGAATTCTGGTTTTACTGTAGTTTAATCTGCAACAGCAGGGGCGAGATTTTTCAAAGTTCAGTGTTGGTATTGGGTCACATAGTTTCCATGTGAACGATCCATATAAAGCTTATAGGACCATATAGGAATTCAACTTACTATTGTCTGCCATCTTGAATGTCATGTGATAGATCCATATAAGGCTTGTAGGATCATATAGGGAAAGTTAAGGGGAATCCCCTGATACCAATACCAAAGAATTGTGGGAGCTACTCGCTTCTTCTACGCTTGAATAAACTCTGTGTTATAAGTTACTAGAAAAGGTGCACACTGAGTGGAAGATTCATCCCTTACATAAGTTTTTTGAAGTGACAAAAATATGCTCTCCATTCTGATAAATTGATATCAATAACTATTTTTTATACATGTCATGATATAGGGAGAAAATCAATAAACTCAAGGCCTGTGTTATACTTGCTAACTGTATATTGAATGCTCTTACTATGCTAGAATATTTTCTGTCCCTATATCTTGACACTGTTAGATTTTTACCAGGTATGTCTATTTGAATTAGGGATCCCACGATACATTTGTTTTCGATTCGATACGTATCTCGATATTATGAAAACGATTTGATACAAACGATTCGATACACATATTCATGTAAATGTCTGTGTATACATAGGGGGGGAGGGGGGGGGGGGGGTTGGTCCCCACGCTAAAAAATATTTCAAAGTTACCCTTCTGAGCATAGAAAGTTGTGTTGTTATTGAATGTTGGGTTTTTAAAAGACCTCCACACCTCACTTCTTTCCTTAGAGGTTGTGATTATTGCGATGGATGGTGTTCTCCACAGATGTTGCCAGATTGTTTTGTAGCAGGATCATAGGCTCAAAGAATAAATGATTCTACTACAAAAGAATCTGGCCGGGATCTATGGTGTTCTCCATATTACGAATATTTATTTCGTTCCAAGACTATCTCTACGTTCTGGCACGGGATAAACGAATATCAGCAAATTTACGGGATTTAAATCTCGCCGAGGTTTCGCTATTCATTAAATATTAGAACGTCATGTTTGATTGTTGTTCGCTAAATATATCGCAAATTCGAAAGATCTTAAAACATTAAAATAAAGATACGTCTAGGACCCTATCGCATTTATTACGTATTAAGATAATTAATGCTATAATTATTGGTGTGAAAATGCACATAGGACATCTAAAATCACAATTGTTCGCAAAATTATTGAAAATCTGTTTATTGCTAAAAAGTTCACGTTCGGTTTGAATCACGAAAATATGTGGCGTGTCATGTTAGCTCTTCAAAATATGTTCAATTTTTTATTTTTCCCGGACTTTTGCTGTGTCAATTTTGGTTTAATAGAGGTCTTTTACTTACTTAACGGGTAAGTTGATTTGAAAAACGATTATCGATAATATCGAAAATAGAGGATCCATATTGATTAATCGAATCGGAGGTGATTTCTAGCGATTATATCGGTGCATCGAGCAATCGTGGGATCCCTAATTTGAATAGATCATGAGTATATCCTTATATGTGTGAAGTTTCGACGAAATTCATAAAATCTAAACTTCATTGCCTATAAGACATTTGCCTAACCGCTATCTAAATCATGTCAGTAAGATCTTAGACTTGGCATGTGGTTAGAATGAATGTTGATCTAGTCAAATATCATACTTTCGTGAAATATAGTACGAAATACAGAAGATTATCAAATCAAATCAAATCAAATAGCTACAGTAGTGTGGCCTAATTGGTACGTCACTACGAGATAAAATCCATCACTCCATCCATCCGTATTGCACTTTGTTTCGCCAAAGCTCTTTAATTTTGAAAAAAGATGCTAGATATGTGATTTAAATTGACAGTATTATCCAAAAGCACCCAGTGAACTAATGGGTGTCACAAGAATTTTCAAAGGGAAGGGAGGGGTGAGACTTCATCTAACAAAATCATATCTTGAATTTCAACCCTTGTTTCCTTGCAACCAATAACAGTTCCTTACCTGTAATTATTCCAAATGTGATATACAGGTGGTATATATTTGTTGAAAACACACTTGTTCCAAGACCAATTGCAGATATAACACCACCCAAGATAACCACAGGCCTGCTGCCATATTTGTTAGTCAACAAACTGCCTACTGGTGCTAAAAATAAAAATTGATGCATGCTAGTAAGCTTGTTTTTGTATTCAAAAACATGGAACATTTATTCTGTTCTCAAATTGTGCATTCTCCTGGAACTAATCCATTGATAGTATTTAGGCTGCGTTTTGAACTGCCGGTGGCACAAGTCAGTTGTGTGTAACATTTAATTAGATTTCTCCTTTGGTATCACGAAAAAGAACAAGTCCAGTGGAGCAAATTACATGGTCACACCTTTTCAACAAAAACAGCTCATCCAAGAACACCTCAATTAACATACTTCTTTTAAAAGACGACTAGGTTTATTGCAATCAAACTCCTGTGGTGCATCAGCGACAAGGCAACGCAAGTGTGATTAACAAGATTGTCACAGGGGAATTAAGCTGTGTTAGTGTGCTTGGATGAGTTGTTTTTGTAGAAAATGTGCGACCATGTTATTCACTCCGCAGGGCCTATTGAACTTTTTGTGATACCCAGGAGAAACTCATATAAATATTAGGTAATTGACTTGCACTGCGGGCATTTAAAAAACCAGCCTTATGTCACAGTGCTGTAATGAGAATGATTTACCTGTGATAGAATAACCGCTCCTGCAAATGGTTCCAACCCAAGCTGTCACTCCCTTAGAGGCTTTAAATGTATCTAGAAATATGACAAATGTCACTCCAATTGTGTAGACAATTCCAGCTATGAAGACATGGACCATAAAGGACCATAACACAATCAACCATGCATATCCTTTATCCTTCCTGTTTGCAGAAGAAACTGAACTGTCTTTATATTCACTGCTGCAAAGTTCAGTTGGAAATTCATTTTTTTGCCCAGGGTTTCTTTTCCATGTTTCAGCGTTTTCACCTTTTTCATCCAATAATTTATTAGAAACTTGATCAGTTGAGCTATTCCACTCCATTTTCATCTCTTTTTCGACTAATTTTCCCTTTGCAATTGGTAATTCTGGTTGAGAATTATATTTTGACTTGTTACAGGGACCACTATATAATCTTATATATTATACAGGTATATACAGGTATATATTATAAATTCCATCCATCAAAATGCTATGTGCTAAATATTCACAAAGGTAAATCCCCTATCATGCACAATTACACCATGCTAGGGGAAAACCTTAAGACGGTAACACACATCCCATACCTAGGAATTGACATCACAAATAACTTACGCTGGACTACACATATTCAAACTATTGTATCCAAAGCCAATAAGGTGCTTGGATTTCTCAGGCGCAACCTCCATCAATGCCCTGAAAAAGTGAAGGCTCAGGCGTATAAGTCACTAGTCCGGCCTAATTTAGAGTATGCCAGCTCGGCATGGGATCCATACCGACAAAAATATATTGATATGTTGGAACAGGTACAGAGAAGAGCAGCCAGGTTTGTAACCAAATGTCACTCAAGGGAACCAGGCTGCGTCACCAAAGCTCTTCAAGACCTACAGTGGGAGCCACTGAAGGAGCGTCGAGAGGCTGCTAGAGTTTTCCTTTTCTACAAAGGAAAGCAGAACCTAGCAGCCATCGACGTGCCTCCATACTTCCGCCAACAGATCAATACCAACACTAGGTTGTATCATCCTTCTAAGTTCATACAACCATCAGCTAGAACAGATGCATACAAATTTAGCTATTTCCCTAGGACAATAGCTAAATGGAACACTCTACCTGGTGACATCTTAGACTGTGACAGTCTAAGTAGTTTTAAATCATCATACTATGCCTATGTCAATAACTGCAATTAAATAGGTGTGTTTTTAATATAGATCTATGTTTTAATGTAAAGGGTCCCCAGTGCACAGCAACAAGCCTGCACTACTGGTAAAGAGGGGTGATGTCAACGCGGTAGCCTGACAGTCTCCCCAGGTAAATTGAGTTGTAAACCATAGATCTATTTTTAAATGTTAAGGTTTTAAATTATATTCTATTCAAATTCTATCACTGTTAAATTATATATCTGCTTTATATGGGCTTATTAGCCCTTTGCAGATTATTGACATAGACATAGACATAGACATACAGAAAAGGTACAGCTGCCAAAGTGTGACATCATAAAAACTGATATAACCTCCTGTAGTCATTGACCAAGACTCCTGTGCTATATGTTTTTCTTTTGATGATTTGAATGAATTTGGTTTTTGTAAATTTCGGACTGTACATTTGAATCATATTTTGCGTTCCATTTTTTAACATAAAAGTAATCTTTGTATTTGTCATACAAACCATTCTTTAGAGTTCATTCAGATATGTCGAATTCTGAAACATGCAATTCCCTTTTAGCTGATTTTTGAAAAGATTCAAAATCAAAAGAATTTTTATTTGCTATTATAATGAACTCATGAACTTACAGTTACTTACTGAATACTTGCAAATAGTATTGTATTAATGAAATGAAACACAGTCTGAAATTCCAAAAAAAACAAATTGAAATAACAATATATCCATTGTGCTGTAGGCTCTTACATAAAACATTTCTTTTAAATGTTAATACCTTGCAACAAAAAACAACCAACGCTGAAAAACCTATTTGTTCTTTCTTTGTATTGAAAATAAAAAATAAAACATTCTTTTCTCTATCACAGCATCCTCCTAAGCAGGTATCCAGAATCCGTACCTCCTTCTTCCACCTGCTATAACCAATTTGGAAGCGCCCAATTAAACTGAATCACGTGATCTAATTATGCGCAATCAGATTGCGAGTTCTTAATCGGGGAAATGCTAACTGCTTATCGCAGGGGGAAAAGAAAGAATATATTCTGGATTTTGAAGCTCTGTGATCGGAGGATGCTATCACAGTTCCGCTGTTTTTTATCCCATCGAACAAAGTTCAGAGGGATATAGGGAACGCCTTCGTCCATCTGTCCGTATGTCTGTCCGTACATCTGTACGTACGTCCGTCCATCCGTCCAGGCAATAACTCAAATACCGTTGGCCTGATTTTGTTCATATTTTGTACACATATACCCTATGGAGGTAAAAGTTCTGCTCGAAAGCCGATTTTCGAAATGGCCGCTCTTTAAAAAATGGTGGCTATTTTAGTGCCAATTTTACAGTAGTTTAGGTGCAATATGTAAAACTGTAATAGCAATATGTTTTAAATGTAGAAAAATTATATAGGATTATAATTATATAATTATAAAGCTAGAAATGTAGATATTTAAGAAGCACATGATAGCCATCTTGAAAAATGGCGGCCTTTACTCATTATTTTACGATTTTTGCTGTAACTCGAAAAGAAGTGGTTTGATTTTGTTCATATTTGGTATGTGAATTCTATAAGCATGGCACACACTTTTGGTAGAAGGTGGCCATTTTGAAAAATGGCTACCATTTTACCATATTTTACTATAGTAAAAGTAGTGGAGCTATTTTGTTCATATTTAGTATGTGAATACTATAAAGCATGGCACACTGTCTAATGACACTTTTGGTAGAGGGTGGCCATTTTGAAAAATGGCTGCCATTTTTGCTGTATACTCGTTTGTAAAAATGCCAGCCATGGCTGTTCGATGGGTTTTGCTACGCTTTGGCGTTGCTGTTGTCTAGTTTTTATTATCTTAAATGACGAGAATCATGAACGTTTTGAGAAATGAAAACATTTTAGATGAATTTGTGAATCATTATGAACTTTAATTTGTTTTTGAGAAATGAACAATTTATTATCTTGTTAAAGAATGCTGTCAAATCCATTTTGGTGAGCCTATGGGATCGACCAGGCGTCCGTTTGTCAGTCCGTAGGTCCGTCCGTCCATCTGTTGGTCCATCCGTCCGTCCGTCAACATTGGCCGCACAAATTAAAACTGCTATTCGGATTGAGTCATATCCACATTCATTTTATGCATATCCATAATGCCTATTTGACCTATCATGGCCATTTCCCAAGTTCGCCCGGTTTCTGAGAAATTGCGGATTTTTACGTCAAAAAGTCAAATTTTCTGTAAATACTAGACACTCTGTTGAAGTAGAACTTTTAAACAACTTTTAGTAGTTGCTGTATATGCACCTTATGCCCTCTGAAGATTTCAAAGCTCTTGGAATTACAGTTTTTGGTGTTTACTCTATAAAATTTGACAAAAAGTAGGACTTAGTCATTTTCAGGAAACTTTCTCATGTACTGAATTAGTAAAATTTTCAAGGTCAAAGGTCATCAAACTAGGTCACACAACTGTGCTATCTAGGTTTCTCAAAGTTCAAGACTACAAATCCAAATCAAGTATTTGTGTTTGAAAGTCAGGATATACATTCCTCTGAAGGTTCCAAACTGTGTGAGCACAGGACCGTGGGTCCTTCATTAAACACAAGATTTGAGCATCAGGTAAGTCAAAATGGTGTTGTGTTCTTCAATGCAGATGTAGCGTCACAAGTTTCATCATTGAGGTTGAAATTTACAGTCACCAATACTTTGTAGATGCTTAGTATCAACTTAGTATAATATGTAAAGGATAATGACCCATTTCAAAAGTGTCGAAAAGTATTTGGCCCTCAGCTTTGTCAGGAAATTTACTTCCATAAATATTACTACCTACATATGATAGATCCCTGTTGTCATATTCAAGGATTGTCTTGTGTATTGAGGCTTGCTGTTTGAAGTAATATTGTACATGAATACACATGGCATATGGCACATACATATGGCAAAATAATTATTATGATGCAATGATAACACACCGATATACCCATATAACTATCAACTCTTTTTATTCAAAACTCAGTGCTATATATTTTCAGAATTTGTGGACATTTGCTCATGTTTTTCTATATAGTGTGATATTATGATAATTTTACACTGGTGATAATGGTCCAAATATGGCAAAATATGGACTTTTTCAACTCAAAAGAATGAATTACGTGTTCACATATTGTTATATGACTGTTTTGATACTTTAGTTGCATAGTAAAATGCTTGATTAGGAAATTATATCAATCATTAAAAACTTCCATGTTTTACTTTTTATTCAGTTGAGGAATACATCAATTGATGATTTTTTGTCTATTGTATATGCTTTATTAATATAAATGTATGTTGCTCCATGATTACAAATTGATTTATTGCAATAAAGTTTATAAATTACATCTTTAGTGTGTCATCCATAAGAGGTTGCAGTTTCTCAATAACAGCCTCAAGGGCACGATGTGAATGTTTTTTTCTCAAGCGTAAATAAGGCACAACCATGCAAAGTGCGCTTGTAATAATTGCCCCACCACCCACAAAGAATGAGGCATTGTATGAATGAAGTGAATCATACATGAAACCTGCTACAGGTCCACCTAATAACATCCCAAATGCAGCACATGCCAATGTTGCACCATAACCATTTGGTAGTTCATTGGGCCCTAAGATCTGACAAATTATTGTTGGTGAAAGTACTTCAGCTGTTGCACTACAAAGTCCTATCAATCCAGAATAAGCAAGTAATTGTCCATATTGTGTAAGCAAAGGTAGTAACATCGTTGCTACACCACACACAATAGGACCACCAATGTAGAGCAGCATGGCATCTGCCTTTGGGTGATGTGCTATGACTCCAAACAAAAGTAGTCCAACAATATTAGTGATACCAAGTACAGAAAACAACATTGCACTTTCACTTCCTCCAATACCCATCAAAAGAGAATATTCTGATAAATGAGTAAAAATAATTGAAAAACCAAAATAAAACACTAGAAAATGGAAACATAATATTAAAAAGTTGAATGATTTCAATATTCCCAAATTGAATACTGCTTCATTTTTGTCTGTCTCCATCATTAGTTCTTTAGTTCTAAATGGGCGCATTAGCATACCACATACACAGATATTTAATCCGATCCCTGACAAAATAAGCATAGTTCCACGCCATCTATATTCCTCATTTAGGGCTTCAATCAGTAGAGGATATAGGAATGAACCTATGCCAAGTCCAGCCTTTGCTATTCCAAACGCAATTGTCTTCTTGGCTTCAAAATAGTCATTGATAATTGTATTGGCTGGAACATGAGCTATTCCTAGGCCCCCTCCTGCAAAAATGTAATAGAAAACATACATGGTAAAATCATTGGCACTTGGGTTGTGCATTACCATTATTTCATTTGTCCATTCAAACCTGTTATAAAACGTATATGGCCCCTCGATACACCAGGGAATTTACCCCCATGATGCCTACACACACACATAAATATGGAACTCCCCATGGGGTATGTGATAAGGTGATATGGTCTCATATAGGATTTGACTTAATTCAACTACAGAGTATTTAAAAACTGAATATGACAAATGAGTGCTTGCAAGTGACAATTCTGAGTAGAAGATTTATCTCTCACATAAGTTTACACACAGCTACATTAGTGTGGCCTAATTGGTAGGTTACTACGAGATAAAATCCATCACTCCATCCATCCGTATTGCACTTTGTTTCGCCAAAGCTCTTTGATTTTGAAAGAAGATGCTAGATATGTGATTTAAATTGACAGTATTATCCAAAGCACCCAGTGAACTAATGGGTGTCACAAGAACTTTCAAAGGGAAGGGAGGGGTGAGACAAAATCATATCTTGAATTTCAACCCTTGTTTTCCTTGCAACCAATCACAGTTCCTTACCTGTAATTATTCCAAATGTGATATACAGGTGGTATATATTAGTTGAAAACACACTTGTTCCAAGACCAATTGCAGATATAACACCACCCAAGATAACCACAGGCCTGCTGCCATATTTGTTAGTCAACATACTGCCTACTGGTGCTAAAAAACAAATTGATGCATGCTAGTAAGCTTGTTTCTGTATTCAAATATTGTGCATTCTCCTGGAACTAATTCATTGATAGTATTTAGGCTGTGTTTTGAACTGCCGGTGGCGCAAGTCAGTTGTGTAATATTTAATGAGATTTTTCCTTTGGTATCACGAAAAAGAACAAGTCCAACGGAGCAAATTACATGGTCACACCTTTTCAACAAAAACAGCTCATCCAAGTGCACCTAAATTCACATACTTCTTTTGAAAGACGCCTTGGTTTATTGCAGTAGAACTCCTGTGGTGCATCAGGGACAAGGCAACGAAAGTGTGATTGACAAGATTGTCACAGGGGAATAAAGCGGTGTTAGTGTGCTTGGATGAGCTGTTTTTGTTGAAAATGTGCGACCATGTTATTCACTCCGCAGGGCCTATTGAACTTTTTTGTAATACCCGGGAGAAACTCATATAAATATTAGGTAATTGACTTGCACTGTGGGCATTCAAAAATCAGCCTTATGTCAGAGTGCTGTAATGAAAATGATTTACCTGTGAAAGAATAACTGCTCCTGCAAATAGTTCCAACCCAAGCTGTCACTCCCTTAGAGGCTTTAAATGTATCTAGAAATATGACAAATGTCACTCCAATTGTGTAGGCAATTCCAGCTATGAAGACATGGATCATAAAGGAGCATAACACAATCAACCATGCATACCCTTCATCCTTCTCATTTGCAGAAGAAACTGAAATGTCTTTGTATTCACTGCTGCAAAGTTCATTTGGAAATTCATTTTTTTGCCCAGGGTTTCTTTTCCATGCTACAGCGTTTTCACCTTTTTCATCCAATAATTTATTAGAAACTTGATCAGTTGAGCTATTCCACTCCATTTTCATCTCTTTTTGACTAATTTTCCCTTTGCAATTGGTAATTCTGGTTGAGAATTATATTTTGACTTGTTACAGCGACCACTATACAATCTTAAATATTATACAGGTATACAGAAAAGGTACAGCTGCCAAAATGTGACATCATAAAAACTGATATGACCTCCCGTTGTTGTTGGCGAAACATTGTTACTTATTGTAAATTCTATTGTTAGTGGGTTCAGTGAACACTGAAGGAAGTCAATAACCATGACTCCTGTGCTATATGTTTTTGCTTTGATGATTTGAATGAATTTGGTTTTTGTAAATTTCAGACTTTACATTTGAGTCTAATTTTTTAATAATTTTGTATTCCATTTTTTACGCTGGCATGTTCATTTTGTGACGTATTCTTTGGTTAATTTATCCATCATATAGATGTACAGGGAAATGCATTCTTTTTTACATGTAATAGAGTTGTGAAATATCTAAACGTAGTTTGAAAAAATATAATAATTTTGATGAAATCTCAATTCTTACTTGATTCAAAGTAATTAAAAAAACATGCATCACAGCCTGTTGTTCAGTATTCTATCAAAGTATCTGTACTTGGATTTATAATCCTTCTGTAACTATCTCATATTTTGAAGAACCTTTCTTCATCTAAGGTATACTAGTATATACTTTGTACAAGTAGGAATGGTGTATATGGTATAACTTTGGAAAATACCAGGTATGATATTGTATTGGTTATTGAAGAAATGTCAAAACGAGGTAAGGAAGGTATCAGGGTAATCAGGCAATATTGGTGGATATGGCATGATTACATTAGTCAGAACTACATGTTTCATCATTGAAGTTGCAATTTACAGTTACCAATACTTTGAAGATGCTGGATATCAAGTTATTTAGAGTAGAATTATTGGATAATTGCCTATTTCGAAAATGTAGAAAAGTATGTGGCCTTCAGCTATGCCAGGAAATTCACTTCCATTAATAATCGTACCCACATAAATGCATACATTCATGCAGTGAACAGCTTCTCATATTCAAACTGTGTTTGATATATTGAGGCTTGCTGTTTGTAGTCATATTGTACACGAATAATAATGAGCTGAAATATTCAATTTTCCAAAATTAAATACTCTCCTTATTTTTGGCAGACTCCATCATCAGTGCATTAGTTCCAAAGGGATTCTTGAGCACACCACATACACATGTATTTAATCTGATCCCTGACAAAATTAGCATATCTCCGCGTAATCCATATTCCTCATTTAGGGCCTCAATTAGTAGAGGATATAGAAATCACTGGCGGATCTGGGGTGGGCCCAGAAAAAAAAATTGGGCCCAAAAAGATTTTGAGCTTAAAGTCTTTAAGGCTGCAAAAAGTGGGCCCCTTTGGTCATAAATGGGCCATCTAAGGCCTTATTTTTAATTTTAGGCCAAATTTGAAGAAATTGGGCCCACTTTTTGGTTTTAGGGGCCCAATCAGGTTCATGGCTCAAATTTAACGACCAATGAAATGACAGGAGGGCTTTCCTGGTATATTCAAACTTCAGATTGAATTAATTTACACTAAAGAGGGGGATTCAGGACTTTTTCTATTTAAGTATATGGGTGAATATGTGATGAAACTCAATATGCAAAAAAGTCCAGAGGTGTCTTGATTGTGCTATCCTATGGCATAGAGCCTCTTAAAGCAAAATGACTAGGATGCCTCCAAAGAATATTATTCATATGCTGGAGTTCATTACAATAACTACATACTTTAGTTTCTCTGCACAGTGTATCTCAATAAAAAGGCAACAAACAAAAACATTGAAAAATCACAAATCCAGTGATACCTACATTGATTCCATATAGTTAACCACGAAGCCATGTGTCTCTTCTTTGCAATGATGTCATTTATTCATATGTGACCTCTGACCAACGAATAATTATTCCTTTTGCACAATGGTCCAAAATCTGCTCTGGACCAAGTTTTAGACATGGTACACTAATACAGAGAATCACCAATGAGGTTGCTGCTCTCTGCCAGAACCAACAAATGATTCAAAAAGCTTAGCGTGACATGAAGAGATGAGCCAATATCGACTTGCAGATAAATGATGGACATAGAATGTAGTTTGCATGAGTAATCATTCATAAGATAACAAAGAATGATAGTGACTTTAACTGACTTAACTGTTTTAATAATGCCACTTCTTTTTTTCCATATGTGTAATGTGCCGTTACTAGACTATCATGGATAATGATTAATACATTAAGTGAAATCATGTTTTCTTAGAAGAACTAAGTCTGATATGTATGTCATGTAAATTTTGTGTCTTAATCCTCAGCTTCAATTATATAATGATTACCTGCATAACATGGATCAGTTGAATTAGGATGTGTCAAACTTGGCACAGCGGCATTTTCACTCATGTGCGAAGAAACAATGATTATTCAGTGGTCCATGATCATATATGAACACATGACATATCATGGAAAGAGGAGACATGTGGCTTCATTGTAAATTAAATGAAATTGATTTAATTATCACTGGATTTGTGGTATAAGAATGCTTTTAATTGTTGCATTTTTGAGACATACTGTATAACAACAAAAATATGGAACTGCAATGGGATCACCAATTATAGCAACATTCACATAGAGTGGTTTCTGGTTCTGTTATGTAGATGATATTTTAGAAGCTGTATATAAGAATGAAGTTGACAATCTCACAAACCATTTTAAAAATTAGATAGATGGCGCTAATAGTGTAAAGTGCACTTGTGAAACTGACGATTTGAGAAGCATTGCATTTTTATCCTGCAAGATAATCAGAAAGGACAATGGTAACTTGAAAATGACAGTTCTTAAGAAAAAGACATATACTGATCAATATTTGAACTATAATTCGCACCACACCCTTATTCACAAAATGGAAGTTGTTAGAACTCTATAAGATAGATATAGTATGATTGTCACAGAAGCTGTGGATAAGGTTATTGAGACTGGACATATTCACAATGTTTCACACAAGTGTGGTTACCCTAAACATATAAATAACAAAGTAGAACATAGGATGTCACAACCAAGGGAATCTAAGGATAAAAAAGACCCTGTTGTTGGTCAAAAGAGTATTTAAACATTATAACACAGACTGTGCAATGAAGCCTTTAACAACTATTAGGAAGCTAGTGGTACATCCCATGGATAAACATAAAGCATCTAATAAATCAAAAGTAGTTTGCAAAATTCTATGCAAGACATATAAAAAGAGTTTTATATGAGAGACGGGAAGAAAACTAGAAACTGGAGTTGAGGAACTTGAAAAAATGTAGCATAATGTAGCATATCCAATTGTTGAATTCATGCGTAGTCAAAGATGCTCTTATACAGTTTCAGAACACAAAATTACAAGATTACACAACACAAAACAATTGTGTGATTGATTGGGATTCTGCTTTTAAGGAAATGATATTTTGAGTGTTACTTTCATTCATTGTTTCATTGTTTTGTGCTGTATTGAAGCTTACTGACCCCAGAGGGAACTGTAAATATTATGCAATTTAGCTCCAGAACTGTGAATGTTGGACTACGTATTGCATATATTTACAGTAGTACAATTGATGAACTGGTCGTTTAAAGACCACTCATGTTATATGGTGCAATTGAACTCATGTAGAACTTATAGATCTTTATGAATAACGTTTGTTCAGGATATTGGGAAATACATAATTACATTACAGGATATAAAATTGAAATTCACATATATATATATTTTACTTTATTTACATTTTCGTTGAACATCTTGTAATGTTGCCATCATAATTATTATTAGACATATTTTTTATTAATTTTTCAGCAACAAGGGGCTGTATTGTGTCATTAACACCTTCTAAGTCACTTTTTGAATGATTTTGTTTTTTTCGTAAATAAGGCAAAATCATGCAAAGTGCGCTTGTAATAATTGCCCCACCACCCACAAAAAATGAACCATCATATGAATGAAGGGAATCATACATAAAACCTGCTACAGGCCCACCTAATAACATCCCAAATGCAACAAAAGGCATCAACACACCATAACCATTTGATAGGTTATGAGGCCCTAATATCTGGCATACAATTCCTGGTGAAAGTACTCCCATTGTTGCACTAAAAATCCCAATTAATCCAGAATAGGCAAGTAACGCTCCATATTGTGTAAGTAAAGGTAGAAACACAGTTGCTACACCACAAATGAGAAGTCCACCAATGAAGAGCAGCATGGCATCAGCTTTTGGATGATGTGCTATGACTCCAAACAAAAGTAGTCCAACAATATTAGTGATACCAAATACAGAAAACAGCATTGAACTTTCAGTTCTTCCAATACCCATCAATAGAGAGTATTCTGATAAATGTGTAAAGACTATTGCAATACCAAAATGATACACAAGATAATTGAAACATAATATTGAAAAGTTCAGTGATTTCATAATTCCAAAATTAAAAACTGTAGCATTATTGTCAGACTCCCTCACCAGTTCATGAGTACTAAATGGGCGCATTAGCACACCACATACACATATATTTAATCCAATTCCTGACAAAATTAGCATAGCTCCGCGCCATCCATATTCCTCATTTAGGGCTTCAATCAGTAGAGGATATAGGAATGAGCCAACGCCAAATCCAGATGTTGCTATTCCAAATGCAAGTGTCCTTTTTGTCGCAAAATAGTCATTGATTATTATTGTGGCTGGGATGTAAGCTAATCCTAGGCCTCCTCCTGCAAAAAATATGTGGATTTTGAAAATATAAATGGAATAGTGTGTAAATTGGGAAATTTTAAATTAAAATGTATTGAGTTTTAGAAATTGAATTAAAAGTTGAATGAAATCATATCTGTATACAGCTTAATGCTTTGGAAAATAATTAAAAAAGGATTCTTGACCTGAATCTAAACATAAAAGGATTTTTAAAAGAATGACCTCAGTTACGCAATATTGGATCTTACTCTACATTAAATCATTGGAAGAACTAAAGCCATTTAATATTAAAGGAACACCTTCAGGCTGTAATTAATGGTTGTATTATAGGTAACACATATATTTACTTGGTAAGATATGATGTTTTGTAAGGAGGTGATCAGGTGATAAAACTGAGTTATAAGTTTACACTTTTATACAGCTGATGTACTGATTATAAAAACCCAAAACTTAACTTAATATACATATGTACTTACATTCAATACTCAAAGCGTTGCCCTGATAATTTTCTCACTTATTTTAACCAATAATGTTTTTTCCTCATAACCATCCATATCAATTGCAATATCTTACCTGCAATTATTCCATATGTCATATATAGTTGGTATATATTGGTGGCAAATGCACTTGTTCCAAGACCAATTGCAGATATAACACCACCCAAGATAACTACATGTCTGCTGCCATATTTGTTGGTCAACATACTGCTCACTGGTCCTAAAAACATAATAATTATTATTAAGTTTATATGCCATCCTACTCCCAGATTGGATTGTGTGTGCTAAACTTAAATGGAAATCTGTGATAACCTACCTATGAAATTCATACAAGCTCTATTCAATGATCCAACCCAAGCTGTCATTCCTGTAGAAGCTTTAAATGCATCTAGAAATATGACAAATGTCACTCCAATTGTGTAGATGATTCCAGCTATGAAGACATGGAGCATAAAAGAGCATAACACAATCATCCATGCATATCCTTCATCCTTTTTGTTAAAAGTTCTTAATGAAACTTCTCTTTCTTTTGCAACGTCTTTTGAGACCTGCCAAACTTCATGCGAGTCCTCCACCATTCCATTTCTAGATGCATTGAATTCTCTTTTCTTGTTCCACGAATTTTTTGAAATGCTAATGATTGACTTCATACCAATTAAAATCAATCTTGTAACCTTGATATTATTAGCCTTTCCTTGATCAGTCACATGTAAACTATTTGTCCTATACTATAACATTGAACTATTTGCAATCTGCATCAGCTTTTGAAATACTAATAGAATCCGTTTAGCTATGATCATCCTCATATTACATGTCACTGAAATTTGAATACCATGTTTACATGAAGATTGAACTATGAGACAAGTACATACAACTTGACATATGCTATTATGTGATATGATATGTTCTGTTGCACTGGCATGTTGTGTTATATGATAAGGAGTTCAATGGCATTCAAATGTTGATTTTTTGGTTAAATTGGAGATGCAAACATAAGAACTGAAATCTATATTATCTAAAAATGAACTTTGCACATTTAGTGACATTAAGCATACAAGTGTGGTGCAAATGAATATGTTTTTCAGTTTTGAAACTTTCATTCAACAATGAATCAGTATGACTTGCATTTAATTTTTTGCATCTATTAGCTTAATGAAGCACAGTGTAGTAGGAAATTGTAAAAGTACTTCATCCGTCAGTCAGTCGGTCTTTTATCCATCTTACCTTTTCTAAAATTAACAAAGTAAAAACGGCTAATAACCTCATAATGACCTGAGAAAAACCATAAAATATTGATAAAAGCAATATCTTTTCTAAAGCAACCATGGACAAAAAATGTTTTAGTAAGATAGTTGTTTATGAGCATTATTTCAATGAGCTACGAATGTATGGATAAATAGGCTTTGCTTCAGTTTATAAGGTCAGCATTACTTTTTGCATGGAAGAACAAAAATATGAAACAGATTTGCTGTAATTTGTTGACAGGTCATTTATATAACACTCAATATAATATATGTTAATAGTTAATTGACAGTACCAATAACCCCAGTTATCATTAAAATGAATAACGTTTTGTTGGGATATAGTGATAAAATAATTATATTTACATATGATTCACAAAATATATTTTACTTCAACAAAAGGCATCAACACACCATAACTATTTAGCTTATTAGGCCCTAATATCTGGCAAACAATTCCTAGTGAAAGTACTCCCATTGTTGCAATAGAAATCTCCATCAATCCAGAATAAGCGAGTAATGCTTCATATTGTGTAAGTAAAAGTAGTAGCACAGTTGCTACTCCACAAATGAAAAGTCCACCAATAAAAAGCAGCATGACATCAGCTTTTGGATGATGTGCTATGACTCCAAACAAAAGTAATAGTCCAACAATATTTGTAATACCAAGTACAGAAACCTACATTGAACTTTCATTTCCTTCAATACCCATCAAAAGAGAATATTCTGATAAATGAGTAAACAATACCAAATAACAATACCAAAATGATACACTAGATAATTGAAACATAATATGTTAGACTCCATCACTGGTTCATTAGTTCTAAATGGGTGCATTAGCACACCACATACACATATATTTAATCCAATTCCTGACAACATGAGCATTGCTCCGCGCCATCCATATTCCTCAGTATCAAACCGGAATAGCCTGACAATGGTTGAGTCAGATATCGTTGTCACAAACTTAACCGTCACTTCAACTCTTTTATCACTTGGTTCTCATTCCATGGGATTTTATCGTCGCTAAATTATTCTGCACATGAATTAAGCTCTTGTGATGATGTCTCATGTGAAATCCCAATTTCGATCAAATTGGGTCGTGAATCGCTATAATATAGCATATTCGATATCGACTTTGACAACTGAATCTGAATTTGAAATAATTTACAAAGACAATGGCATATGGTAATACAGTGTCCGTTGTCCCGTATCTCATTTTGATTGGTTAAATTAAAGACTTTGTTTTGATGGTAGAACATTAACTATTAAATTAACTTTAACAACCGTACAATGAGTATAAAGACACTTTGATTGATTGTTACACAATAATTCACAAAACATATTTAACTACTTCTTCCACATTTTTGTTCACTTTGTGGTGTTACCAACATAATTGTTATTAGACACATTTTTCAATTTTTCATCCAGGAGAGGTTGCAAATTATAAGATACACCTTCCAAGTCATTTTTTGACCAATTATGTTTTTTCCGTAAAAATGGGACAACCATACAAAGTGCACTTATAATCATTGCCCCACCACCGAGAAAGAATGACCCATCATATGAATGAAGTGTATCATACATAAAACCTGCTACAGGCCCACCTAATAACACCCCAAATGCAGCACATGGCATTGTTGCACCATAACCATTTGATAACTCATTAGGCCCTAAAATCTGGCATACAATTCCTGGGGAAAGTACTCCCATTGTTGCACTAAAAATCCCAATTAATCCAGAATAGGCAAGTAAAGCTCCATATTGTGTAAGTAAAGGTAGAAACACAGTTGCTACTCCACAAATGAAAAGTCCACCAATGAAGAGCAGCATGACATCAGCTTTTGGATGATGTGCTATGACTCCAAACAAAAGTAATAGTCCAACAATATTTGTAATACCAAGTACAGAAACCTACATTGAACTTTCATTTCCTTCAATACCCATCAAAAGAGAATATTCTGATAAATGAGTAAACAATACCAAATAACAATACCAAAATGATACACAAGATAATTGAAACATAATATGTTAGACTCTATCACTGGTTCATTAGTTCTAAATGGGTGCATTAGCACACCACATACACATATATTTAATCCAATTCCTGACAACATGAGCATTGCTCCGCGCCATCCATATTCCTCAGTATCAAACCGGAAAAGCCTGACAATGGTTGAGTCAGATACCGTTGTCACAAACATAACCGTCACTTCAACTCTTTAATCACTTGGTTCTCATTCCATGGGATTTTATCGTCGCTAAATTATTCTGGGCATGAATTAAGCTCTTGTGATGATGTCTCATGTGAAATCCCAATTTCGATCAAATTGGGTCGTGAATCGCTATAATATAGCATATTCGATATCGACTTTGACAACTGAATCTGAATTTGAAATAATTTACAAAGACAATGGCATATGGTATAAAGTGTCCGTTGTCCCGTATCTCATTTTGATTGGTTAAATTAAAGACTTTGTTTTGATGGTAGAACATTATCTATTAAATTAACTTTAACAACCGTACAATGAGTATAAAGACACTTTAATTGATTGTTACACAATAATTCACAAAATATATTTAACTACTTCTTCCACATTTTTGTTCACTTTTTGGTGTTACCAACATAATTGTTATTAGACACATTTTTCAATTTTTCATCCAGGAGAGGTTGCAAATTATAAGATACACCTTCCAAGTCATTTTTTGACCAATTATGTTTTTTCCGTAAAAATGGGACAACCATGCAAAGTGCACTTATAATCATTGCCCCACCACCGAGAAAGAATGAGCCATCATATGAATGAAGTGTATCATACATAAAACCTGCTACAGGCCCACCTAATAACACCCCAAATGCAGCACATGGCATTGTTGCACCATAACCATTTGATAACTCATTAGGCCCTAAAATCTGGCATACAATTCCTGGGGAAAGTACTCCCATTGTTGCACTAAAAATCCCAATTAATCCAGAATAGGCAAGTAAAGCTCCATATTGTGTAAGTAAAGGTAGAAACACAGTTGCTACACCACAAATGAGAAGTCCACCAATGAAGAGCAGCATTGCATCAGCTTTTGGATGATGTGCTATGACTCCAAACAAAAGTAGTCCAACAATATTAGTGATACCAAATACAGAAAACAACATTGAACTTTCACTTCCTCCAATACCCATCAAAAGAGAGTATTCTGATAAATGAGTAAAGACTATAACAATACCAAAATGAAACACTAGATAATTGAAACATAATATTAAAAAGTTCATTGATTTCATTATTCCAAAATTAAAAAGTGTTTCATTATTGGCAGACTCCGTCAACAGTTCATTAGTTCTAAATGGACACATTAGCACACCACATACACATATATTTAATCCAATTCCTGACAACATGAGCATTGCTCCGCGCCATCCATATTCCTCATTTAGGGCCTCAATCAGTAGAGGATATAGAAATGACCCAACGCCAAATCCAGATGTTGCTATTCCAAATGCAAGAGTCCTCTTTTTCTCAAAATAGTCATTGATAATTGCATTGGCTGGGATATAAGCTATTCCTAGGCCTCCTCCTGCAAAAATGTATGAGATATGAATTTACATGGAAAATGTAAATGGAGCATTGTGTAAATGGTAAAAAATGAAAATGTATGGAGCTTTGAAAATTGGAAACTTAATGAAAATATATCTTTGTATAACTTGATCCTTCGAAAAATAGTTAAAAGGAGTCTTGAATCTTAAAATAAAAGAACTCTTGTTCCTTTGCATAATATTTGATCTTATAAGACATTACTATAATATTAAAGTGAGGGTAAAACTTAGCTATAACCGAGGCTTTTTAATACAGCTGATTAATGCATTCATAGGAATTTCTTACCTCCAATTATCCCAAATGTGATATACAGATGGTAAATATTAGTGGCAAATGCACTTGATCCAAGACCAATTGCAGATATAACACCACCTAAGATAACTACAGGCCTGCTGCCATATTTGTTGGTCAACATACTGCTTACCGGTGCTGAAAATATAATAATAAGCTGACATGCCATTCTACTCATCATGGATTGGATTATGTGTCTACTCTAATAAATATTTTAGAATGAAAATCTGTGATAACCTTAACCTACCTATGAAGCTCACGCAAGCTCTATTAAGTGATCCAACCCAAGCTGTCACTCCTGCAGAAGCTTTAAATGTATCAAGAAATATGACAAATGTCACTCCAATTGTGTAGATGATTCCAGCAAGGAAGACATGGAGCATAAAAGAGCATAACACAATCATCCATGCATATCCCTCATCTTTTTTGTTTGGAGTTCTAGATGAAATTTCTTTTGAGACCTGCCAAATTTCACGTGAGTCCCCCTCCATTCCATTTCTAGATGCTTTTAATTCTTCTTTCTTGTCCCATGATTTTTGTGAAACGTTACTGATTGATCTAACACCTTCCATTATTCCGTTTAATTTTTTCGTCATACCCTTTTTGTTACAATGACCAGATCAAGTCGACCTAGTAACCCTATTATATTTTTCCATATGTCAATGTGTTGTCCTTTACTATGCTACAATCAGTTGTGATTAACAGTTCTAGTCAATTGGAACATATCTACCTTGTTGAATTAAGATTAAGTATACAAATACACTTGGTATATGATACAATAAAACCTGTCCAATTGAACAACGCAAATTCAATTGTTCACATGGAAAATTGGTTCACTGTCCAATCCAAATGTGTGAATGGACTAAGCTAATACCTGAAATAAGGAACTTGGATTAATATAAATGAGATTAAGATAAGCCACTTGTTAACAGGATGGAACATCCTACCTACTGTTAATCACCTCTATATTATAATCTGTTTGTTTATTGCCGTGACACTAAGTGTGTATTCGCTAGAAAATATTGCAACTAGCAGTAAAGTAACATTAAAAAATCTGAAGATTCTGAAGATTAAAGATTCTGAAGATTCTAGCAAACATACAATAAAGCTATTAAAGCAACAGGGTCCAGGATAGCCTATTGATGTTATGAATGATAACCCTCATTTGAAAGATTAGGTAAACAGATACGATCGACAGTTGAGTCAAAAGTTGACCCCCACTCGGTAGCTGGTGGCTATCGGACTTTTCAGCAGTGGGCAATAAAATCTATTCAAATGCTAATTGGGTAATCATTAATCATCATAAAAATATTCGACACTCTTAGACGACAGGGGAGGAAATGATCAAAGGAAATGTATAAAAACACAACGTTTTCCAACCGACCAAGTATATGGGTAGATTGACTACGAAAAAGATCAAGCCCTGTTCGAAAATCTTTTAATAACATTATTAGAAAGCTAAATGTCTTCCTAAATGAATACACAAAAAATCAAACATGAAACCCTTAATGTATTCCTTAGATTATTTTTTTTAAACCAATATTTTATACCCCTTATATGAACATGTAAATAAATTTTTGAAGCTGTATTCAATCTCGTGTTCTCATTGTTTTAGTAATTGCAGAACAAAATGCTCATATGCTTATGGTATGTACCATCAACAAGGAACAGTTTTGTCCAGTCCAAAGAGCATCCTTGTTCGCAGGTTTCACTGTACTATGATAGTAATATGTAATCTACTGTTGGAATTGCACATTATACTGATAAAAGATTGATAGAAATTTCAATTGCAGTCAAAAGTTGAATTTGTATTAGTTTCAACTTGCTAATAAAACAGATTAAATCAAGATCCTATGATCTGAAAATGACCCTTTTGCCATTTAGTAAGTGTTGTGCAAATTCATATGTGTATCAGTTTTGATACTCTCATTAACATCGTTAATATTAACAAGGAATCAGTATAACCAATAATAATTTAAAGGTCTTATGTCCTTTATTGACTCTGATATCATAAAAATAACTACAAAAATACAATTTAATTTACAGAACATTTCTAAATATGTTATAACACAAAATGCATTTCACAGTGTGTACTATAAATATATTTCTGTTAGCTGACATATAGTTCTTTTTAATGAAATCAACAGTTGACTTAATTTTGGAAACTGCAGGAAATTGTTGTACATCATATGACATATTTGCTCACTGCTTGAGGAGCACTCATAATCTAGGAATTTTACATATATCTTCCTTTAACTAATTACTTTTTGATCTCTTCTGGCACCATGCTTGTTTTTATTTTCCACAGGAGGGTCCAGTTTCTGTAGTACTTTTTGAATTATTTTTTCTCTCTCGTAAATAAGGTACAATCATACATACAATAATTGCACCACCACCAACAAAGAATGAGGCATTGTATGAATGAAGGGAATCATACATAAAACCAGCTACAGGCCCACCTAATAACTTTCCAAATGCAGAAAATGGCAAGAGTACGCCATAGCCAGTTGCTAACTCATCAGGTCCTAACATTTGACAGACTATACCTGGTGCAAGTACTCCAACTGTTGAACTAAAAAGTCCAAATGCTCCAGAATAAGCAAGTAAAGTTCCATATTGTGTAAGTAATGGAACAAGCACTGTTGCTAGACCACATATAAAAAGAGTAATAGTGTAGAGTAGTAAATCATTTGCCTTTGGATGATTTGCTATTACTCCAAATGAAATTTTCCCTATAAGATTAGTGACACCATACGCAGAAAATAGCATTGCACTTTCAGTTTCTCCAATTCCCATCAAACCAGAGTACTCTGATAAATGTGTGAACACAATAGAAAGACCAAAATAAAACATTAGGAAATTGAAACATAATATTGAAAAATTAAAAGATTTCAGTATTTTTAAATTGAATACTGTTTTATTTTTGTCAGTTTCCACCACCAGTTTATTATTAGTTCTAAATGGATGCATTAGTGCACCACATACACATATGTTTAATCCAATCCCAGACAAGATTAGCAGAGCTCCACGCCATCCATATTCCTTATTTAGGACATCAATCAGTGGAGGATATAGAAAGGTGCCTACTCCAAATCCAGATGTGACTATTCCAAAAGCAAGTGTCCTCTTTGTTGTGAAATATTCATTGATTATTGTTGTGACTGGAACAAAGACTATTCCTAATCCCCCTCCTGCAATACAAGGACAAAACATTAAAACGCATAAATAGACAAGTTATAGCCAAATATTTTGTAGACATCATCCACAACACTCATTGACTGTGTGCTTTAGATTACGATTCTTAAGCATTGTCTCAACATTATTAATTCGTTCCCTTGGAATTCACTCTCGTATTAAATTTAAGACAATCCTGCTTTGTGGATGGATGCTATTATGATCCCTGACAATTTCTGGTCTATATTTTCATGCTTGTGACATTATTAGCATGGATCTGTTAAAAAACATTACAATTTAGTTCAAAAGAATTAGCAGTACATGTATCTATTGGTGCTATAGACATTGCTAGAAATGGCATATAGAAAAAGTATATCCTTCCCTTCTACAAGTTAACGAGGCAACTGATAGAGTACTAAATGTCAACATATCTCAGTCATATTTTCTGATGAGTCAGTGAAATATATAATGCTTGATCTAGTTAAAATGAGCAAGATGTATTTAAAAATGATGGTTTTAGGGCTTTGAATGACATTTATTTTATAATTTTGAATATATTCTGTTATGGATAAACTGTGAGCATGGGATTTATGAGAGCTTTCAGTTCTCACAAAACCCAGTATGAATGATTTATCTAACCTAAACCCCACACTGACTCTTATGAAAGATAAATAGCCCATGATCCAATTTTAGGAAAATTTGACTTCTTTTGTATTGACTATGAGGTAAGTGTGTTGAGAAGTGAGTGGGTGCAATTAGTTCAGCTTCAGTGCACTGCATGTAACAGGCCAGGTACAGTTTAAATTTTGATTTTTGTGTTTACTGTTCAACTATTGAATGAGTGAATAAGGTAGGCTATCATAAGTTCAGGTTTAGTGCACTGCATTTGACAGTCAATCATCATTAGTGCCATACTGGTTTTGGATAGCTTGCCAAGTGTCAATTCTTTAAAAACAATAGAAAAGAATGCACTTTTTTGTTACAACTGTACATTCTTTAAAATAAACTATTGTTCATTATTTTGTGTTGCTAAGTGGGGTTTAATTGGAAATAATTACAAACCAGGAAAACTTTATTTTCAAAACCCTTACCCGTAATTATTCCAAATGTGATGTACAGGTGGTATATATTAGTGGCAAATGCACTTGTTCCAAGACCAATTGCAGATATAACACCACCCAAGATAACTACAGGCCTGCTGCCATATTTGTTAGTCAACATACTGCCTATTGGTGCTAAAAGTAGAAAATCATGCATGCTAGTATGCTTGTTTCTATATTCATAGACTTTTTCAAAATGGCTGCTGAATTTTTTTTAAATGGCCACCATTTTTGAAAAATGTAATTTTTTATAACTATGGAATTGTTGATAACTTAGATGAGTAATTTTCAATATGACCACATTATTTTAAATGGCCACCATTTTTCATACAAAACGTAATCTTTCATAACTCAAGTACCAGTTGATAGATTAGGTATAATATGCATACTGTATGCTCAAGAAGAAACTTTCAAGATGGCCACTAAATTCATAGGGGATTTTTGTTCAAATTTTATAGGACTTTGCTCGAGAAGATGCCTAAGAGACATAGGACTGCTGAAAAAGAAACTATTAACATAGTTGCTGGTCTGAATTCAAAATGGTCACCCTTTTTCATGAAAGTGTAATTTATGATATCTTATATAGCAGTTGTCAGAATTGGTTAAGATTTGCTGCTAAATTCAAAATGGCCACCATTTTTTGTAAACATGTAATCTTTGATAACTCAAATACCAAAATGTTGAAATTGACAAGGTGATTTAATAAAACATGTTTTGTTCGTTGGAATTTTGTACTCTTTAGAGTTGCTGTTTTTCTGGTTGATTGCATTTAATGTCACTTGTTTATAAAGGGAATGATTTACCTATGAAAGATAAACTGCCCCTGCATAATGATCCAACCCAAGCTGTCACTCCCTTTGAGGCTTTAAATGCATCTAGAAATATGACAAATGTCACTCCAATTGTGAAGACAATTCCAGCTATGAGGACATGGGCCATAAAGGAACATAACACAATCAACCATGCATATCCTCCATCCTTTCCTGCTTGTGTATTTAATGTAACCTCATCCTTGGAGCTCAAAAGTTTTTGAGAAACCTCCTCATTTGTTCTTAAGTGTCCATTTGAGTCCTCATTCTTTCCATTCCATGATCGATTATGTCCTTTATCATTTGTATCAATTGAATGCAGTTCGAAACTCTTCATCTTATTTTGCATTGCAGGACCTGGAGAAGTCCTGGACTAATTATTCGATAATATTTTTCACTCTCTGACCAGCATATGCTTTACTTCAACTCCATAATGGTCGTGTTTAAAACTTGTGTAGTACTATCTTAAAGTGTCCGAATATGTAAATCATATGCATTCATCCCAGTTGGGGCAGGGATAAAGAAAATCCCCCTGACTAGTGTCATGTGTAAGTCAGTAAGGTGTTGAAAATGTGGTCCCTCAACTACTATAGAATTTCACTTTCCATCAGTGTACACGCACATTTAAATATGTATATTTGGACAACTTGTTACATTCATATTGGTTTAGAAAATAAATATTTACTCGAAAATTACTCTAGGTGGATCTCAAAAGTATCAGGCAATACTGACTCTACTGCTGTCCAAATGTAGTGTGTGCAGTGAAATAAATAAAAGTGCAATGTAAAGTAAATCCTTTTACGGAATCATTCTATTCCCAAATAGTTTTTACTATTTGGGAATTGTAATTGTTATAGCACTGAACTAAACAACATGGAAATTGATAGAGCTCATACAACCTTATCATAATATATAATCTTCTACAGTCTTCTTTCCAATTTCCTTGACAACTTTAAATCTAAAGAATAAGGGATTTAACTACCATATTACAACATTACTAGTATATGGGAAAATAAAAGTTATGCACTTTCATTCATATGTGGCCTTTATTTTTGATATTTTTCAGTTATTCTTCCAGACTAACATTACATGACTGAAACGCCCTAAATTACAAAAGACCACAGCTCAAGTTTAACTGCACATTATACCTAACTTTCTGAAATATACAATGTGGTACTCGATTGCTTATTTTTAGAAGTTGTCAAGGAAATTATAAGGAAGACTGTAATCCACTAGTGTAAACTCAGTGCTATACATAATCAGCAATTCTCATATACTTTAAGTCCAGCTCTTGTGACATTCGAATCTGAAATAGTGTTGGCTTGTCCTCTAATTTACTAAATTTTGTACTTATTACTATTGTTCAGTAGTTTCGAGTCTTATCAGGTCATGAAACAAACAAAAGCATTTAATCTGTACTTTGTACTATTCAACATCACCATACAAATATAGTGAGAGTAATATTATAAGGCTTAACCATTACTCCAATCCTAGCATCATACTGTGACATACGTCATGCAGTATTACATTTTCCTATATCCTGTGCATTGTAATTGAATAACCTTCAGGTCATACACAAGCAGATTAAAGTACTAGTTAATTTACAGCCTGAATGAAAAGAATGTATCATTATGCATCTTTAAAAGACCGTGTAGTATTATCCTCATAGTATCTGCTGAATTTATGATCATTTCCTATTTCAAGCATATCATGAACACTTTTTTTCTATTTCCAGGGAGTCGCTGAAACAAATATTTATGATGGTGCTCGGGATTGCTATTATGGCGGTTGTTTCCTTCTACCATTAACTGCTGTATCGTGTGTTGGCGTGATATACAGGGCCAAATAACAGGAAGATATACACTGTATTAGGCCTAGAGTAACCCTGACTGCTACTAGTGCTACAACTTCATGGATATTCCACTTATACATCCTTGTTGCAAGGGTATTTCACAAGTATGAATTTAAGCATAAATGAAGTCCTTTGAAGAAGGATGCACTTATAAGCATTTCGAGGACTTTTTTATTATTTATTTGGAGACTATGCTTTTACAACAGTGGCATATACAATTGGTGCATCCATTTTTTCCCTGAATTGTTATTTTTTATAGATAAATAAATAAAAAAAAATAACAATTCTGAGAAAAACATTTAATTTTGTTCTCATTTTTTGTTATTTATTTTAATATTTTGTCCATTGTTCACTGCTTTTTTCAATCAAAAAATAATTCTGTTCAAAGTTTAGGAGTTTATATTGATAAGGTTACATGTAAATCTTGACTGGTACTCTACAAGGTTACTCTTATGATTTGATAATAATTCTTGTACTGCCAGATGTACTATTGTTGACCTTGTATGTTAAGACTGTTGACCTGTATGTATCCCATATTGTTTAAATGAACATTATTTTACCGTACAATGACTGTGGAGTTCTATTTTTGATAACTATATGCAAAAAGAGACCCACCACCTACTTTGTAGTTGTAAACCTTTTATTATCATATAATTTTGCAGATTCTACACAAATGAATATTTCCTGACAGCATTCTCTTTAAGTGTTTTATTGTTCAATAAAATGTCTTATAATATTGGAAATCACTGACATATCCAAAAAATGAGTGGGCCATTTACACATTTTGCTAAATAATTAAAGTAATTAAAATTAATTTTAATCCTCAAAAATTTGCATCCTGAAAAGCTATAAATAATTAAAGTTTAATAAAAATTAATTTTAATTTAAATCCTCAAAAATATGCCTCCTGAAAAGCTACAAGTTTTTGACAATGATGATTTGGTCCACACTGTATATTATGTACAAGGCGACACATAGAGCAGTGTAACATATATTATGTACAAGGCGACACAAAGCAGTGTAACATAGCTTGCTCAATACGATGAATTTAGAAATCCATGCAGTGTGTTTGGCTTACTATTAAATATGCAAGCAGAAAAATATTAGCCTGGTCTGAAAATGTCAAAAGTATTGTGGATTCTAACATTGAAACCTCTCAAGTGGAACATCTCTAATAGTGGAACACCTTTGAAAGTGGAACACCTCTGTTAGTGAACACTTCACAAATGGAAAACACTTTAAAGATATTACAGGTGTTCCACATAGTCCGGTTTTACTGTACATGATATAGTAACAAACATGTACTGAATTGAAATATTGTATCAAATGTAATATATACCAAAGTAGATCAGAGTATCAAATGGTTCTATTATGTAGAACATGTAGACATGTAGAATTGTACCATAAGGCTTTGTAATGTTACCATAGTATAATACTTTGTACCACAATGTGTAAAATTATTACAATATTGTATACAATATATGTAATATTACTGTATTGTACATTGAATGCTACCATATATTGTATAGTATCATGATGTAAAATGGTACCATTGTACATACATATACATATAAATGTCATGAGAAAATCAATCTTATCATATTAGATTAAAAATTGTGCTATATAATTGTGCAGTATGAAATCCATGGAATATACACAAATATATATGTACATTTGTATTTTCATTGTCAAAACTGTTTATTATGAAATTAAAAATGCTAAGGTCACAGGGAGATATGCTGAGTACTCAATTAGGCCATAAGAAGCAGATTCTTTGTTTTGCGTCCCCTTGCTTGCACGATTTTGAGTAAATCAGATAAAACAAACACATCCAAATAGCAATCACAAGGGTCTGAAAGTACCATTTTGTTCAATCAGAATCAGACAAAATGGCGGATAATTTGATGTGCGTCAAAATTGACAGTGTTATTGATTACTTTGGCATACATTGTGTATTTTCTTATGTTTAAACCTTGAAAATAGCTATGTTTAAATATAAATAGATATGTATGTGTTTGTAATCACTGCAAATTGGTATGTCATCACTTTTAATGCCCATAAATTGTATACATTTCTCAGCAAACTAGTTTGTGTTTTTTCTTGAGTTTGTGTTTGTTTTCCTTGTACCCTTGCATGATTTGGATTTTGCCAGGACGCAAAACAAAGAATCTACTTCTTATGGCCTTAGTACAAAATTAGTACTAAATTAGCACTCTGGCAAAAGTACACTGTCACGAGTGCTAATTTAGTACTAATTCATGATATTACTACTTATTTAGTGCTGAAAAATCAATTTTACTAGTACTATTTTATCACTCATGATATGAGTACTCATTTAGCGCTAAAAAATCAATGTAATTACTGCTATTTTATCACTCATTTAGGACTAAGACATGCAATAAATCAGTACTCATGTCATAAGTGCTAATTTAGTACTATTATTTACTGAAATGAGTACTCAGTTAGCGTTAAAATGCCATGAGTACTATTTTAGTACTCAGCATTTCTCCCTGTGTTACAATGGCATGGGTGATGGATTATCGCATGCTATGCAGTATGAAATGATGTTTAAAATCTGATTTGTTTAAGAATATACTTGGAATATTTTTTGTCATACCTACCATTTTAAGCATAAATTGTGAATTTGTTAGTGCACATATACAGGGTGTTTCATCATGACTATCACCTGTATGGAGGGACGGTTATTTTTATGCACCCTATCTTTTTCTTTTTTTATCTTGTTTTTTGTGTGATCCTATTTGTAATTATTTGGGTATCAACTTAAAAGTATGCACTGGTGATGGGTTAATTACTTTGAGTTGAGATAATATTACACTTAAGTTTTTTGTATACCTGTGTACGTATATATGAGTATGCATGTATTTAAAATGCCATATGCAAGATATCCACCATGAAAAGCATCAAGATAAAATACTTTTGTAAAAAAATCCCCAAAAAAATATAAAAAAATGTGGAATATGTATGACATATACCGGCAATCGTGTGGAGCATGATTGCACTGGCATGCCACCTATTCATGCTATCGGAATTGATGTGTCATTAATAATAGAGAGGTTTTGCATGTTTTTAGCTCAACGGATCTAAAATCCGTAAAGCATTCACCAAATTTATGTGTCGTCTGGTAGTAAATCAATTAAATCGAGATGCATTTCAGAGACATTTTAGCTATAACCCGTTGCGCAACCTCTCTTTTATAAAATAAAATTTACATTAAGAAAAAGTCTTGCATCATGTCTCTTGAACCACATCTACCTTTAGTTTGTAGACTGATGTACATATGATCTGTGGAGGGGTGTGCCACAGGGGCCTGAAGCAAGACTAATTCAAAAATTAAGAATATTGTTACCTTCAACTTATGACTTGATTCTCGCTGCTTTATCTTAGTTTCTGTCATCTAGTAATATGGAATGATATTCTGGAAAGTTTTGCTGTTGTAAATAATCAGTTTATGTGCAATACTCTGCTGAGCTACAATATGATATTACTATGCCTGTAAAATATGCACATAGAATTCTTATATGCTTTTGGCAATAAAAGCACATATCCCAATTATAACATAAGGGAAAGTGGAGCTCGTTAGTCACACCTGTGATTTCATATTGTTTATTCCCCAATAATTCATTTACCCATTTTAGTGGAAATGAACTTTTTGTGTCTTGTATTTTGCAATTTTTCAAAAATACCACATGTTCTGCATCACTATTTCATATTGAAGTTTTGGTAGAAAATGAGGCAACTTTTTCAAAGGGAAGCACCAAATATTATGAATCGGAATAAAATGCATCACAGAATATTTTTGTAAATCGATTTTGTACCTTGTATTTTGCAATTTTTCAAAAATACCACATGTTCTGCATTACTATTTCATATTGAAGTTTCAGTAGAAAATGAGGTACCAAATATTATGAATTGGAATAAAATACATCACAGAATGTTTTTGTAAGAATCCGAGGTATAAGTGTGAAAAAATGAATATATTTAATACATACCTTTGGTAATATCATAAATTTCCATTTAGCCTAATTCAACTTTCGAGGTAAATTAACCGAAACTAATATTTCTCAATTTGAGTAAAAATGAAGATTACAGTGATATATTCTTTGAAAATATTTCTCCAGAATCTCTAATGTTAAAGAGATGCTCATGTAATAAGCAAGGCGATTGACTCTCTTGTTCTTAAATAACAATGAAATTAAATGTGCACATCAATAAAAGCCAATACTAAAGTATGTGGCCCCTTCAAAATTTTTTAATATATAACCTTTTGACATTTTAATCTCATTGATAATTTAGTGGAAATTTTGGATTTTCAAACAAAACATTTCATAATTTTAAAAAGGATGAAAGATTGTACAATGATATAGGTTAATGCTTTGACGTTTAGCATAGGATTCATTGAAGAACAGAAAATTGCCACACATTTTTACCTGAGCATCTCTGAAAGCACTATTATAAAATCAAAATGTTACACAGACTACAGAAGTCAACCTAAGACCTTAAAAGTAAATTATATTTGTCATAAAGACTGTAAAAATAGATTATATTAAAAAAAGATTGTTAAAAATCTGTTTATTATGAAATATATTGCCTCTGTAACAGGATCAGTTATAGTCGGGGTAATAACATGTAGTTTATATTATTGTATAATTACTGAACATGCACTCAAACAAGTGATGATTTACGACATTATGTCGTAAACTAAAGAAATGAGACAATGTCGTAATTATGACTATGGTTTACATTCTCAAATGTGGAATCAATGTATGCAAATGTACTTTAAAATGGCTCAAATTCACACTTAACAGAGGATTTGATTATGTAAAAATATTGAAGGAGATAAATATATACAGAAATAAAGTCAGATATATTATTTTGAATCAATGTTCTTTTTATTATCATCTAATGTATACCCGGTCTTACATTTTCTAAGCAAATCTCAGGAACATTGAAAATACATTATTATTTGACTTGTATACCTCCTAAAATTACACTTTTTGTCTGGAAACAATTTCAGAATATTGGACACTGGATAGACAAGTAAGATGCCCATCTGGTAATATAATTTGAGGGATGACGTACAACTGTGTTGAATCATTGCTTGAAATATTATCCTAACCTCTGTATATTTTCATTAAGACCCCTATTCACTGGCATGTAGCGATTATAGCGATACTGGATACTTTACTGAATTGTGTCGAAGTTAGACGTGTGGTGCGGAAGTTAATATGCAGATGACCATTATTTCAATGTTATATTGTTTGTAGGCAAATTGAGATTAGGCCATTGGAGTATTTGTTTCACGCATACATAAAGCATAACGCATTCAAGGGTCACATTTATCATTAAACCAATAACTCAAACATATGACCTTGTACACCGACCACCTCTTGAAATCAATGCAGGCCGATTTCAACGAATGCAAACGGTGATATATAAAAGAAACATAATCAAGCATGACCACGTCCCAACTTCTTTTGTTTTCTTTACAACTAAGCTATGACTGCAGTCTATTCAGTGTTGCGTATCGAACCTTGTTTATTATAAAAATAGTGCAACAACAAGCAGAATTCACACATTTACCTTATACTTATTCTCAACTGAAGACATTGAATTTATCTCTTTAGGTTTTACATTATAAATATCTTAACATGCAGAATACGAAAATAGAGGCTTAGGCCCAACTTTGTATGGATTTTATGAAAATAATCTGATTTTAGAGAAATGAAAAGAAAAATGTCCACACCCTACACAAAATATTTATGGTTCCCGGGAATACGTATGTGTTGCTTTATATTAGAATCGTATTCCAGTTACAGAAAGAAGTACATATCATGCTAAACTATATACATATATTTATCGTCTATTATCCTTTGACAAGTAGAGTGGAGAATAAAAATGAAAAATTTTAAAAATTTAAAAAAGGAAATAAGATTATTTTTTTAGAAAACTACTTGGTATATGATAAAGCAGATATGCGCGGTCGGTTTGGATATGGGGTTTATCCCTCGTGAGATATGCACGTCTACCTTCGGTCCCTATGGTCCATCAGGTAGATATAGAGATTATCCTATATGAGGTTCAGGATATTGGGATTACCCCGAGGTAAATATAATATATCTGTCCGAGGGCCGCAGGTCCCGAGGGAAAATATATTTTATTTCATAATACTACTGTTTTTCCAGGGAAATATGAAGGAATTAAAATCGTATTGAATCGTATTACATGAAAAAATCGTATTGTCCCCGGGAAAAAATCGTATTGGAGCGTATTACATGAAAAAATCGTATTGTCCCCGTGAAAAATCGTATTGGAGCGTATTGACCTATTTTTTAGTTTCCCGGTTTATTTTATTTATTTATTTTATTTTTCAAACAATGTGCATTTATTAATATAACGTTTGCATTATCCAAATGTAACATTCTAGAGGGATGTATTATGGAATAAATAGGTTAATTCTGGTCAGGATTCAATATGGGTTTTATTCCTCGGAAAGTATGATATTGACCTTGGGCAATATGATATTGACACTCGGTCGCTGCGCTCTCGGTCAATATTATATTACCCTTCAGTCAATATCATATTGTCCCTCGGAATAAAACCCATATTCAATCCCTCCCAGTAAATAACCTATATGTATTCCATACCTGATGAGGTTTCAGGGGCATATCAACCGGGAATATATTCCATATCCGGCAAATATCTTTCGTATGTCCCGCTCCGACGGAGCTCCGGGACATATAAATCGTATGTCCCGCTCAAAAAAATGTTAAAAATAAATTCGGGAAAAAAAATTGAAAAAAAATTTGAAAAAAAAGTTTTGAAAATATTCTGAAAAAAAATTATGCCAAAAAAAGGTGAAAAAATTTGAAAAAAATGTGGGAAAAAAATTTCAATAAAAAAATTTGGAATTTTTTTAGGATTTACAATACATCTTCCCTTGGTCCATTCGGTCCCTCGGGAAAATGTATTGTATATCCCTCGGATATTCCCTGTATTCAAAACATCCCAGTGCAAAACCCTTATGTATTTCATACTTTAGTGGGTTTGGGGTAGATATCACCCGGGGATATATATTATATCTGAGGAGCGGGCAGGATATATTGTATATGTCCCGCTCTAGGCCAAATGCGGGCAGATATAATATATCCATCCCACTCCCGGGAATTTTTTCAAAAGTTTAAAAACTTGAAAACTTTAAATTTCTATTGTATTGAACTGAAGGAATATTATGAAAATGTTAAATATGAATTGTGCTTTTACAGTATAGGCCTATCTTGTCATTTGAAAAAGGTGGTAAAGGTTATATCTACCCCAAGCCCACTTAAGTATGAGATACACCAGTTATGTACGGTGGATTTTGGATACAGTGTTTATCCTGCGGGAAATATGTGTATCTCCCTCGGTCCCTGCGGTCCCTCATGAGATACACATATTTCCCTTGGGATAAACCCTGTATCCAAAACCTCCTAGTACATAACCCTTATTTATTCCATAGTTAGCATAATATTCATAGGATAACATGTGAAAATAAAAACGGTATTTTTGTAATCAGTGGTAAAATATGATATTTTTGACATATTTTCACTTAACCATAGCATACGGTTTTTTATTCCATAGTTAGCATGATATTCATAGGATAACATGTGAAAATAAAAACGGTATTTTTGTAATCAGTGGTAAAATATGATATTTTTGACAAATTTTCACTTTACCATAGCATACGGTTTTTTAGCCATGACATACGACGTCGTATGCGATGGTTTATGGATTTTTGCTACTTCAGACTCAAAACGAGGCTCAGTGTCAACATCACCGGATCGTTTGGAAAATTCGAATTAAATCACTTAATTTCCGACGATTCTGATGTTGACTTTAACTATGGAATAAAAAGAACATCCTATGATTTACTCGTGATATGATTTTAATCCACTCATGGATATTAATATCTGCACTCTCTCGCTACGCTCGCTCGTGCAGATATCATATCCATTCGTGGATAAAAATCATATCACTCATAAATCATAGGATATCCTCTATTTAGTCATGACATTCGGCGTCGTATGCGATGGTTTATGGATTTTTACTACTTCAGACTCAAAACGAGGCCAAGTGTCAACATCGCCGGATCGTTTGGAAAATTCGATTTAAATCACTTAATTTCCGACGATTCTGACGATGACTTTAACTATGGAATAAAAAGAACATCCCATGATTTACTCGTGATATGATTTTAATCCACTCATGGATATTGATATCTGCACTCTCTTGCTACGCTCGCTCGTGCAGATATCATATGCATTCGTGGATAAAAATCATATCTCTCATAAATCATAGGATATCCTCTATATCCCATGGTTGCAATGATATAGATCGAATATCACATGATGATATATTTGATATGTGGACCAAGATATCATATTTTAGCAAACGATTTACAAACCATCGAATATCACTTTTAAACTATCGAATATCACGTCTTAAAAAGTGATATTCGATGGTTTCGAATTTTTTCAAAAAATGAATTTTGAATATTTGATGACGTAAATCAAGATAATTTCTACTCGCATCTTGTCTATTCCACAGGTTTGGGAAAGTGTACAGGAAATCGAATGTATTCTCGTGTGCATTACGATATCCACATTGAAACATTTTTGGCCTGCAATGGACGTATAATGGATTAGAATATGAGGCCGTGTTATCATTCAAATGTAAAGTCATGGTATTGGGTTGCAAGTTAATATCAGATTCAATGCAAATTAATCATTTAATATCAGATGCGCGATCAGTCGAATAATGTAATTTCAGGTCATCAGTTCGATATCTAGCAGTTGTTCTAACGACACGGTATTACTAGGCTATCATGTTATAAATACACACACATATAAATAAATCAAACTGGTACACGATATAAGCACGACTGCTCTTTCAATTGAGTATAAATGTTGATAAACTTACCCGGAAGCCAATACATACACGTTTAGACGATGCTATTTTCAGTTCAGTGTAAGAGTAAATGCCCGGATATCGAAGCTTTTTCGTGTAAAGTTTTAACCAAGCATGTAGTCTCGGGTTATATTGCGTGTAGAATTTATCGATATCAGGGCCGCTACATGCCAGTGCCTATTGTCCTTCAACATTTCTTATTTTGAAACCAAAACCACTGAAAATCTATAAATACCATTAAAAAGATTTTCTGAAATATATGCATTATTGAAAGATATTGTTAAATTCAACAAAATATGGGTGTTTTTACCCATAGTATACCTGTACAGTGAACACACATGCATGGAAATTTTGGGGAAAATATAGTTGAATAATGACTGGTCAAATATTGTACACTAGTAACTAGTTGCAAGACAAGATTGTTGCGGATATTTTTTTATACAGCATTTATGAAATATCTATATAAAGTTTATATCTGTATCTCATCAGGGATATTAGCAATGGGGCCAACCCTTCCTAAGCATCTCTTTCGTCGTTATTAGGCCCATGCATTGTTGTGTTTGGAGCTTTGAGACTTTTTTCCTTGTTTTAAGGGATATTTTGCTCATGAAGTCATCCTATGGACCACCATATACATGTACAGGGTGTCAAATAAGTCTGTTCTCCCCCTTAACTTTTTTATCTCTAATTTTATCATACTTTCCCATATATCATTTTGAAGCTCATGGAAAATGCTGATCACCCTCAAAAAATCAATTATAAATCCCTCCTAATAAAATTGCTACAATGTTTCTTGTAAGGTTGTAGTTGAGCTTTTTTACGTCAAAACAAGTAAAATTACCAGGTAATAGTGAATGAAAAATGAAAAGTTGATACTGCAGAGACAATGCCAACATTGGGTGATTTCGATGTTTCTCAATATCATTACAGAGAAAAATGTGTTACATTCAGGGGAGCCTTTGAAGCAGGGGCATCTTTCATCAGAAAATAGTTGATAACACCTAAAATTAAACGTTCTGAATGATTTATACAGGATCAATTCCTCGTAGAATTGAGGCCCTCCGGGCTGCTGGGGGAGACATACAGACTATTAAAAAAGTGAAATATGGACATCACTAAAAATGCTCTAAAAAATTTGGAATTTAACCAATCACTCTGAAATTTGGTGTGTGATCAGCAAATTAAATTCCCTTTAAGATGATATATACCAACCCTATGTTATCTCTGAATTAAAAAGTTAAGGGGGGAGAACAGACTTATTTGACGCCCTGTATATTGTCACTTTAAAATTTCCTTCAAACAATTTTTGACATCACATGGATGGAATTTTATTTCCCCAAAGGCCAAATGTAAATTCTACTACAGTTAAAAATTGGATGTATTACAAGATAGTGATGCAGTATAAAGAAATAAACTATAGTTTAGAGTATTTTATTTTATTGTTTATCATTTAGTTTTTGTAAGAATTAAAGGAAAATTTCATAAAATATAGAATAGTCCATGTTTGCCTTATTAGTTCCAATGATAACCATAGATTGATTTAAGTTGTATTTGTATGTACAGTATATTCATTGGGATAACTCCCAATTCTTTTTTCCATCCGAGTTGCCTTTTGTTTCATCCAATACATACAATGAAATATTAAGTTGGCCAAACACGTTTTTTCACAATGTATAACACTGTTGCAAAGAAAAACACCAGTGCGAGAAATATCAAGAATTTGTCCGTTATTTCTCTCCTGTTGTATTTGGTTAACAGTTTTGAAGATATTTGTATGTGTCCTGTCATTCCTTTGAACTCTTCATTCGTTTCTTTTACTTGGTCTGAAGATTGAACTGAAATCAAAACAGAAGAACATATTAAAAATCCAAGTCTACATCAATTGATACAGGTTACTCCTCGAGTACTTTTTTTTAATTGAAAGATTTAGACCAAAGTCAGGTCATATGCACTATGAAAGGCATCCAAGGTATATCAAATTTGAAAATTAGGGAGTTGTACACATTCAAAAGAAACCCAAATATACAGATACATCTTGGTTAATATAGTATAGTCCTGGTCTTAAATAGACATAGTCTGATGTGTTCCCCTACACAATTAAACCATGATCTGATAAAGCCTGTAAGTGTATACTCAGAAATAGTAATACAGGGTGGTCAAAAAATGGCAACACTGTCACTACATGTATCTTAACCATTTCTTTGTCATTTTAGGAAATTACTCCTGATATTTCACACATTTGTACATCATTCAATTACCAGTCTGGGTTTTCCAGTCTACTATATTTCATGACCATCAGACTGATAGTCATAATGTTACAGTACATTAAACAACATGCTCCAGTGGCCACTTTTGCACTGTAGGCTGCAACTGATGCAGGTTTGCCCACAGCGCGATGATGGCCATGTTGTTAAAAGTGCTGTAACATTGCAACTATCAGTCTGATACATGGTTGCCATTTCTTTTACCACTCTGTATTTGGAAAGATTCATGTCAGTTCCAGCCCAGTGAAGCTTTATACACACTTCCACAGCATAATTTGAAAAATGGGGAAATATTTTAACATTTCATCAAAATATTGCTATTTGAAACTATGTATTCAACCATAATGAGTTAACAATACATCCACAAACAAATGTGGAAAAATATTATCCAATTCATGAATTAATTACGTTTGGTTATGAATTTCTCAAAACTTACTCAATGTTGACATGGTATGGTCACTCCGCTGTACCTCTTCTGAAAGTGTCCTGCTTACAGCCATAAGACTTTCTGTTATATTAGAGGTCGTCTTGGCAATTGTTTCCTTGTTGGACCTCAATCTGTTTAAAATTCAATACAGGCAACATCAATTTCATAACATTTACTCTGCATTAGACCAGGATCAGATTTTGCACCATAATACTTAATTTTGTTCAATAAATAGAATTACAAAAAAGAAACAGATGAAATAGTCATGAAGGAAATAACCCTACACACTGGTGATCCACTTGAAACGGTTCATTTCGGTAACAAAAAGTTGGAACATAGAAGGTACGATTTTTTCTTTTTTCCTTATTTCACACGTTGTAGGCAGAATTCCCCTGACATTTTCAACACAAACGTGTATCAGTATCAAATGTTTTAGAAAATGTTTATGTTTGCGAACAAATAGTTCAGAAGACAACAGAATCATCGATTTATTCCTCACTTAAGTTACAGAAATGGTATTTCGAAAAACTTAAGATCTGCACTTTTAATCCAAACGGTTTATGTAACTTAAGTGATGAATTAAATCAACGATTCTGTTGTCTTCTGATCTATTTTTTCGCAAACATGTACATTTTCTGAAACATAATACTGATACAAGTTTGTGAGAAAAAACATTGTGGGGATTTTGAGATGGAAGGTGTTTCTACAATTCTGTCACTCAACTGCTGAATCAGTAAAGGATTTTCTCCCCACTGTTTACCATTAAAAAACTCATTGATATAAGTCAAGGACAATAAGTCAAAGAAAATGATTTTGATTTTCTCTGAGATTTCCTTGACCATCTGAACTCTGGAAATGACTGAAAGTTAAACCAACCTTCGTCTGGCTTGAGTCCCTCCATCAAACAACTGTTCTTTTTCTTTCTTTTCAATGGCTATCTGACAAGCGATGTTGGCTCTTCGCAGTGACTGATGTGTGCTACAGATACACATAATATCATATGTAAGTTAGGTATCATAATCTAAGGATATACATTGACTACAAAGATTAGTGCAAGATGGGCAATGTTGGGAGACTGATGATTGCTACAAAGGTACATACGGTATTAATACAATACAATGTTATTCATTAAGAAAACGAAATACACAACCTGGTAAAAATTATTTTTCAAGATGCCTCGTCTACCTAATGAACTTAATAAGAAAACAAACAATCAAAATCAGAAATTGTGTAAACCATTACCATTGTGTCAATAATTATGGAATAAAGATCATACCTTGTAAGCTGTTTCTTGTAATTTTCTGCATCTTTGATGATTGCTATTTTGTCTGTTTCTTTATCCTGTTCTTTGGCAAGTCTTTCTAAATCCTGCAAGGAAAAATAAATTTCAATATTCCAAGACAAAAATATTCCCTACCAGAATTATTTCTGTGAACATGGAAACTTTGTATCTCCATACGCATGCATTTTGACACTCCTTGTCATGACTTTTTCAAAACAAGTCATTAACATGCAAAATGTCACCACCTGCCATTTGTTACTGATGCTGAACACTAATCAATGAACAGCAACATTCGCCACAAAAATGTTGGAGACTATAATAAAACTTGTCACTCCGTCTATGGCAGATTCCACCTTAAAAGACCCTGGGTAAAACACGAAAATATTGTTTAACCATCTTATATATTTGTCATATCTATTGGTCTTTTCTTTTTAAATAGGTGGATTTCCCACCATTTTGCAACAAAAGATTTTCTCAATTCATAAATTTTTTTCTCATCATAATCTTTTCTAAATATGCTAAACTTTCATGTTAAAAATATTTTCTGCACTATTGGCTTCAATGAGTCAAATTGAAATGTCATTTTCTTGATATCTAAAACACAAAATGGATTAGGATGTTTTATATATCACACTTTGATAAAGGTAAGACTACAACATTAGGCAACACGGTTTAACTTTTCAACATGTGTACTATAATATTCTCACCTGAATTCTATTCTTTAGATTTTGTATTTTCTGTGATGCCTCTAAGTTGAATCCCTCAAGAGCCTCCAAAGGACCATTGCATTTTTTGATGTCCTGCGAGTAAAAAAAGAAAACGCATAAATTGTTGAACAGTAAAATATAATTTCCAGAATGTGTACATGACATTAATGTTACATCCAGACAGGGTTTAATGTGGCAGTTTTACCATTTTTTCATTTTGGACCTAAAAATTGACCCTTTTTCACTTCATTTTAAAAAACTGAGAAATCACCATTTCTAAAAGACTAGTCTCGGTTTGGAGAACGAAGTTCATCAGTCTACTGCACTTTACGCTAGCTGCTTTGGACAATTTTGATATTTTTACATATTGTAGATTTAAATGTCTTCTATTGAATATCCATAATTTAATGTGGGTGTTAATTTTCCATAAAAAAATTATTAGCGCAGTAGATTGATGAACTTCCTTCCCCAAACCAAGACTTGCAGGCCCGTAGCCAGGGGGGTTCGCAGGGTTCGGGCGAACCCCCCCCCTGGCCAAAAATTCTTTCAAAATCATGCAGTTTTTCACCATTTTGAGCACTTCTCTTGTGATTTTAGCCATATTTGGGCCAAAATTGTCAAATGTGAACCCCCCCTGGAAATTTTTGAAAACTGAACCCCCCCCCCCTTGGCAAATCCTGGCTACGGGCCTGACTTGTCTTTTAATTGTTGGATGATACGTACATCATATTTAACTGTAAATGGGCTTTTTATTAGTTGGACGATTTGTTCACAGATATAAAGGGACACACTTATTATTGGGGTGGTATAATCAACTGGCTCTAGAAATAAAGAAATATATGACAAATGACAATTTGACAATTTTAGAATTTCAAAAGTGAATAAAGCGACCTCATTGCCCCCTATCGGGGAGCCCTCCATATACATGTAGTACGAGTCAATTGGTTTGTGTGTCAATGAAATCTAAGTTGAAAAAAATATGCAATCAACGGACCACAGTACAAAATTTATGGGAAAATACATAAACTTATAATACATAAAACGTCCACCATCACAGGCACTAAAAAATTATCGCATCCTACGACCCCTTTAAATTGTGGTCGTAGGCCTGTTTCATTGGTAAGCCTGTCTTTCTACAATGTCGGAGAATGAACTACGCATTGCACTATTAAATGACCTACCTCGATACATTCCAGAGTATTTTAAAATTCTTTTTATGTTGTTAGATCGCCAATTGTATGGGTTTATCGGCAGAACGAAGAGATTTAAGTTTTTACATCGGAAATATCTCAGCAATTTTCAAAATGTCGGAAGGGGAATTCCCCAGGGATTTCCCTTATGGTATGAGGTTCCATATCCATCCGCCAAAAGGTATGACCCCTATATAGTCCATTTAAAAACTTGTGGTTTTGTTCTAAATAACGCCATAGTTGGCTTCTAGGGTACCTAGTATGCCACTATTTGGTATCAAAATAAAGAGGAGGAGTTCAACTTTCAATTGAATTACGAAAATAGCGATGTAGGTCAAAAATAGTTCCGACGTGAGCATGTTTACTACGCGTTTGCCCATCATATCAGAATTGAGGAAGTGGTAGCAAACGCGAGTCACAATAAATGGACGCTGATATCTCAAAAAGTAACCTGACTCCCTATAATTTGATGTAGATCAATCGAACCCCTATATGAACAGGTACATTTTGATATATAACACTATGGGGGTAAGCGTTTTATAGTTGGTCACGAACGCCATATGTGCAAAGTATTGTTATGAATTTTCGAATTTGGTGTTGGATTACGGTACTCATACCTTAATATGAGGCCTAAAATTGTCTGCTAGTTGGCCAGAGACCAATATTCTAGCAGAATTTGAGAACAGAATCGATTTTTTCGTTCTGCGTAGGGCAAACAATGATTTGAAATCACTTTCAACCATTCTGTGAGTATAAGAATGGTCATAAGAGGCCCGTGGAGGGTCTGGAATGAAAGAAAGCCCTCTGAAATTCCGTCAAAATTGCAGGTTATTTCTTCATTTTTTGCTAAAATTACATGATTTTCAGGGCCCATATCTCAGTGAAATTGCTACAATGTAGCGATTTTTCATTTTTACAGGCTAGATACACAGAAACAGTAAGCATGTGTGATTTTTAAACTGCTACATTGTAGCAATATTTATTTCAAAATACAGGTGTGAGGGAAACTGCAATTTAGTTAGATTTGGGCGAAAATGGCCAAATTTCAGTCAAAATCCTCGGGACACAGGGCCTTTGTCTTAGATTTAGTCAATGATGCAACTCTTAGTAGAAGGTGTGCCATATAGGGAATGAAAGCTGTTTGTCAGACGTATCATTTTCTTCAATAAACTCAGAGATAGTCAGGTTAGATTTGTGACGTCACAATGGCAAAGTTAGACCAGCATATTTAGACGTATTTGGGGTAGGGCAAATTAACCCTTTCTAGCCTAAATGGATAAATTTTTCACATATTCAGCCAGTTCCGACGTTTTTATGCATTTTTGAACTAGAAATGATATTTTCTGCCAAAAAAAGTTGCAGAGACAAAAATCAGTGTGATGTCATAACACATTAAGGTATGAGGTTCCATATCCATCCGCCAAAAGGTATGACCCCTATATAGTCCATTTAAAAACTTGTGGTTTTGTTCTAAATAACGCCATAGTTGGCTTCTAGGGTACCTAGTATGCCACTATTTGGTATCAAAATAAAGAGGAGGAGTTCAACTTTCAATTGAATTACGAAAATAGCGATGTAGGTCAAAAATAGTTCCGACGTGAGCATGTTTACTACGCGTTTGCCCATCATATCAGAATTGAGGAAGTGGTAGCAAACGCGAGTGACGTCACAATGGCAAAGTTAGACCAGCATATTTAGACGTATTTGGGGTAGGGCAAATTAACCCTTTCTAGCCTAAATGGATAAATTTTTCACATATTCAGCCAGTTCCGACGTTTTTATGCATTTTTGAACTAGAAATGATATTTTCTGCCAAAAAAAGTTGCAGAGACAAAAATCAGTGTGATGTCATAACACATTAAGGTATGAGGTTCCATATCCATCCGCCAAAAGGTATGACCCCTATATAGTCCATTTAAAAACTTGTGGTTTTGTTCTAAATAACGCCATAGTTGGCTTCTAGGGTACCTAGTATGCCACTATTTGGTATCAAAATAAAGAGGAGGAGGTCAACTTTCAATTGAATTACGAAAATAGCGATGTAGGTCAAAAATAGTTCCGACGTGAGCATGTTTACTACGCGTTTGCCCATCATATCAGAATTGAGGAAGTGGTAGCAAACGCGAGTCACAATAAATGGACGCTGATATCTCAAAAAGTAACCTGACTCCCTATAATTTGATGTAGATCAATCGAACCCCTATATGAACAGGTACATTTTGATATATAACACTATGGGGGGTAAGCGTTTTATAGTTGGTCACGAACGCCATATGTGCAAAGTATTGTTATGAATTTTCGAATTTGGTGTTGGATTACGGTACTCATACCTTATGACTGGTGCATGCCGGGAACTGAATGGAGGAATTTGACGGTTGAAATAAGTTAAATATTACACGCAAATATTGCTATCAAAAACGAAAATATCTTCGTTCTGCTGATAAACCCATACAATTTGCGATTCAACTATATGAAAAGAATTCTAAAATACTCAGGAATGTATCGAGGTAGGTCATTTATCTGTGCAATGCATAGTTCATTCTCCGACATTGTAGAAACACAGGCTTACTAATGATCCGGGCCTACGACCACAATCTAAAGGGGTCGTAGGATGCGATAAACTAAAAAAGACAGTAGAGTTTTCCTGAAAGGAAATACAGCCCCCCCCCCCCCAACAGATCCGGAGCTAGATCCAGCCCCCATTGGTATTGGCTCAAAGGATAAATGAGTATATATATAGAGCCTAGACACCAAGAAGAGGTAATCTGGCAGAGGTCCGTGCCCCCTTCCCCCCCCCCCCACACTCTCTGTACACAACTTTTTGGAGTACAGATATTTTTCCAGCATCTTGATCTCTTTTGTGATGATTGAAGAGACGTTATAAGAGTCACATGGTCATAAAAGCGTTTTAGAGATAAAACTTAATTGGAGGAACTACAAACCTGTATCAATGCAAGTATCTGAAGGTCTAATTTGATGATTTCTTGGACACATAATTTCACCGGCCCGGTCTCCATTTTTCTGACGATTGACTTGATGATTTACGACATTGATCAAAGGTTTCTTTTATAATTTAGAACGTTTATGACCTATTATAAATAATGAGTAGGGAAATACGTATTGATCATCTTTGTGCCTTTATACTTATGCATGTAAAATGAATAAATACTTAAAAATAAAGAAATAAATTGTCGTAATTGTGTTAGGAACTACAATCAGTCGCACTTCCGTTTCAAAATATTCCACGTCAAATTTCTATAATTTCTCTTTATTCCGACCATACTGTCTAAACTGTTGAGTTAAAATCCTAGAAAATGTTGGAGATATAATTTTTAAACCCCAATGAGTTGAACGGGGTACTGGGAATGGATAAAGGGTTTTAGATTATACCAATATATGGCCAGGTAAGTTCAATGTAGACTCTACAGATATTTTAATTTCTGTCACTCAGTGAATTGAGTGCACTATTTTCTCCGTCCTGGAACATACAAATAAAGTGGAATTTGTGTCCATAATGACAAATAGGAATTTAAAAATTTGAAGTGATATTCACATGTTATGCCGACTCTTCAAATGTTGAGGTGATTTTGGAGCCTGATTACGCCACAAGGAGGATTGTCTCCAAGAATGCAACATGACACATGCCAGCTTTCAAAATGCTGTTCCGCCATTTTGAAACCTGTCACGAGTAAATAAGGTTAAGGTCTCATGGAAGTTAACAGGAAATGACAAAACAAAAAATGACAAAGCCATGCTGGATTTTGAAAATTTTTTGAACCAAGATAACAGAGTTCTGTTTGGACCTCCAGTCAGTTTAACTAGTTCCAAATATCATTTACATGACCAGGAACACAATTGAAATGGTCAGAATGACCATAAACATGATAAAATAACCTTTATAGCCCTCTGAAAATGTGACTGAAAAATAGCTAAAAGTAGGTGCTCAGGAAAGGTCAATGAACAGAATCTTTTGATTTTTTCAGAAAATGTGTCCAATTTATTGCTCTAAATGACACAATCTTTGAAATTTTAAAAAATCGTCTGAAACAATAATGGCTGTAGTAAAAAGGAAAATAGATCGATTTTCAATTCAGTATTTTTCAATTTTTTCTTTTTCTAAGAATGATATCAAATTTTTTTGAATTGTATCATTTAGAGCAATATATTGGGCACATTTTCTGAAAAAGTCAAAATATTCTGTTCAGTGACCTTTCCTGAGCACCTACTCTTAGCTATTTTTTAGTCACATTTTCAGAGGGCTGAAAAGGTTATTCTATCATGTTTATGGTCATTCTGACCATTTCAACTGTGTTCCCGGTCATGTAAATGATATGTGGAACTAGTTAAACTGACTGGAGGTCCAAACAGAACTCTGTTATCTTGGTTCAAAAAATTTTCAAAATCCAGCATGGCTTTGTCATTTTTTGTTTTGTCATTTCCTGTTAACTTCCATGAGACCTTAACTGATGTTGCATTCTGGGAGTCAATCCTCCTTGGATCACAAACATGGCGGTCCATGAAAACATTTGTTCGATTTGGTAGGAATTTATCCATCATTTGCAGGTATGAAGCTTTGGATTCATTTATTGTGCTACTTAGACTGAAACTTAGAATTTAGCTCATTGTGACAACTTTTGATGGTTGAGGTTTATTAAGGTGCTATGGAAGTTAACAGGAAATGACAAAACAGGAAGTGACAATTTTTTTGCATTTTTAGACATTTTTTGAACAAAGATAACAAAGTTCTATTTTGACCTCCAGTCAATTCAACTAGTTCCAAATACCATCTACATGTCCAGGATCACAATGTTCACGGTCAGAATGACCCTAAACATGATGAAATAACCTTTTCAGCCCTCTGAAAATGTGACTGAAAAATAGCTAAAAGAAGGAGATAGGAAAGGTCGCTGAACAGAATCTTTCGAATTTTTCAGAAAATGTGCCCAATTTATTGCTCTAAATGATACAATCTTTGAAAATTTGATATCATTCATAGAAAAAGAAAAATTATGAAAAAACTGATTTGAAAAGCGATCTATTTTTCTTTTTATGACCGCCATTTTTGTTTAAGACAATTTTCTAAAATTTCAAAGATTGTATCAGTTAGAGCATTATATTGGGCACATTTTCTGAAAAATTCAAAAGATTCTGTTCAGTTCTGTTCAAAGGGCTAAAAAGGTTATTTCATCATGTTTAGGGTCATTCTGACCATGCACATTGTGATCCTGGTCATGTAAATGATATGTGGGAATAGTTAAATTGACTGGAGGTCAAACCAGAACTCTGTTATCTTTGTTCAAAAAATGTCTAAAAATGCAAAAAAAATTGTCACTTCCTGTTTTGTCATTTCCTGTTAACTTCCATAGCACCTTAATGTCTCCGACTTTATATCATATCTTTTTCAACTGCACTTTAGAGGAGCGAACATGTCGAGCTCTACTAAACTATGACAAGTATTCTGAGAGATGAACTGATAAAAGTATTTCACCTTTGAAACTGCTCCGTCACAGCGGACAAAAAATTTAACATCATTTTATAAAAAAATTAAAAAGATCTAATACGTCCACTAGTCCAGATCTCATTTATACCTCCAGAGTCATGCTAAAAACATATGTAAATATTATTGTGTCAAAAAATGAAAAAGATATGTTCATGTTTGTTTCCCAGATTTGATTTTTCAACTAGACACCTACAGATGATCTTTGACTTGAAATCACTGAAACAAACATCCATCTAATCTTAAATATGTTCTGGGTCTAAAAATTGACAAAACCCCTCCCCAATGATTTATTCTTGACTGATAAAGGTTTGTCTCATTTTGCATATTTGGAACAGATTTTTTGAACACAAGTGTTGTCAATTTGCTAAGAATTTGTGTATCTTATATCTGAGCATATTTCTAACATGCTTTATATTGCTTTAATGCACAAAATTAGAAGATCGCTAGATTAGATATAATTAAGTTCATTCCTTTTGCAATGTATGCTAACAATTGTTACTTGGTTTACTGTATATTACATTAAGATAAAGTTATCTTGATTTTGTTTGTTTGTGTTCTAACCTAAATAAAGTTTTAAACTGATATTGAACTTATTTATTACAGAATATTTTATTGGTATACATTTCAAATTACATGTACCTTTGACCATTTGCAATGTATCAAACATTTGACTAATCCAGAATATATGGTGTAGGTTATGTTAAAATTATGATTTAAAGATGTTTTAATTTGCACACTATTGCATACTTTTCTGTAATAATATTAATGGCCTGTAATTTTTCAGCTAAAGGCAGTAATTATAGAGCAGTACCTCGTTAATTTTTAATTATGAGCACACTTTAGACTTTATTTGGCCTCCAGAGTTCTTTTTGGCTATGAACTTTTATGAGGCAAATTTTGAATATTTCTCATCATAAGATATACTTCATAGATATACAGAATATAGATGCTTATATATACATACCTAGTATAGCCTCTTGAGCACAATTGTGGTACACTGTAGCAAGAAATTAATGAAACATGATAAAACATGGCAATTCATGATATAATTTTAATTCACATCAGACCATCAAAAATATGTCTAAACTTTTACTTACCTTTTTTCAAGAAATTGATGAAATATGATAAAACATGGCAATCCATAATACAATATTAATTCACATCCGACCATCAAAAACATGTCTAAACTTTTACTAACCTTTTTTCAGAATCAGTCTGAGTTGCCGTGGATGGCAGCTGAGTTGTGCCCCACATATCAACTGGGGGTCATCAAAGGTTCTGGCCACTTGTGTCATAAGTATTGCACTTCTTTGCATCATAGTCGTGACTGTCATTGAAACACGTCGTATTCAAAATGAAATCAACACGGCTGATGCAAGTCCAAGACATCTGAGGGTCCCTCGGAAGAAGTTATCAATCACAGAACCAACAGATGTCAATGATATGGATCTACATTATGGTGTCGTGATTGACTGTGGTAGTAGTGGTAGCCGGGTCTATGTCTACGTTTGGCCCAAACATTCGGGAAATTCAAACGAGCTACTACAAATCGAACAGATGATTGACAAAGATCTGAAACCTGTCTCAAAAAAGATTGAACCAGGTTTGTTAATATGGATGTTTTGTAAAAATTAGATTTTTATGTTGGGAATGCAACTGATTGATTAACCCATTCTTTTAAATATTGCATTGGTGAAATTCTTGATTATTCTCTTCTTTAATGCTGCAGCTATTTCAAAATACATGTACAAGAAATACCAGATAGAAATACATGTACATATATGATAGATTGTTTTTATTGATGCAATTTTGCTGAATTATTCATTCAAGGTTTATCCACTTATGGAGATAAAGCAAGTGAGGCTAGTGAATATATTCGACCACTACTTAAGTATGCTGCTGACCACATTCCCTCCTCCAAACACAAGGAGACACCTTTGTATATATTAGCCACCGCTGGAATGAGGATGCTCACTGAAAGGTGTGTATATATGCTATTTAGAGATTAGAGCAAGGGGCAACATTTTAAGAGCTAGGGCAGGGTCAATTATCATTGTTATTTCCATGAGAGTAAGCTGCAATTCTAGTAAACTATGAAAACCATCTAATAAAGTCTTTAGAATTATTCACTTTTCTGTAAATCTTCATTGAGGCCTTGGCTAATTGTGCCACACAGAGTGTGTAAAAATGAGCCATCAGTATAATATAGAAACAATGACAAATATAAGACCATTCACTAATGTTGTTTTGAAGACGTTATTAAAAGTAATGTAATTCAAATTTTAAGGTTCAGTAAACATTAGGGGAGTAAATTAAATTGGCAACGATAAGTTCTGCAGTGTTACTATTGTATTTGCATGGCTTCCAAAATTAACTTTTTCACTTATCCTTTCAGTCAACAAACTGCCATATTATCAGATCTACGGGTAGATCTTCCGATGTATTTTGACTTCCTGTTCGGTGAGAATCATGTTGAGGTCATAACTGGGAAACAGGAGGGCGTGTATGCTTGGATCGCAATGAACTTTGCACTTGGGAGATTCGACCACAATGAGGATGAAGGTTGGTGTATAGCTTACTGCTTTAAATGAACTCTCTGAACTTTACTATATTCTTACTGAAAAGTAGATTTTTTCAATGTGGAGAATCTTCATTTAAGGATAACTCAAACATAAAAATGTTGCACTTTTGTTACCCTGTAATTGATTTGATTTTGCGTTATTTTGATTTATTGTAAAAATCTTTGTCAATCAGCATAAATTGTTGGTCTATTCAAATAGCTTGCCTTGTTGCTACATAAGATTCATAAGATGTATCAAAATTTTGCTAAATTAAATCAATTTGTTTTGTTTTTTTCTTAAGTATGAAGATTGCTTTTATTCCCATGCAGTTTTAAGTGTTGACTTTTATTCCTTGATGCTTGGACTCTTTCTGTATATTGATCCAATAGATCGTTACGATTAATCCTGCCACCTTTTGGTACATCAGAGAAATTATGATATATTGGCTAAATTGATGACGTCATTTGCTGCAGGTAGAAATAGGACCATGCAAAAAAAGATTAACTTATTGCTAATTTTAAAAAATAGAACCTATGACATTATCAAGCTAGCCAATATATCAAAGTTCTCTGATCTATCAAAAGATGATAAGATTTATCGGAAAGATCTATTGAAGAAAGTTTGGAGTGATCTATACATAATGGCTGTAGCTGAACCATACATATATCCAACCATTTGAAAAAGACTGCCAGTTTTCCATGTGACATTTTACATTCTTTCAAAAAAGATACCATATAATTTCAGTGCTTTAACAAGATGTTCAGTCGGATCTGGCTTTGCTGTTATCCAGTTTCAATATAAAAAATGACCATGTTATTTTGAATATTTCAGTTAGCGGAACACCCTTATCAAAGATGGAGCTTCCCAATGAAGGCTCATCCTCAAAGCCTCATTATCGTAAACGCACTGTGGGGATCATAGATATGGGCGGAGGGTCTGTGCAGATAGCATTTGAAGTGGAGCGCTCTGTAAGACTAAATAGTAGGGAGGTGCGCACTGCATGTTGTTAGTTAATCTCTTAATGTCATTCCATTTACACTTTTAAATGGCATTTTGAAAAGTAATTCAAATTCAAAATGTCAATCTGCCAAAACATACTCAGAAGATTTTTTTTAAATTATGAAAAAATAGGTTTATATTGAAGGAATGGGTTGTGATAGATGATTTTGCGATGATTCAGCCTGTTTTGGTTGGCATGGTGAACCTGTAAAATCACCCACTCATCAGGAGAGGGGGGAAAGGTTTGCTCCTATTTTGTACCTGAAATCCATCTCTATCCTTACATGTTATATGCTATTATATAATCTGGAATCATCCTCAGTATTAATGGGATCTTAATTAATTGTTTTAAACCGTATGACATTATTCTCTCAAATATGGATGTTTGCTTGTTATATTTTGTGAAAAACAAGCGTTGTAAATGGAATGAAATATGTAATTTAATTCTATTAGTTAATCCAAGAGCAAGACTTACACATATGTACATTAACCACAACTCCAAAGTGAATCTCTCAATGGTTTATTAACAGTCATTTCATTTCTAAACTATGAAAACAAGTAAATTATTTGCTTTGAACCATTTCACCATATTTGTTAAATGATGTGTTAAAATTTTTTATTTAAACTTTGTCGTGGGAAGAATAAATATAATCAATTTTCCACAAGTGAAATGTACATGCTTATCTCCAAGTACCGATTAACATCACTTTACCACTTGTAGTACCACTTTGTCACATGTAATACCCCTTTACCAGAAAAATTAAAAATTACCACTATGGTCCCAATTCCTGACCTACAGTATTGTTCACACCACTATATAATATGTTAAATAGCATAATGTATAATATCATATTCTCGAGCTATTATTTCCCCTCTTTTTGCCACTTTCTTTATCATATTTATCATGTAAAGTAAAACCTGTAAAGTGGAACACCTCTGTAAGTAGAACACCTCTGTGAGTGAAACACCTCTGTATGTAGAACACCTCCTGAGTAGAACACTGCTTTTGAGGTACAAAAAGAATTCCACCTACATAGGTTTAGCTGTAGTTTACTCTTTGCGGTGTGATACTCTTTTGCATGATTAGATCAGTAAAATAGGAATTAATTAAGATTTCCCAATGTGTTGATTGGTGTGACTAATGTTGCATGTATGTTTGTTTTGACAATTTTAGATCTAGATTTGTTAATTTTAAGTTATATTCCTTCCACACTCATTGCTATCTTGATGTGTTTGCTAAAACCAATTATTTATTGTCAATACTTAATAAAAACATTTAAAATTATTTACAGTATGGTCAAAATTAATTAGCTAAAAATATGCAGTCGTCAGTTCCAGTTGGTCCCTATTCTTCAAACAACAACACTAGGCTTATCATTCAAAGTATAGAAAATACATAATTATATGAATTTCAAGTATTTGTTATACTTTCACTTATATTGATAGTTTGGTCATAGCTACCATATCAAGTTAGCAATAGACTTGTGAGGAATACTCATAAATGTTGTCAAATTAAGCTGTGTATTTGAATGGTATTATAATTTCTTACTATTTGATTTGAAGTACTGTTATACATTGCTAGATATACATGTACTTAAAATCATTTGATTTTTTAATGATTTCACGCATTATCTTATTAAGTTAAATCAATTTTATGGATTAGTTTAGAAATAGTGGAATGATTGTAGTAGATTCTCATCTAAAAGACCCCTGTTTTATTATTTTATCAATTTTAAGTTTTGATTTGTGTTTAAGCATTATATTTGCTTTCAAGCCTATCGTGCATGAACTGGTGGCATACCATATAGGCGTCAACATCAATTTTTGTTTGTGAAGATTTGTATTTTATAAACTTATGTTTGTTTTCAGGATATCTCAAAATCATTATTAGCTGAGTTCAATCTAGGGTGTCAGGATTCTGACATTGACCACACGTATCGTGTCTATGTGACGACGTTCCTGGGGTATGGGGCAAACGCTGCGAGGTCTCGATATGAGAAAATGCTTGTAAATAACACTGTGTTTTATTCCCCCACTGGCATGGGCGAAAGGTATGTCTTGTTATTTACTATGCATCTGTTTCAAATGTCAAGTAATTAATCACTCGCAATTTTGCATTTAAGGCTGCAGTTTTTAGAATTTCGATATACATTCTGTATCTTAAACTTATGTATCTAATGTTCTATACTCTTCTGTGTCAACATCTGCGAAATATTTTGAATTGTAATAAAGATCAGAAAACAGTCAAAAGAGTAATTTTGTGCTTTGGTATCAAACAGAAATGTTGATTAATATAATTTAATAAGTGTAACTCTAATTGATTCTTCAAATGATGAAATATAGTTTTATTCGTTTTGGTGCTATGCTACCGTACAGCACCATTCTGATACCGTTTAAAATATTTTACTACTTAAATCCTATTATCACTAAGTTTGTGTCATAAGCAACCTTTGAATTAATATATGGGTACATATATATTGTACTAGACTCTCGTTAGGAATAATTTTTTAAGTATTGGAATCAACAAGAGGAATAAACAAAAAAGTAATTGGTGTTTTTAATTGTGGTGAGATGCAAGAAAAACTTATTTAAAACTGCAGCATACAATATACATACAATAACAGTGATCAATTTTCCCTGAAATGAAGCAACCTTTTGGAATTGAAAAAGTATGTGGCACCTTGTTCTGTTTGTCTCCAATGTTAAAGGGATAAAAGATTGAGAATTCTGACCTACATGTTCGGAAAAAACCTTTGGAGATCTCTGAATAAGTGTTGGCTTTTGTATTGTTATCTTAATGTATGAAACATGTATGTATACATTTATTTTTTAATTTCAGTGAATTACCACCGATTAAGGACCCCTGTCTACCAGAAGAAATGGAGGATACAGTCTCATTCAAAAATAAAGATTATAAAATATATGGCACTGGCAACTATCTCAAGTGCAAATTAAATATGCATAAACTGTTGAACACTAGTGTGCCATGTCAAAAAGAACCTTGCTCATTAAACGGAGTCCACCAACCAGATATCAACTATCATTATAGTGAATTTTATGGATTTTCTGAATTCTGGTACACCATGGAAGACGTTTTTAGGATAGGAGGAAAATACAACTTTGATCAGTTTGAACACAAAGCAAAGGTAGAAAAACTTTTAAACTTTACTCATTTTGCCACTGTGTATTTTTAGTAGTATTATTAGAAACTAACTTTGATTTCCATAATATTGTATAGAATCAGTATTGAATAAACTGAATCAACTGAAATAGTGTATTAAATTACCAGTGAATTAAATAGATTACATTGAAGTAAATAAGATAAGACTAAAGATAACCATGCAATGAATAAGATATTGATTACCAATGAATAAGATAGGATTACCAATGAATTAGATAGGATTACCAATGAATTGCATCGGATATCCAGTGGATAATCACCTTAGATAACAGTCTGAATGCCTCTGAAAAATGTTGACAGATAATATTGTGTAACTTGCTTAACTTATAAATCATTGGTGAAAAGAAGTACCATTATGTACATAGAAATAACATTCAGTTTCTCTACTCAATTCAAATTGTAAATCTATTAATGAGTATTTAATTGTTTACCAGGGGGTCATTAACAGAATTTTCGCAAAGTTACCAATTCGTAATTCGTAACTTTATGAAATTCGTAAATATTTAAAAAGTTACGAATGATTTACGAATTCATAAAGTTACGAATCGGCCATTAACAGAACACTTTCGTAAGTCATTCATAAGTTTTATCGTTCGTAAACGAATTTCAAATTGTGACGTCATCTTATATCATTATTTAGCACAAATAAAAATATGATGTCATTTGATATCATTGCGCGCTGTGATCAAACCTGTCTCCGCGATTTCAAAGATTCCCAGCTCAGGAACATATTTGCTTATCATGTAAGAATAGGTAGATATTTTAGCTTAAAACTCAGCATGCGTATAGAGAACAATTTCTTTTTGCCAACCTGTATACCTTACATAAGAATTGGATGAGAAATGTGCCATTCGCAAAGTTATGAAAGGGTCTGAGGTGCTATTAAAGTTACGAACGAAAGCATACGTGACGTCATTTTTTCGTAACTTTGCGAATCGTTCGTAACTTTACGAAAGTTCTGTTAATGCACATTTACCAAATTCGTAAAATTAACAATTGACTTGCGAATTCGTAACTTTACGAAAGTTCTGTTAATGACCCCCAGGAGTATTGTGCTAGCAAATGGTCTACTCTGGAGGATTGGTTCAACAAGAAGCTCTATCCTAAGGCAGACCAACACAGATTCAAGTAAGTGATGTATCATTTGTTGGGAGGGGGAGTTAAATACTTTTTCTTGATTTGGTTGTGTGCTTTGATGTTGTTCTTGAACTCACATATTTTTCAAAATTCCATTATTGTAATCGGATTATAAATCCTGTAATGAAAATTAACAGGATCCTAGTACCCTAAATCAACAAACATCTGTGCTCATGACTAAGGTTGAAATCATGATTGCTATAATTACCATATATAACATTCAGTCCATTGCCTCATCGGCAACTATTTTTCAAATTCATTACCAAGGGTGAAAAGTGATTACCATTGGCACTCCAGCAGCTGTGCATTTCAATATATGGCTCAAAATGTGCTGAAGATATATGCTTTATCGAGTCTATGAATAGAAGGGCTGTTATTTTTTCAGTTAAAGTCACAATCTATGTTTTACATTTCAATTCAGATATGCATGTGCTCAGTCCATGTTTTACATTTTAAATACCAGTGTTTTAAGTCCATGTTTTACATTTTAGATACCAGTGTTTTAAGTCCATGTTTTATATTTTAGATACCAGTGTTTTAAGTCCATGTTTTACATTTCAGATACCAGTGTTTTAAGTCCTCTTGGATGAGCAAAGTCCTCCATGATGGGTTCAAATTTCCTCATGAATATAACAGCTTCACTTCAGCTAGCCTTGTAGATGGCAAAGAAGTTCAATGGACCCTTGGTGCTTTATTATACAGGACAAGATATTATCCATTAAGGTAGGTGTCATATCATATTTCCCAATTTCTGTCTCACTTAAGGTGTGTTCGAAGACCTGTTATTTGTGTCATGTTTTCCAGTTTCATTCTTAATTAAGGTATGTTTGATGAGGCGAAATCAGTGTCCATATTTAATATTGCTTGACAATTATATGTGAATCACTCAGCACCTTTTATAGACACGTGAGTCTCTTGAAGTTGAAGCCTGTTGTGTTATGCTAGCCTCATGCTAGCCTCAGAGGCATTTATAAGGCTTAGAGGCATGCTATATTTGGCTTACAGACTGTTGTATATAACGCTTAGTGGCATGTTACGTAAGGCTTGTAGAGTCAGATAAATGTTATTTTGACTGACAATTGCTTTTTTATATTGACCTGCAACTTTTTCACTACATGAACATTTTTACTACTTCAATATACTTTTTCTTTTATACAGTAAATGTTGTGCTAGATATATATTCTGCCCTAAAATCATCATATACTGTCATAATTAAATATCCCCTTATATGGATAAGCTTTGTTAAAAATTATCTTTGCGTTAAGGAGCCATGATAAATATCATTGTCTCAACTTTACATTTTTCTAAAAGGAAAATGGGCAAAGACTCATTTTTCATTTAGTAAAAGGAAACTTGAATTTTAATGATTATATTGGCTACATAAGAGAAAGTTGTCAGTTGTGGCCTCTATATGGGCACACATAAGCAGTCTAGGTAGTGAAGTAATTAAACCTAACTATTATTTTGTCACCTCTCAAGTAAACACTCTACTCAATGCTGTCTGTTGACTATCTCCTTTACATTTCATATAATTTATACTTTTACAATAAACCTGTCTTAGTGAACACCTCTCTCTAGTGAACACCTGTCTCGAGTGAAAACCTCTCTCTAGTGAACACTCTAGTTGCCACCTTTCCTCCGCACATACTCTATTGACTTCTGTATACATTATGAATTGCCTTTGCACTATCCTTAGTAATAACAGTCTTAAGTGAGATGTTTTACTCTACCATCTCGAGGCAATTCAAGGTCATATGTGAACTCTGTTTGTATTTCTCCAATCCTTCAGACTGAAACTAATAATTTAAGCCTGACATCTATTTCACATTGCTATTTTTCTGAGACAAAAAGTCTGAATTAATCAAATTAAAACTTATTTCTACCTTAATAGAGAGAAATCCCAATTCGTTTTGAAGACCTTTTTCATTTCCCTTTAGACATGAATTTTATCCCAATATGGACGAGTGTTTGCCCTCATACAACGAATCACAGTTACAAAGCATGTATTTGAGATTTGACAACAACGTTAACCAATCTGATTTACCACCAAACTTAACATCTGAAAACCTGAGGTAAGATAAAAATGCTTCTTGGGATGTAGTCGGTTAAAATTCTTGACTTTATGATTTGGTGCAATAATAATTTGGTGTAGATGGTGGTGAAAATGATATTTTGGTGGTTTGATTTGATTTGAATTTCTTTTTGTACTCACATATGCTATTGTAATCCTATACTCGTATGTAACATACGTTTAAAAAAAATCATTTGAAACTTCCCAAAAATCTGCAATATTCAGTATATTTTTGTCTCATATTTTTTTCTCACTTGTCATACAGACATTCATTTTTTTGTTTTGGCCTGCCTGTGGCCTTTGTGTCAACCATTGAGTTTAAAATCACTAGTGCTGTTTGAGTCAACCCTTGAAACTCTGATTTTAATTTGAATGTACAATTGAGTTATTTGATGAGAAGTGGGCCTTTTTGCTTTATTTTCCTGCTACATACAGGACTGACCTAATTGATAGCCAACAACATTAGCAGGCAGCCATATGACATGTTATTTTTACAACATACTAAATGTTTTTACTTGAAATGTTCAGATTCTAATATTTTTTCGATATGTTGGTGATATTTGAATAGTATAAGACATGGGGAAAACTAAAAATGATAGTAGTACTAATATAAAACCTAAATCAATACATTATGCATGATGCCCTAATTTTACTGTTCTCTTTTAGTTTATATGCATATGTTTTTCTTTGCTTATACATGTAGACCTATGCACATTTCATGTCCATGTCACCCATGTTTTCTCCTTGTTTATTCCATAAATCCTTTGAGATATATGATAGTCATCATCCAGACCCATCCTTCTATGAGTATACTTACTGATGCAGGGGATTAAACATTCAGTATATGAATGTGAGGCCCAAAGGTGACCTTATTATACCACAAGCCAAATCAAAATGGGATGGGGTATATATGGTACCAGTATGCATGTTGTTCCATGTAAAATTCATTGTGTTCCAAACTTGTTATTTTCACGACGTGTTTTTTCATAATTTCAGAGAGATCCAACAGCTGGAGTTCCAGCGTTATCATCCACCGTGGCATCGTAGCTCCATACTCGACAATCACATCCTCTTAGTCATAATTGTCTTCATCATCTTGGCAATTATAGGACTCTATATCAGAAGAATGCGCAAACTTGCTGTCATTCGGGCAGGATTATCCCGAGTGCCCTCCATGAGTTACTTCATGGTTGGAGAAGATCAGATGGAACAAGGAATTAAAATAGAGCGGACTATGTATAGTTGATGTAATTAGAAAAAACATTTTGGATATGAAGATCTCAATTTGCAGTTAAATGCCAATTCTTGCTGGCATACATTTTTAAAAGTTTTTTTCTCATTCATGTCATTTATGTTTTTGCTTTTCTTAGAATGTAACATTTGTTAATTGATGTTTTAGTGGGCCTATTTCTAAACAAAATTGAAAAATAAAAATTTGTGCTCTATTTTAAAAATGGTCAGAAGATAACAGAAGAAATTGCCTTGTTTTAATTCTAATAATTCTAATTGACTGTACGATTTTGTCACACAGTTGGTTGCCATGACAATGAAATATGATGCAACTTGAACTTCTCAGTAATTCTCATAATAGGGGTGAAGGCTGTTTATCGAGGAATGCATGTAAATGGATCACATACATGGGTTGTTGACAGATGTGGATCTTAATGGGAGCTATGCACATGTAGTAAACAATGGAAACTGTCACTGTAATTGTGGACAGTGGAAATTTTAGATCATTCACTTAGTAGACATTAGAGGCAAATTAATACAGAAAAAATATGATTTGGGATGAGAGGTTTATCAGTGCTGTTTTAAACTATTCTAAAGGCTTCAATCCACCATAATATACATAAGACATTGATATATACTGTATATTATTGAAAGATATGCGGTCACATTCATTCAGATATTTTATTTATTTATTGTATGTATAAATTGTTTGTGCAATTGACTTGCCATGTATGCTACTGTATAAATTGATAAGAATATATTTAACAAACACTGTAGTTCTAGTATACATGAAAAGATGGAAAATACATATTAGAGAAGTGGTCTTTTCACAGCATCACAAAATAGTTATAGAAATTTTGACTGAACAGAATTTTATGTTCAAGTAATGAATCTTATACTCCATGTTTGAATGATCATTGACAAGTGCTAGTTGTGCAATCCACCAATATTTTTAACATAGTTCATCCATATGTAAGCATTTAAATGTATATACTATGTAAAAGGAAGGGTTATTTATCAAGGGGTAGAATCCTTGGGGTGAGATGAGGGTGTTTTAGTATATACAAGGAAATTTTATATAAAGTTGAATTCAAGAAACACAAAGAGGAAAGGTGCTCATATTTCAAGGGATCCACTATAGATACACGAAAGAGGAGTTCATGTTAAAGAGGTGTTCATATTGTTTAAATGCATGATGTAAGAAACAATTTAGTGTTGCACACCAAAGCACAATTTTTTAATAACATTCATGTTGAAAAAGCAGTAGGAACGGATGACTGTTCATTATAAATTGTTTAATATAACTTATACGAATGACTGAATTTGCTCATACATGTATTTATTATAGGGCAAAAACGCAAGTTTAAATCGCAATAAATTTGACTGTAAATATGCTCAAATCAAATGTATTCTGTTTTTTGTTGATTGATAGAGTATGGTAAGCTTATCCTGTCCAAGTGATATAGTTTAACATGCCTGTAGGCAGCTTTTACCAAGGGGGCTCACTTTTCAAAAATTCCAGGGGGTAATATTTGAAAACTAACCAGAATCACTTCAAAAAGTGGTCTAAAAATTCAAAAATTCCAGGGGGTGATGTTCATATTTGAAAACTGACTCGGAATCACTTCAAAAAGTGCTCTGAATGGCAAAAACCTGCAAGACTTTGGAAGAATTTTCAGCTAGGGGGATCATTTTAATGGTTGACATTATTTTGACTTTTGATAACATCACGTGATTTATTCTGTGATATTCTAACGATGGATGCCTTATTATGAGAGACACATTTTTAATTAATGTATAAATGAAAATACACTAAATCATCTCTAGATTTTTGGTACTTGTCACAAAACTTTGGGCAAGTTTTTATGAAAAATTGGTAAACTTTCTAGTACCGGTAATTACAAAACATGAAGAAATTCCAGATGAAGGCTACCAATGGGAATGTCCCCAATGTCTGAATACTACAAAACACAATGTTCCTTTCTAACAAAATTGTTATTGATATCATTTATTGGGTGATTCATGCAATGTTTTATACTACAATTTATATACAATTAAATACATAGTTTACATACAAACATTTACATTTTGAATTTCATTGAAGGAGACAAACCTTACAAATATGAATTACGATTTCGATTTGATTGATATTCGGTCTACATGAAGTAAAACTTAAAAACATCAGCAAGGCTTTACTTTAAGCTTCAGCTTTGAAATCTAGATATTAAGTAGTTTATATGTATTTTGAAATAGGAAAATGATATTGATGCTTTAGTTAGATTGACAATAATGCTGTCTATACAAGATGTAAGATATACTGTTTCTCCACCCTAAAGTGGAATTATTAATTTACAAATTCATTATGCATTCTAAATTCTCTGTCAAAATTGTAAATCCAAAAACAGAAGCTTTAACCATAAAGATTATGCACGTCTTGAATCATGCCTTAGATCTTTGAATAAAATATGTATCATTCAAATACAAAGAAATACTGTGAAATATGCTATTTTTGATTACAATTTGCTTATATACAATCAGCCTAGAGCAAAAGCCTTGAGGAACCGTCATTAACTATGCCAATAATTGGAGGTGTAAATAAATAGAGGTGTTGTCTCGCTTTAATCAAGTCATTTCTTGAATGGGTGGATGGACTGCCTCGGACTGGGACAGTTCAGGGACTGTTCTTTATACTGTATTATTTTGGGGCTGCGCTTTAGACTTTATTGTTCTGGGGACGTGATTTGTACTGTATTATTCTGGGGATGTGCTTTGTACTGTATTATTCCGTGGCTGTGCTTTATACTATATTATTCTGGGGATGTGCCATATACTGTATTATTCCGTGGCTGTGCTTTATACTATATTATTCTGGGGATGTGCCATATACTGTATTATTCTGTGGCTGTGCTTTATACTATATTATTCTGGGGATGTGCTGTATTATGCATTGCATCCAATTTGCCTACATAAGGTTAGACGGTGAACACCGCCTCTAATGCGTTGGATTGTCGTATGGACTTGCATTAGATCCAACACGATCCTCAGAGACCCAGAGGGTGAATGAATGCACCTAACATAAGGTAAGTCAAGTTAGACATAAAATGGGTCACAAAAGACTTTAACCCAACATACCTTAACATTTAACATTACAAATAGACTAGAATAGTCACACCCAATGTCTTCTAATACATTTCAGAAACCAATGTAAAAATCTTACGATAAACTCAAAATTGCAATAGGACCTATTTTTGTTCCTAAAAAGGACATAAAATAACAAGCATTCAGAGATTCTAATAAAACCAAGCTTATAAATATCTCTACATTTATTATCTAAGTAGAAATTGCTAATATTCAATAATTGTGTCAAAAATCGACACATATTTTATGGGATGAAATTAAAGTGAGATTGTCACTAAAATGCACAAAAACATGAACAAAAAAATAAATCCATTAAAATTACATCGCAATCACATCATATCAATAAAATTTGTAACCTTTAATCTTGGGAAAACAGGAAACTTCTTTCACAAGATCGAGTGAATGATTGGCTGCAATATCAGCTTGTACACCCCCTCCAAAAGTTTGGCAAATCTGAGTCCCCATTGGAAAGTGTGCATTCTGATATACCATCTCTACCTTGCAAAGAAAGAAACTAATAGAAGGTCGTGATCTCTCATGATGGATATAAGCGTGTTAAAATATGAAATTCGAAAATCATCAAAATAAGTCTTAAACACACTCTCCAATGGGAAGTTCAGCCTTTCACACTTTGGGTGGGCAGTGTACATGCAATATATCCGTCATATTTTAAATGGTACAATCTGATGGCGATATAATTATGCAGTTAACAAGTAATAACCATATAAAGCTATAAAAGCTGAATGCATCTACAGTCCCATTAATAAACACAAACCAATGGCACTCAATTATATCCATTTTGATTTCTACCTGCTGGAAAACCTTTATAATTGAAAAATTTGGCACAGTTTATTTTTGCATGCAGGATTGCAGTTGCATTGTAATATTTACTTGCGTAGTATTTGCACAGTAATAACTATTAAAGAGAGAATCAGTCATACAACTACGGCAATTTTTTTCACACCATCTATATTAGATTCTCCCTTTAACAAGAACTTTTGATTTGTTGACAATGAAATAAACATTCAATCATTCTACACTGGACTACATATTTAATAAATCATTAAATGAGATTCCAAATGAAATCAACCTAACCCTTAATGAAGGGGAGGGCTCAATAAGGATGTCCGTAGCTCCATAACTAATATAATACAATGAAACCTCTCTCTAATGAACACCTGTGTCTAATGAACACGCCTACTCAGCACATACTCCACTGATTTCTGTTTGAAATTGCCTCTCTGTAGTGAACACCTACCGTTAGTGAACACACATTTGTGGCATCATAGGTGTTCACCATACACAGGTTTTATTGTACATATTTTTTATTTCGTTATACAATGCTCTGATAGATATGGCTGGATCAACTAACAATCGCTGAAAATTTGTTACATTTCTTCCAAAAAGCATAATTGTACGAGGGGTGATCCAAAAGTCTTGGACGCCCCGCTCTAACTTCGGAATTTTCTAATATAATTACATGAAACTTTCAGATAATAAAGATCAACATCTTAACAACTTTGTGTATAAGTTTCAACAGAAACTTATATATTTTAGCTACTTTTCTAAATATTTTTTGATACCGGGTCCCTGCCACCCGGAACGGTATTTAAATATAGCAAATCAAGTCACAACTGTTATAATATGGCAAATACTTTAGGTCCAGGTGCACAACCTAACACCGGTCATGATATGAGAGAATTTCCTAGTGTCTTCTGCCATCATCATCTTCACATATTAAGACATACTTTTCAACATATTTTCTACGAATTTGAACACATTTTTCATACCGCTTTACCAATGAATGAAAGACATTTATGAAATGGCCATTGCCTATGTGATACAATTGCTACTGGAGTGCCACTATGCACTGGCGGATTAGGGCGGGGCCTGGGGGCCCGGGTCCCCCCCCCCTTGGGTGAGCCCAGAAAAAAAAATTGGGCCAAAAAAGGCCTTCATGCCCCAAAAAGTGGGCCTTTTTGGTCATTACTGGGCCTTTTAGGCCTTATTTTTTATTTTAGGCCAAATTTTGAAGAAAATGGGCCTCAAAATTTCAAAATTTGGGCCCACTTTTGGGTTTTAGGGGCCCAAAATTTTTTTACGCGCAAGCGCTGACAGTTTTTTCTCTGAACTAAAATTTGGGCCCCCCCTTGTTGGTTCCCAGATCCGCCCCTGCAATGAGTAGGAAAACATTTTCTTTCAACCCTCCTGTCATCTTGGAGAAAAGGAAGAAAATCACACGGAGCCATATCTAGACTGTATCGTGCATATGGTAGCTGCTCAATGTCAATAATAGTGAAAATATATTGTAGTATTCTTTGTTCCATTTTTATTTATTTCATGTTCTGCAGCCATCTTGGAGCAAAAATGACACCAGAATGAGGGTTGATTGTCTGATGTCATTTTCTTAGAACTTGACATATACGGCCATTGCCATATGTGACATTATGATTAAAACACAATTAATTGGTTGCCTAGTAACAAAGGAAGTAAACTAACATGGTTTAACATTCAAAATTTAAGGAAAGATAGTGGTCAAGACTTGCAAAACAATTCAAATAGCGGCAACATTTAAGGCTGAAAGTTGCCATGTGCGAATACCGTTCCGGGTGGCAGGGTCACTATATTAATAACTATCGAGAAAACTACATAAAATATATCATTTCACCATGAAATAAATACACAAAGTAGTTAGGTTGTTGGTCTTTATTATTGGAAAGTTTAAAGTAATTTTATCAAAAACCAACAAAATTAGAGCAGGGCGTCCAAGACTTTTGGATCACCCCTCGTATTGCGCTACAATATCTGAAAAATAATACAAGTAGCTAATGTACAATGTACTGTTGATATGTATATTTGTGTTTCGTATATACTGTATAACTGTATATGATGCTGGAGGTATATATAATGCTATATCTTAATACATGCATAATCTACATTATATACACTGTGAAATGGGAACCAAAGCCTTGATTTTCAAATATTATGCATTTTCCTTTGGGAACAACAAGATTCAGAACAAACCTACATCTGAGAAATGTGGGAGTCACTCACAATTTGACAGAACTGTATTTCTACTGTCATTCAATCTTGAAAAATTAATCTACAAAAGTATCTACACTTTTTTTACAACTTCATATGATAAATCTTCATGACATTAGCTACAAATTAAAATCTCGCCCATACTAGTTATTTCTATCCCGTATATACGTATTACCATTACATCGAAACCCAGCGATCTGAACACTTGTACATATACAGTAGATGGCATGGTTTCACAAGGTATTAACATGCAAAATGTCACTACTTGCCATTTGTTACAGATGCCGGATGCCAACCGCTGTCACAAAAAAATGGAGACCGTAACAATATGTCACCATTTTTGGTGGTGATGTAATAACCTAGTTAGAAGTCAGAACTAATTTGTACAAAAACACTTCTATGAACAAGTTTCCTAATGAAAAACTTCTATACAGGCTGTATCTACAAATTCAGAATATATTAATTTCTTGATCGACAACATAGCTTTATGGCAGTGTTGAATCTTGAATTGAACAATGTCAATTATCGCCCAAGGCTAGTTTTGCTTGTTCAAAAAGTCAATAGAAGATTTCACGCATTTTCCTGTGGCAACATCAAGTGCGCTGACCTTGATTTCAGTACCACCAAATATCATCCTTGTTTGGATTTCCCGTCTTCTTGGCAATGTGGCATACTGATCCTCTTCTAAATCAAGCACTAAGGTGCCACATTTTTTAACACTAGGGTCTGTGATGAATTTAACATTGTCCTTGTCTGTGCTATAGATGTTTATCACGCTAGATTTTTGGCCAGGTTTCGCTGGGGTGTAACATCGCAGGACCGTATCACCCAAACCCACTGATTGGTCGCATTTAACAAATTTATCAAACACATCCGTGCACCAATCGGTTCCATCTTTGCTGATTTTCTTGTCCTTCGGGTGCTTGTCTTTGTTGAAGCGGTTAAGTACCCCTACGCCATATGTCATACGTGAACGACGAACTGACACGACACCAGGATCCATCCCAAACAATACAGCACCTATGTAGAGTAATAAACAACATTTATTTGATGATCTCAAGAGTTGTTGTATGAGTACAATGTAGGAACAGTTGTTTTCAAATGCAAAAGATAGAGGAACTTCAAAGGGACAACAAGGCATTAATGTGCAAAATTTCACCGCCTGCCAAATGATTGACACCAACCATGGGAGGCCAAATGCCAAACACCATCCACAAAAAGTTGTAGACTATAACAATGTCACCATTTGTGGTGACATAATAAATATGTCAACTGTGACTGTTGGACAGAGTGCTTCACCATATCCTACCAAATATTTTTATTGGGATAATGAAGTAACACAGGCTCACCATGAAGTAATTTACATTTTCCACTTACCTTTCAAAATGGTGAGGCCTACATCCTGGGGTATGATGATTTTCAGCAGATGCTCGAACTCATGTTTGAGTTCATATTGTAGCAAAGGAGACTCTGCAAACCCTCCTACTAGGAACATGTAGCGGATATCTGCAAGAATAAGTTAAGCTTAAGTCTTCCCCGCATGCATGCAAACTCCTCATTATTGCAAAATACCAGACCACAGTTTCAAACCTAGCAAAATGGTATTAAGACTGTTAAGAGTTTAGTAGAGACTGATAGAAAATTGATATTAAATACACTAAAATCTGTCTAAGTGGAACACCTTTGGTACATCTAAAAATGTTCCAATTGGGAGGTGTTCCACTTATAGAGGTTCATTTAACATTAAGTCAGTTGCCAATAACTTCTACAGGTGTTTCACTTTACAGGTTTCACAGTATGGGATAAATCAGGATGCCCAGCCGGCTTCCTACCACCTACTTGGCAAACTGATCAAAATGTGAAACCGAGGAATGTGATAAATTTTTACAACATCTTTTCATGACAAACCTTTGCAGTCTGGATGATTGAGGACATTGCCGATTGCTTGCTTGATTCGTTCCAGTGTTGGAAGGAACAGTTTCTTCATAGCGTCAGGACTTAAACGCAACATTCCTTGTGATGACCAACGGATATCTTTGTCTCCATACTTTCTGATGGCAGATTCAACTTGGCTTCCCTGCAGAAAATAGATTAATTCAATTCAATGCATTCAATTAGAAAATTCAAAATTATAATACTCAATTGCGTGGACACCAGATGCTTTGCAAGGATATCAACTATTACCTCAAATTCAAAAGGATGTACAGTATAATTGATTTCTTAGCTGACATGAATGAGAAACATTTAAGAAATAAAACGATCATCAAAATAAATGATTTTTTATAACAATTCATTACATGTCATATTTTAATTTTAAATAATATTCATTGTTTCATGTCAGACTCATTGTGTCAGGCCCGTAACCATGACTGTCATGCTGGTCCCAACTAAATAACATAATCAGAGTGAAAAGTTGAAGTATTATATTCTGTAAACACTTCATCATCATCCCAAACTCTTTTAATTCTAAATTTTTTTAATGGACCCTGGACCATATAGTTTTAGTGCAATCACAATAGAATCAAGACAAGTCTTTATAAACATACAAATACAAGAATATGAATTGTAAATGCACATTGAAATGATACTGCATAACATGATGAGCACTTCAGGCAATATTATGATGTTACTCTTTAAAAATCAACCATTATCAATAGATAGCTCTCACTTAATTGTTTTGCATTTTACTGCTAGACATCTGAAAATTGGCTGATGTGTAATTTGTTTGTTATACATACACAAATATTTTGACATTGTGATGGCAGCTTTTATTTGCTTTGAATCCTACTACATTAATGCAAACAAGGAATGCTGAAACTAAATCCAATCACTTTTTAATTTTATCAAAATATGACCTTCTTTAAGCCACACTGTACTTAATTAAGAAGAAAAAAGGAAAAATTAATTATTGAAACATGTTACTCAAACACTCAATTAAATATGACACAAAGTTTGATTTGCAGTAATATTGAACCAAGGAAAAAATACTATGAAATTCAAACTGTAAGACTTTATTTTGCCACAAAATGTTGAATATATGCAAAGTGGGCCTTTATGCACAAAAATGTAAAAGCTTAAGTGAGAGCTATCTATTTACATTTACAAAGGTCTTTAAATTGCCCAACACCCATTCTGTATTGTACATATACATAAGCTAATGAAACAACTATCATAACAACAATTACAATAAAGATTGGAAATCATCCAAGGATAGAAATGAATGAAATAAAAATCAGATGTGTTAGTGAAAAAACTGCATTCATGAACCTTGAATGAGCAAAGCAAAAAAATTATTAGTGCTTAAAAAAATGCAAATACCAGTAAAAAAAATAAGAAAAATGCAATGATTTCAGAAATAAAAGCAATAGATGCATTTAATTATTCTGATTGCATCGTTATTGGAACAGTAGATGTAGAATCATCAAATAACTACCTAACAGGGGTCCATTAACTAAAACACATGCACCAAGAGTCCTTAATCACAGTCAACCTAATAACTGACCCCAGGAACAAATGTGCTTTCTTCATTTTTAATCAAAAGTAAAAATATCATGGATAATCAAACAAATATCTTGATCATGTTCTTTTGATACCACTTCGCTTAAAAATGAAGACCTAGCACACCTTTTTCAAGTGCAATTGTACTTACAAATTGCTGACTCAGCACTTTAGCTTGCTGTTGTATAGAGATTAATTTATTAAATAAGAAATATGCCATATTTGTCTATCACATGTTTGTTTAAATTATGCCTATTGTTGAACTAGCCAAACAACTTAAAGAACTGAAGTTTCATATGAAACCTGAATGCATTCTTTGACAAGTAATTCTCTCATCGTGTCTGAAAAATATCTATCAGTGATAATTGACATTTTCTCAGATAATGCAATCTGATTCCTGGTAGCTGTTTAACTAGTTCTACAATTTACAATAGAGATATAAAAATAGAAAAAGGCGGAGAGAAGGAAAGGGATACATAAATAAAGTCACTACAAGACATAACAATGAGCAAAGCAAAATGACAGATAATCAAAAAAATAGGAAATAAACTTAAAAAGTTCCATTCCTCAATTTTGATGAATACCAAAAACAGACCATTTTACATTATACCATATTTCCTTTTACAGTGAACCCAGGATGGATAAATAATCCAAGGAAAACATGAATGAAACATGTCCCTCAATAGAGCATATTAATTCCCACCCAGTTAAATCAACTTTTTGAAGTATAACGCATATATAATGTAGACTGATTCAGTAGACTCGTTTGGAGCTGCCACATTGTTTGTATATGGGAAGCTTCATATAACCCTTTAAGCATTGATTTCAAATATTGTTAATGATATGCATTCCACAAGAAATAGCAAGAATAGTTAAATTTAAAGTAGAAGAATATAATAAAATAGTATAGTGATGTAGTCTTGCACCAAGAGTCAAATATTCCCTCTATAAATATACTGAAAGGAATATTGGGTAATAAAGGGTAAGAGGGAAACAGAGGTTTGATACAAGACTGAGGTTGAGAAACTGAAACATATTTTTCAGATAAATAAATAAAATAAACAGAAACAATTTCATGAGTTCATGATGATGTACAAGGTGCCAACAAGGATTAAGGCACATTTGCTCTACAGCAGCTGGCTGTGTAGCTTCTCAAAATCGATATAGAATGTCTACATTGTACTGTTATCCCAATATTCTATGCTGCATATTTCTCTTGGTTTGGGAAGCACCGGCCGTCATACTGTTGCCGTAGATCAAATGTGACTGAGGCATTACTTTTAACACATAACACTATAGTATTGGTTCAACATTATTCTGTTTCCATTTTCAGTATAAAGTCAACAATCTAAAATCTGGCAACAGATTGGATGTCTAGCCCATGTTGACACCTTAGTTGACAAAAAACTTTAAAAACTCCAAATACATGAACAAAATAACATAAAACATTTATAAAATAGTAACACAGAAAACACTTAATGAACATCTTGAATAATATACTTGAAAATAATGTGTATCACACATTTAAGCACAAGTGCATGTATTTCTCTGTTTACTTACAAATTGTTTTGTACTCAATCTGCCAGACTAGCAAAATAAAATTGAAGAATTGCATAAAACCTCTCTACTGAGAAAAACACTCTAGGATATGTGTCAAAAAAAGATGGTAAAGGGGAACTAGAAATAGGAAAGTGGTCTTGTTAAAAAGGGCATTCAAAATAGGAAAGTGGCCTGATGTTAAAAGGGAATTCAAAATAGGAAAGTAGCCTCATGTTATAAGGGCATTCAAAATAGGAAAGTAGCCTCGTGTTATAAGGGCATTCAAAATAGGAAAGTAGCCTGATGTTAAAAGGGAATTCAAAATAGGAAAGTAGCCTCATGTTATAAGGGCATTCAAAATAGGAAAGTAGCCTCATGTTATAAGGGCATTCAAAATAGGAAAGTAGCCTGATGTTAAAAGGGAATTCAAAATAGGAAAGTAGCCTCATGTTATAAGGGCATTCAAAATAGGAAAGTAGCCTGATGTTGAAAGGAAATTCAAAATAGGAAAGTAGCCTCATGTTACAAGGGCATTCAAAATAGGAAAGTAGCCTGATGTTATAAGGCCTTAGGGCATTCAAAATAGGAAAGTAGCCTGCTGTTAAAAGGGAATTCAAAATAAGAAAGTAGCTTCATGTTAAAAGGGAATTCAAAATAGGAAAGTAGCCTCATGTTATAAGGGCATTCAAAATAGGAAAGTAGCCTGATGTTAAAAGGAAATTCAAAATAGGAAAGTAGCCTCATGTTATAAGGGCATTCAAAATAGGAAAGTAGCCTCATGTTATAAGGGCATTCAAAATAGGAAAGTGGTCTGATGTTAAAAGGGAATTCAAAATAGGAAAGTAGCCTCATGTAACAAGGGCATTCAAAATAGGAAAGTAGCCTCATGTTACAAGGGCATTCAAAATTGGAAAGTGGTATGATGTTACAAGGGGATTCATCTAAGAAAGATATTCAAGTTGAGAGGTTTTACTGTATATGGGACAATTCAGTCAAGTGCACAAATCCAAGAAATTTAACAACTTGAGACAACAATTCATTCATTTACATATGCAATCAGTTATATTTCTTGGTGCTGTGCCATAGATTGTTCAGATTGAAATTGCATTATTCCACATATTTCACATATGTTTGAATATAAATTAAGTTAAATCCATCCAGATTAGGGCTACAGAACTCGACAACAACTTTCTGTCTTTTTGAACAAAGAATTTATTCCAGGGGTTCACAGAAACTTTGTAAAGTTAAGAATTAAGATATCAATTGTTGCAACTATGGGTAAAGTAATGTCATAGTAAGAGAGGATTGGATTTTGGAATTCTATACTTTATGAAAGTTTCTGTTAATGACAACCTCCCCCTCCCTTTATCCTATAGCCCTGTGTTTTGAGCATTGGTTAGTTAAAAGGATTATACTGACAAAGTAATTTTAAAAAGAAATAAGTGAGTTTACCTTGTATTTCTTGTAGTAGTCGATAAATGAGAAAGGTAGGGAGACATTAAGTGGGTTCAGTTTGTATGGCGTGGCTGCACGTTTCCGTGACTCGAACGCAATCATAAGGTCAACATAACCTGCTGGTCTTTTGTACTTGAACTGCTGGATAAATTCTTGGCCGAATATCCCGATTAGAAGTTTCTCAAACTCCACATCGACACCTAGTATAAAAATGATATATTTTATAGTGCATAATAACTGCATACTAAAACATTGTTCATTTTCAAAGATGGACTTTCTATTGATTTAAATTTATTTTACATTTATTTACATAATAATCTGGTTACTGCACCATCTTTTGTTGGCAAAAGTAAATAATCTATTTTATTCTTTTGATCTTGTAACAAATGGCACCAAAATCAAATTGATTTATGGTAAGGATATTAACTTAGTCCATCAAAAGTGGTTTTCACATACCTACAGATCCAAATGGTCCACCAGTAGCTTTATAAAGTTCTTTGAGTTTGGTGTTAAAGTCCAGTTCATGGACTGTTATATCTACAGTGCCACCTCCACAGTCAACTACCATATAACGCATACCTGGAAGAAGGGAATAAATGTAAGAATCTGATTGGTTACGAAAAGGAGCAAGAATGGATCATAACAAATAGATAATAAAAATCAAAGCACCCAAAATAGCAGATGAAAACCAAAATGAAAATTGTGTAAAACAAAATAATATCAGTCATGGGAATTGTAAAATTGTAAATTGTAGCAATTAACATTTTGAACAATTGTTTATTTCACTCTGGACCTATATTACCTACATTAATATGTAATTGCAAAACAATGTCACAACATATCACGTCACAGCTATACTTTATGATTCAATCATGAAATGAAACTGTCTCAAATCTATGAATGTTTCATTTCCAAAAGTTGGTCACTCAACTATTTCTAATAGAAAACCACACCATGCGAAACATACATTCTGAAGCAAATATGAACATTTAAAACCTGTGATTCATGCATTAAAATATTTTACGATCTGCAAATATATGAGCGTTGGAAGTTGTCCATACTGCAAATGAATTTTCCATATACACTAACTATTCTTTTACCCATGTTTTAAAAGAATTATCCCCAAAGAAATAAAGTACAACATCCAATGCATTACAATACAATATCACATGAAATTTCAAACAGAAGTGAAACCCCAATACCCCTGATTTCAAATAGTTGAACCCAAAGCATATAGAGAAAAGCTATAGAAAAGAACCAACCTACGACGGCAGCATCAACTGTAGGCGCAGTACTAGGAATCGGATACTTTGGGCTTATATAAGGCGAGTGAGACTCTGAAACCCATAATGCACACTTAACTTAACACATGCAGTAATACATATAGCAAGAATAGTAGAGCTGTTTCCTGTCATGAGTGAACTTGATGAGTGTTTAATCTTTTTAGAGGCGGGCAATATGTAATATATGTGCCAGATTTGCTTTTTCTTGGTTCAAGTTAAATAACATGCAGAAAAACTGGATGGACTTCATTTCTGCTATTTCAGATGTTATTCCTGAATGGGCTTTATTACACAATACAATATTATTTTTTTCTATTCCCGGAAGTGATAAATCGGAAAAAGGAAACCTGACACGGATAGCCCTGAGTGTTTAATTTTCTTGCTTTTTAATTCACTTAAGTGATTATTCATGCATTTGTGTTTGTGCTAACTCTTGTCAAGCTGCTTGTTTGTCATGTGAAATCAACATATATCCTACATCAACATATATTCCATTGTCCCCTGAAGGAGATCAAAAATATCAAAAATACAATGAAACCTGCATAATCGGAATGCCATTGAGACTGGCCAAAAGTGTTCGGATAAGTAGGACCTCACATGTATGTGAGTCAATGGAAGATAACAAATTTGGGACCAGGAAAAAGTGTTCACATTGAGAGGTCTTCACATATGCAAGTTTCACTGTATTATTCATGTATTTATGTCTCAGGGCAGGAAACAGCAGTGAATGGCGATGAACTTAACATAGCATTAGAAAGTATGGTCATATCCCATGAAAATATTTTTTTCATGATTTACTTAGTTTAGTTCAATTGTGATTTCATTCAGTTACCATGAATTCCTATCAAGTTGGGAAGAATGATCATGAAATCGTAAGCATGACAGAGATCCAGTCCCATCACAGGTTTTCTGATATTTCATGTATGTTATTTACTCCAAAAAACAGAAAATTATGAAAACTATTGAAACCGCATGCTTTAAAGCGCTAAAATGTGCAAAATAAATATCTAAAAAGTGAACTTAATTTCTACAATAAGCATTTTAAACTTATCTTGCAATAGTTTTACAGATGTATTCTCTTCAAAAATGTAAAACGTGGTGTTCAAATTTTATCTCTCCTATCCCTACACCAAGAGAGGGGTTAAAGAATATTTTTCAAGAAAATACATCCATAATAACCTACTGACAAGATCTAGAACAAAAATAATCTAGTGAAAGAAAGTGAACAATGAATTTTGAGGAAAATCAAGATATGAGATATATCCTGATTAAATATTGGATAAACACATTACCCTATATATCATAAAAGATAAACAAACCTTGGTAAAAATCATCTGATATTTGGTCCATATTCATTGGCTCTGGGCTTTCTTCTTTTGAAGATAGAGGGCGCTTCAAAGTGCCCTCTGGGACAAGCTGGTGCATTTTAAGACGTCTACAGTAGATGGATGCAGCTTCGGGTTCAAGGGCAATCAGGAGCTGATCTGGGAAATCCTTGGACCCTATACCAGCCTGTAAGAAGAAATATTGTTATATTGCATTACACCTTTGTGTTCTCCCCAACACAATTCTGACCACTAGACTGGAACATGGTATCTGATTTAGGAAAAGCTTGTGACTTTATACATAGTAAACCTGTAATATTGTTCAGGATCATCTCAAGACATAAAATACCAATATTTTCTACGGTCCAGTATCTTTTTAATTCTATCCATACTTTTTTCTAAAAAACTATTTTTCCATTTCATAATAACTAAACATGTCACTAGGGCAGGGCATTTGTACTGAAAGGAGTGTTTTCAGTGCAATGTAAAAGGTACTTAATTTTTTGCTATATACCTTATAAGCTGCCTCTCTCATGAACTGCTTGGCCTCTGCCTTCCATATTGCAGGGACAGTAATTACCCAGCGTACATCTTCATTGAGAATCTTGGTACTTGATTGGTCAGATAGCTCTTGCAGAGCATGCTCTCTGAAGAACCTCAAGGCATACGAGAATATTGTGAGAGCTGGGACAAGTTTTCCATTGCTGGCTTTTATAGTAGTTTCTGTGTTTAAGTCCTGGAAACAAAATAAAAAGTGGATTATCAAATGCACAAAACTTTCAAAACAGTCTCATGAACAGTTTTATGACCATGGAGAATTAAAAATCCTGGTACAATATATACTATAGTAGTGCAAAAAAAACAACCATACACCATACATCTCCATTTTGAGATTTTTCTTTCTAAAGTATCACACATCCTTTTAATAAACTGGCTTGGTGTCAATGCAGAATGTTGATGTAAATATAACAGGAGTTAAGTACCAGTTTCATTTGTATCACATTTCAAAGATGGCACAATATATACCAATAATAAAGATGGCACCACTTATTATAACCTGCTCTCTGACTTGAAACACAATAGAGCCACTCTAACGTATTATGGAAAATAAGAGAAGAGATAAACAACCATTTTGTTATTCGAAGCATGCTTACAAAATTTGAATTGTAAATTTTGTTTTTGTTAGCAATCTGTTCAATAAATGTTTTCTACCAATCTGAGTGATGATGTTATGATGTGGTTAAAGCAGCCACAGACCAATAAATCTGAGTTTTGTATCTATAGTTTAACCTGCATTAGTGGAACACCTTGGATTTGTCAGAATAATGTTTCATTCTGGAGGTGTTCCACTTACAGAAGTTCATTTGATATTAAGTTAATGATAGTTTGAAAAGTATTACACCATTTGACTGGCTCTGGCTCTGGCTCTGAATGACTTTCAAGGGTATGTTGGTGATATAAAGAGGCTATGACATTTATTCCTCTTTTAAAGGGTAATCCTAGTAGTGCCATGTTGGTTGGTGATAAAAAGAGGATGTGGCATTTATTCCTCTTTCAAAGGGTAATCCAAGTAGTACCTTCGTTGGTAATATGAAGAGGATGTGACATTTATTCTTCTTATATAGGGTAATCCTAGTAGTGCCTAAAGAGGATGTGACATTTATTCATCTTTTAAAGGGTAATCCTCGTAGTGCCTAAGTTGGTGATATAAAGAGGATGTGACATTTATTCCTCTTATATAGGGTAATCCTAGTAGTGCCTATGTACCTGATTAACTTATAGTACAGAACTCCTCTGTGATTTAATTACCCTCTTAGGCATAGGCTAAAGGTATCACTCCACTGTGTATCATATTTCTACTAGAAAATACTGATTTTAATGAGTTGCTCACCAGGAAAAGTTCCAAAGTAAAGCTAATATACTGTAAAGCTTGCTTTTGATAGACTCAATAAATTCTGTCATAAGAAAACATGTCACCTGCAAGTATATACTGTACCTGATTTTACCATTTACATGTATGTAGAAGAAAGGACAAATATTGACATTTAAAAAATGATCTGAAACTTCACCCAACAAGTGAAAATATTTTCCCTTGAGCAGAAGCCTTATATCAATTCCTTTCTCAAACCCCCATGTTGGTCATGGAAAAACAAAATTAATATTGACCCAGAATGCATGAAAATGTGATGGGTATCTTACCAGAACACCTCTTAATCTGAACACTTTTTGGCTCCATTTTTAAAGTTTGACTTCCATGTCATAAAATCCTCAAAGTGTGAACACCTGCAAATGCAAATTGCCAGTAGCATTCAGATTAGACAGGTTTTACTGAATATGAGTGGAACAATTTTGTTAACTCAAAAGTATATTCTCTTTGTGAGGTGTTCAACCTGCAGAAATTCATTTTTGGTGTTAGCCTGGGATTGAAGAATAATGAGGTTTGAATGTTGAATGTGTGTCGGAATCAGGACTAGCACCCATGAGTGAAGTTCATGAATGTTGGGTATATGAACGGTGTGCGCATTTTCTCCTTTATACTAGACAGTGGACGCGTGTCAACACTGAAGTGTTCTACCTATGAAGTGTTCCAAAACAAAGGTGTTTCACTTTAGATAGTTTTTACTGTAGACAGATTCCTCTAGAATTCCTATAATTTCATATGTAACTAAATAACTAGGTGTGTCAACATTATTCATGGTTTGTGAATGCATAAAATGTTGATTATTGTTTTCATTTTGGCAACATACTGACTTTTTAGGACAATGTTTCTCATTCAAAATATACAAAGATTAACAATATTTTTAACATGACTAATATTCTGAGCATGAATGAATGCAACTTTCTACATGAAAAAAAATGTTTTTCAGTAGTAAAGTTATCAGGGTCCTGAAAAATATCAAAACACTCTCTGAAAACCATTTTTGACCCCCATCTCGATATATTCTGGTCACCAAAATTTGATATTTTCTATATTATAATTTCAATCCCGCTACCATTGAAGAATTTATGAGTCTATAAAAATGAGTTTAACAAGATCATATTTTTAAGAATTAACAATTTGAACAATGAGTTGAGGTAAAGGTCCAAATTCAATCCTTGGTTTTTCAGAGAATGTTTGATAATTTTACTACCTTGAGGACCACCTCTATGAAAATATATTTTTAGATGACAATATATTGCAATATAAAGCTCTAATCCAGGGTTAGGGCAAAATGTTGAGCATATAATAGTTAAGAGTGAGACACAATGACACACTACCCTACCTCGATCACGCATGCGCGAATTTTTCGGCTTTCAATCAGGTCGCTTTTGAGTATATCGACTGCTTACTCAAAAGGTTAATACGTTTGTTGCTCGGAGTGAGTTAATATTGCTATTCGCTACACTTCAGTGGTGCAATAGTGAAGTCGATGTTCCAAGTTATATGATAGTTATAGAAAGAATGAAAATAATATCGTTTTAAATTTCAAAATATTTGATATGTCATAGTACACGGTACACAGTTGCAAAAGTTGATCAATACAGGGTACAAGGAATGTAAATTGTTCAATAGTACAGGGAGCGAGAAAGTAAGCTGATTATACAGACATACTATGTTCCGACCTCATGTACATTTACGTTGCAAACAGTGAAAGTAATGCTAAAAAGGTCGCCTGTTGATGCTTTGGGGTGTCATCAATTGTTATTTAATCCAAATAAAGTAAACATTATTTTGTAGATTTAGACACGGGCTTTCAGGTCGTATGCATTTTAGTCATAAAATAAACAAGAACGCTAGATTATACGTGTTACTAGGGTATCAAATTGAAATAAAATAACAAAATTAAATGTTAAGATGTTAATGATAATTATATAAATGACTATCCGCTATCAGTATTAATGACTATCCGCTACTCAGAATAATTAAAATTGCCTGAACTACATGTGAAGAATCGTTCTATATAACCCCTTGAATGGTATAATTCACTACCGTCCTCAAAAACCGATCATTTAGAATGTTTCGTTCAAATTCACAAATTCACAGTTGAATAACATACTAGAAAACGTATCCACCTATAACACGATGACACGCGGTTGAAATAATAGTTAACTGTTTTTTTTTGTTACATATCAATGTAACATTTTTGAAGGGAAACTTACATGCTCCCTGTACGTTCATAGATTTACTGAAATGTATCGTGTATTGCATTGAGTTTTGCTTCACTGCGCCCACTATTATCTATCTTTGCCTATAGTGGTTTTTTGCCAACAATATTCTACAAACTGCTTGATGAATCATTTCTTTGTCTGGTAGAATAGTAGAAATAAATGAAAAATGCATTTTACGTTCAGAAATATGGAAATAAACCCACGTCCTCCATTTGCAACTTAGCTGTACCCTGTTTCCATTTTAAACGTGGTCACGTGGTAGGGTAGTGTGAATGATTCTGCAGTCTATTGACTAACCTTTGATACTTATAAACTGGTATATAGTCCTATACTTAGAACCAAGAAATACATGAAATTGAAGAGACATTTAGTTCATTTTAACATTATTGATAATGTTTTTTGTACTTATGCACAATACTTCTGTGATATGTTTTTCAAATTCATCAGTCAAGTTTACTTCCATCCAGAAGTTGCTTTGTTATGTGATATGTGCTAATTCCCAGATTTACACAAACAACAGATCAAAAAACATCTTCTTCAAGTTGATATTGAACCAGACAGGCTTCTCACAACTATACGTTACTGTTACAAAAAAACTTTTACAGATAGCATGAAAAAAGCAAAATAACCATGGTTTTCCTAAAATATATATTTTTGCTCCATCTTAAATATACAATTATGTAACATTTAGCACCCAGTAATTCATAATCATAATAATCACAAAGTACTCATAAGTTTCTTAGATATTTCACAAAACATGACCTCTGATAAACCTATGGGCTTAAAGAAACTGAGAAGGATAAAGAGGAACTTGGTGTAATGTTGCCTGATGTTGACTTATCAGTGAAAACAAGATAATGTCAATAACTATATAGTGCCAGACACTCATACAGCTCTGGTCTGGTAGTACAAGACCTTGTTGGGATAAGGTTGGACCATAAAAAATGTACAAAAATTGCATTTTTGTTGAGGGTCTCCTGAGGGTATGGAGATTACTCTCTGAGAAGAAATACCTACTGCCAAAGCACTGCTTTATAAAATTATACAGAAAATTACAAAAGCTGCAAATATAATTACAGACACAGAATTATAAATCCTGTAAAAGAACTGAATGTAGATTCCTAAACTTTATGTAGCATTGTGTTTTCCAAAGGAGGATGCTAACCATATCATAGCCAGTATTTTTCTCTTATTTGATGGGGAACCCAGCATCTGGAGAGCCACTTGTTCAAGAGGGCAGACATACCAGACCTGATAACATTTTGTATCAGATACATCATTGACATTGATATATACAACCTCATAGCTATACCTGAAGCATCTTGGTCAGGAGTTCTCCTTAAGTTGTTTTTCCCTATTTCTCATTCTCAAATATGTTTGAACCAAATTCTAACTTAGGTTTAACAATCTTTATCTCAAAGGTAGGCACTCCTTGGAAATAAACCCACCCTATAAACATAGATTAAACTAATTCTTCATTTCACAAATAATCTATCTGAATAATGCACTTATCAGCTGTATTGAAAACAATCTTGCCTTGCCTAGAAAGCCAGTCCCCATATTTGTTTATTTAAATGTTTTACATGT